AAATTGCCAAGCGTCCTGCGTATAAAAGCGAGAGAGAAAGAAAATCGCTTGGCGTTCCCCCGCGACCCTCTGAGAGCGGTTGCACCCTACCCTCACCTGCCTGGGTGTGCGAGAGAGATAGAAAATAGCCAAGCGTCTCGCGTATGAGTGCGAGAGAGAAAGAAAAACGCAAGGCGGGACTTGCGTTGTTGAGATTGGTTGCACCCTACCTTCACTTTCCTGGGTGTGCGAGAGAGACAGAAAACAGACAGGCAGCTCGCCTTAGTGTGCGAGAGAGATAGAAAATAGCCAAGCGTCTCGCGTATAAGTGCGAGAGAGAAAGAAAATCGCATGGCGTTCCCCCGCGACCCTCTGAGAGTGGTTGCACCCTTCCCTTACTCGCCTGGGTGTGCGAGAGAGACAGAAAACAGCCAGGCAGCTCGCCTAGATGTGCGAGAGAGATAGAAAATATCTAAGCGTCTCGCGTATACGTGCGAGAGAGAAAGAAAATTGCATGGCGTTCCCCCGCGACCCTCTGAGATTGGTTGCACCCTACCCTCACTCGCCTGGGTGTGCGAGAGAGACAGAAAATAGCCAGGCAGCTCGCCTTAGTGTGCGAGAGAGATAGAAAATAGCCAAGCGTCTCGCGTATAAGTGCGAGAGAGAAAGAAAATCGCGTGGCGTTCCCCCGCGACCCTCTGAGAGCGGTTGCACCCTACCCTCACTCGCCTGGGTGTGCGAGAGAGACAGAAAACAGCCAGGCAGCTCGCCTATGTGTGGGAGAGAGAAAGAAAATAGCCAAGCATCTCGCGTATAAGTGCGAGAGAGAAAGAAAATCGCATGGTGTTTCCCCGCGACCCTCTGAGAGCGGTTGCACCCTACCCTAACTCGCCTGGGTGTGCGAGAGAGACAGAAAACAGCCAAGCAGCTCGCCCATGTGTGCGAGAGGGATAGAAAATAGCCAAGCGTCTCGCGTATGAGTGCGAGAGAGAAAAAGAATCGCCAGGCGGGACTTGCGTTGTTTTTCTGGCAAAGGCGCATGGCGTTTCCCCGCGACCCTCTGAGAGCGGTTGCACCATACCCTCACACGCTTGGGTGTGCGAGAGAGACAGAAAACAGCCAGGCACCTCGCCTAAGTGTGCGAGAGTGATAGAAAATAGCCAAGCGTCGCGCGTATAAGTGCGAGAGGGAAAGAAAATCCTATTGCGTTCCCCCGCGACCCTCTGAGAGTGGTTGCACCCTACCCTCACTCGCCTGGGTGTGCGAGAGAGACAGAAAGCAGCCAGGCAGCTCGCCTAAGTGTGCGAGAGAGATAGAAAATAGCCAAGCGTCTCGCGTATAAGTGCGAGAGAGAAAGAAAATCGCATAGCGTTCCCCCGCGACCCTCTGAGAGCGGTTGCACCCTACCCTCACTCGCCTGGGTGTGCGAGAGAGACAGAAAACAGCCAGGCAGCTCGCCTAAGTGTGCGAGAGAGATAGAAAATAGCCAAGCGTCTCTTTGCATTGCGTTCCCCCGCGACCCTCTGAGAGTGGATGCACCCTTCCCTCACTCGCCTGGGTGTTTGAGAGAGACAGAAACAGCCAGGCTGCTCGCCTAAGTGTGCGAGAGAGATAGAAAATAGCCAAGCGTCTCGCGTATGAGTGCGAGAGAGAAAGAAAATCGCCAAGCGGGACTTGCGTTGTTTTTCCGGCAAAGGCGCATGGCGTTCCCCCGCGACCCCCTGAGAGCGGTTGCACCCTACCCTCACACGCTTGTGTGTGCTCACTCCCAATTGCAATTCGACTCCAGGTTTGTACTCTATGTCTGCTCTATGTAAATCTATGCTTCGAAGTTCGAACAGAAAAAAAAGAAAAAAAAACTTAAAATTATCATATGTTATTGTTCTGTTATCATTCACACTTATCATTGTGCTGAATTTGTGCATTGTAGAATTGCAGAGTTTGTGATTAGTGGGTATGCTTGCTACAGTTTTGGGATTCGGAATTTTTCAATTCGCTGCTGCCGTCAATTGTACTAATCCTAATAAGCTACGAATGTAATTCCACTCAAAACCAGAAATCCTGTCTTCGAGCAAGGCTTACTTCCCTGACCAGCGTTGACTAATCAAGTGATTGTAAAATGAAACGTTCCCCACGAGCCCCTGAAAATTGGAGGATTGACATTGCCGTTTCATCAAGGTAAAGTATCATAACATGTGTGATCAATACATCGTAACCCTCCAGCCAAAGTATTACTAGCAGGATTTTTACAGAAATTGAGTTATGAGTAGTTTTGAAAGAACAAGATGCGTCTACATCATAGAGTACAATAGAGTCGCAAAGTACTGGAGCGGCGATGAAGCCAATCCATGAACAGGCGTTTCCGAGCCGCGTGTGCTCCGAAAATAGTGAACCATTTGTGAACCCAACGGCATTTTGTAACACGGCGGCTTATGGAGAAATCAAGAACTGCTTGTGTTTTTTAGGTATTTTATAATTCAATCAGCATTAATTTTTGCAAATTTTGCTAATTAAAGGTAGTCAAAGCCATAATGAATCCATTGATGTATATTACTCCTGGATAATATTCATATTGGGATTTAATTTCTGACTTATACCAAGTGTGAACCAACCGGCATTTTTTTACACGGTGGCTTATGGAGAAATCAACGGCTGCTTGTGTTTTTTCGACTTTTTTTAATTCCATTGGTATTAATTTGTGCAAATTTTGCTTGAAATAGATATTCAAAGCCATAATGAATCCAGTGATGTATATTACTCCTGGATAATATTCATATTGGGATTTAATTTCTGACTTATACCAAGTGTGAACCAACCGGCATTTTTTTACACGGTGGCTTATGGAGAAATCAACGACTGCTTGTGTTTTTTCGACTTTTTTTAATTCCATCGGTATTAATTTGTGCAAATTTTGCTTGAAATAGATATTCAAAGCCATAAAGAATCCATTAATGTATGTTACTCCGAGATAATATTCATATATGGACTCAATTTCAGACTTATTACCGGCCTACTTATTTTAGCTGGTTCAGTGTGTGTCTAGCCGACGAACGGAGCCGAGTCGGGACTGTCGGGAGTGGGGAGCGCTGAGCGCGAGTCTCTGCGTATGCGTCATCGCTAGTCGCCGCACACTAGTCTCCGGAGAACTGGACAAAACAGCCTCGAAAAGTGACTTCATCGGCGATCCAGTACTTTGCGACTCTATTGTACTCTATGGTCTACATACATGAGTAATACTTTTTTAAAGAACAATAAAGTAGAGTATGAATATTTTTTGATAAAAGTTTATTGAGTTTTGTATCACAAGCGCCAAGTTGGGCAACGGCCCATCTTTCTGATTGTTTGCAATTTTTGTTACCGCAACCTACGAAATCACTTTTAGTAAATTATTCTTGTATGATAATGCATCTCATTATTTCGAACATAAGATTTTATTAGAATAAAATAAAGAAATATGGAAAATACTCCGATAATGTTGATGAACTTTTGTATCACAAGTGTCACAAAAGAGCCAAGTATCACAAGTGCCAAGTTGAGTAATCGCTCATCTTTAGGAATTTTCAGTATCAACAACGTTTGGAATGATCTGGAGCAATTCGTCTCTTTCTGAGTTTCCGGCCGGAGTATCACAAGAGCTATTTTTATCATAATTTATTCACGGATGTTTTTGAATTAATAAGATGCACTACCTAGAAAATATTGTTTTTTTTTTTTTATTAAAATTGAATAAACATGGAAAGAACTCCGTGAAATTTTATGAGCTTCCATATCGTATACGCCATCGGTTCTCAACGTGCCCTGAGAACGTGGTATCACAAGCGCCAATTTTCAAAGAAAACAAAAAAATATCAAAAGAAATTTTATCAAAATGTTAGACCGAAAGTTGTGTTGGATGCGTATTCTAAGTTTCAAGCCGAAACTCTGTCTCGTGCGGTCGGAAATCAGTTTGTCATTTCTCCTGAAAAGTTGACAAAGTGGCGCTTGTGATACTTTGACCAGAAGGTGACGACATAACTCTGTTCCATGCGCTTGAATTTGCATTTTCAAGTCTTCAACAAAAGTAAGTGTCCATAATATTAATTATTTGCAACAAAGGCTTCTCTTATAGACATATGAATGGACATAAAGGTTTTCAGAAGTTTGAACGTGTTCAATCTTCCAATCTAGGTGCAAAAGTGCAAAAAATGTAATACTTAAAGATAGTAAATTGTGCCTAAAAACATTTCTTTACGCCATTAAAATTCAACTAACAAAATTTCTTAACGCTCCAAAACGTGAACTGTGAAAGATAACAATAACTGCAGTTTGTATAAAAGTTGCTCAGAAGTTCATTGACTCTAAAAATAAGGGGGGGAGGGAACTCGGAGAAAATGGATGTATAAGAGGCTGTAGGGGGCTCTGAGAGCTGACTTTGAGCAGGTGTTTTGTCAGGACAGTTTTGACCAATTACTCTGGGCATTTAACTCATGCCAGCGGGGCGATTATTGAAATGTCATCGACTCTATGTCGCCGCTTACGACAAGACATAGCCCTATCTTAACCGTGCAATATATCGCAATTCGATGTCTTATCGGGCTGGTTTAAATTTCAATAATCCGCCCGCAGGCGCGATCCTAGAGAATGTGTAGCCTAATTTTTATCAAAATAGTATGGTATCTATTAAAGTATTTGTGGCCCCAGGAAATATGTTTTTGAGAAGAGCATATATATATTCTTCAGAAACCACATCTACTATTGTCAAAACACACTCAATGATTGATGATTAATTCAAATTGGCGACAGCATATAATATGTAGCTTTTCTTTGAAATCCACCCAATAAATCATGGTAGCGGAAAGCCTTTTAGGAAATTTAAATCTTTAAATGAAGATGTCACAGAGTAATGTAAAATTAAAGATGGCATCAAGGAAGACAACAACCTGACCTTTAATAGTATCCGATGTTTATATTCCAATTACTTGCGAATTTAAAAGTTATTAAGAACACTGAAAATTAATTTTAAATTTTGTCTTTCTTTCCAGCAACATATCTAAGCTTATGGAACCATTCATCTACTTAGAATTGAAGTTAGAGAATAGCACAGTGCAAACTGTGGAAATTCCTATTTCCATGTTTCATCTCCTTCGCCAAAACGTTTCAGTGCTGATGAAAGAAGTCTCAACCATGCAAGAGAGTTGCGATTCTATTCCAAAAACTGTAAAACTATAATTACTTGAACATCTATTCTTCTGCTCAGGAATTCGTTGGTTTGTTCTCTTGTATACTTTTTATGACTAAGTTAATTTTCTAAGTTTAAATTGATAAATTGCCTTTGTGGTCATTTATTTTTTCTTTGTATTCTGCAACAGAAAATTGTGTTGTATTTTGAGTTCAGCTCTCCTCCTATCTAATATCCACCCACATTTTCGTGTGTCAAAAAAAGGCCAGAAAACTCCACTCCAGATTCTGTGATCATTTTCAGACAAATTTACCCGAAGAAAGAAAACCGGACTAAAGAATAGGCATCAAGAATTAAAGCCCTCATAAGTTACTGCCCTAATAATGCCCAAGTTTCACCTTTTATTTATTTTGACATTTTTTCTTTCAGATTAATAAAGTCAAATCAATCATTTTGTATAAGGAACCATCAACATGGTGACTAGAAATCTTACTGATGTTTTTGTACTCATGCGAAATAATGCCTCACAGAATAGAAATATCTACTCGGACCAGGTTTGTATTTAAAATTCGGTTAATATTTCCAGAATTTTTCCTCTCAATTAAACTTGATTTGTGGGAAACCCCAAGGAGCTATGCATTTTTATGTGCTGGAAAATGATTTTAAATAGAAACATAATGTAGGTGAAACTAGAACTTTTTCGAACAATTGCAGTTATACGCATGTGCAGTTTACATAAAGATATGATGACTTTGTCATTGGGTGTTAAAATTCAGTGTAAAACTGGATTTCTCATGAAAGAGGGAAAAAGCTTGGAGACAGCAAATTAGAAGGCTGCACTATGCTGAGGAATCGCACCAATTAGTCTTGAAACGCCTTCTCAGTTGCCCTCTTGGTTGATCACAAGTGTAGCACTTAAGAGTATATCTCCCTGAGAGCAAATTAGGTTCAAGAAAGCTTCCCTTAATCCTGAGAACTTTAGTTTTGGACTAGATATTATATGTAGTGGCATTATCACCAGCTCCATTGAAACTGAAATGATGCTATCTCGTCACCTTCCAGGCAAAGTATCACAAGCGCCATGCGACGTTTAAAAATTTCCGCCGCCATTATATTTTTTTACAGAGAAATTGTTCAACGAAGCTGTCCGAAAATTACACCGAATTTTCTTTGTGCTGCCGATAAAATTTAGTGAAATTTTCGAACAGATTCAACCAACAATTTCTCACTAAAAAAATAAAATGGCGGCGGAAATTTTTAAACATCGCATGGCGCTTGTGATACTTTGCCTGGAAGGTGACGATCTGAGACTTCACCTCTGCAATTATCACCTGAAATCCAAGTATATAGATGTATGAAATGTTTATTCATGATTAAAATTTTACTAAAAACCGTCAATGATTAAAACTTCCAATCTTAATCACCATTAGACATATAAAGCATAAAATAAGAAATAGGATCTTCATATTTATGTATGAGACAAAGAAGGGTAATCCAAGAGGGTTGGACAAAAGAATAAAAGAACTAATGCTGTGTGAAAATGTCAAAGGGATAAGAAATGAGGATGAGGATACATATCTTGAAAAGGGAACGGTTAATAACATGATATTTTACAAGAGAGTGAGGGAGTGCTTACATCGAATTGAAGTGCTTCAAATTGGAAGAGTTGGGACTGGGGGCGTTCAAAAGGAGTTTATCATTTAAACTGAGGATGAGGGCAGATTATTGAGGTATGAAGATAGGGAAAGCATATGGTAAAAAAAGAAGGGGAAAAGTAGGAACGGTATGGGATTAGCCGATAGGATACTAGAAGAAGAAGAAGAAAAAGAAAAAAGATACATACATAGGTTGTCCCAAAAGTACTGCACGTTTTTTTTTTTTTTGGACGAACGGTAGCAGATATCAAAATGCAGTTTGTGTAGTCTTAAAGACCGAACAATTACTAATAAAACAAGACAAATTTGAGCTCTCTAAGTCAAAAAATGATCAAGTTTTATTGTTTTGAAAATTACTTGCAGAGGTGACCCCTCCAGGATTTTTAGCTTCTTTTCTGGAAAAAAACAAAGATTTGATTAATCAAAAATTCTACAGAGAAATCGTTGCGATCGAATGAAGTTGCCAAAATGGTATCAGCCCGGACCTCGCACCCTGTGATTTTTGGTTATTCCCTACGTTGAAAAAGGGCTTAAGAGGCAGGAAGTTTAACTCCATCAACTAGATAAAAAGAGCTGTTGAAACTTTCTTAAAGAACATCAGGCAAGAAGAATTTGAAAAAACATGCTTGAAGAAGTGGAAAGAACGGTTGCGGCGCTGTGTGGCAAGTGATGGAAGGTATTTTGAGAAGGAAACTAGTGTCCAGTCGTTCAGTGAAGAAGAGTGAATGCCAGTAATCTTGGTAAGATTCTGTAAAATTGATTTAATAAAACCACTTGAATCTTTAATTCTTGGTTTTTTTTCCAGAAAAGAAGCTAAAAATCCTGTAGGGGTCACCTCTACAAGTCATTTTCAAAACACTGTAACTTGGTCATTCTTTGACTTAGAGAGCTCGGATTTGTCTTGTTTTATCAGTAATTGCTCGGTCTTTAAGACTACTCAAACCGCATTTTGATATCTGCTACCGTTCGTCCAAAAAAAAAAACGTGTAGTACTTTTGGGACAACCTATGTATTATCTGATGAATCGAGAAAGTCATGTTCCTCTCCTAGAGAGAAATAAATTAAAATCCGTGTTTATGAATCTACCCACCAATCTGTACCCCAAAGATTGCATCTCCTTGCTGTCTTTTAGACATCTGATTCTTAAGTTTTCACTTTCATTGGCAGATAATCAATGATCGAATGGCACTTGTCGAGGCTGGAGGTATTGAACTGGCGCAGAGAGAAGACTATGAAACGCCGCAGTGGGGTGACACATTAGAAGAGGCACGTTACTCCATAACCAGACTCCGAGAAAAACTAAAAGAGCTAGCAGCTCTGCAGGAAGTTCATATGCAAAGGCCTACGTTTGATGAATCTACGCATCAGGAACTTCAAATGGAAGTATTAACCCAAGAGATTTCGAAGGTATCTACTAGATTTACTATTTCATGAGTGACTCATGAGTTTACTACCCACTCCATTTCTGTGTAGTCCAAGCATTATCCCAAGGAGTATTTTTCAACGGAAAAATCAGGATTTATTGCAATTTTATCGGTGATAAAATCGCTAGGATCATCAACATCTGAGCAATTATCCTTGATCGTATCGAGATAAAATCGCGATTTTATCGCCCGGTAATTTATCGCGCTTTTCTCGAGGTGACAAAATCGCTAGGATCATCAACATCTGAGCCATTATCCTCGATCTTATCGAGATAAAATCGCGATTTTATCACCTGGCAATTTATCGCGATAAAAGGCGATTTAATCTCAAGTTTACCGACCAAAATTGATTGCGATTTTATTGAACCAAAAATTCCAATGTGTAGCAATCTAATAGCCATAGTTCGCAATTTCTAATGCGATAATATATCGATATATTGCCACCGATATGATCGCGATAACCAACCAATAAAATCGCTATTTATCGCCATCACTGATACTTGGGATCATTGACTAAAATCATTGAATTCAGACGACTCTCAACTAAGAATCAAACTCAGGACCTCTTGGTTGAAGGTCGAGTACTGAAACTGAAACGCCAAAGGAGTTGGATGTAATTTCAAAAGTAACTTCACTGGATATAGTTTTATCCTCTGCCTCTCTTTTAGAAAAACCTCCATTGAGTTAAAATGAAGCAAAAAGTCAGTACGACTAGCCACTGGATCATGTTTTGACTAGAAAATCTAAATGCATCGATGGTGAAATGTATCTTAGTGTGCAACATTGCACGTTTCCTGTTGTATTTCACTGCTTTAAAAGACGAATGGAATGGATGAATTCAACCACAAAAAACTATGTACAATAGAATAGAATCAAAAGAAACTCAGTGCTCTGCACTGTGGACTAATTTGTTCCTAGTTTCTTTTAGTATAAATACGCCCAACTGATCATCATTGTAACAGGGATTTTTCTCTCGAATCACTTTTAGCCAAACATTGAAAACGAATTTATCGGGGGGAAAATTGATCATTTTTAGAATTTGCATCCAACAAGAAAAAGACATGGACCTAACCAACCATGGCCTTTCACCAACGGAGAAACTCCAAAAATGCATATCTCGGTTGTGGGATTCCAGAGTCTCAGTCTCTATGTTATTTTTTAAAAGGAGACAGAACCAACATTATGGCTCGAAATTTTCACAAAATATTCCCTATGTAGAGAAAAAAAGTCACTGAAGTTTCCAAAACATGACAATTGGTAGTTTTCAATGTAGAAAATGAAGAATGACAGGGTGTTTGCAACGCTCAAAACGGAGGTAAGTATGCAGTTTCCTGCAGTTTCACCATTGATACACAGCACTTTAATAGCCAACTATTAAAATCCTGAAAGGATTGTGCCCTGTCAGCTTGTTTTTTTCCTATTTTCATTTGCTTTAATTGTGTCAGTTTTTTTATTCCAATTTTATCAAGCCAGGCAAGACTGAACACTTACAGATTTTTTGAAGCCATACTTATCATGAATTTATGGGGTGTTTCAGATGTTCTCTCGAATTCAAAGATTAGTGCAACAAATTCGTCATGCCAGTGAAAACGACAGAAAGGATCAAGAGCGCCGTTTATCTTACAGTGTAATTACATCTTTGCTAACTTCTCTGCAAGAATTGACTAATCACTTTCGAGGCCTACAGAGCTCTTACTTAAATAGTAAGTTCATTAAGTGTCTATCTTGAATTTGGTTCTCTCTTTTTTGGTCTTGTTTAATCAAAATAGATTTTTTGTGAACTCATCGATTGTGAAGCTTTGGAAACACATCTTGATTGTGGTACATCACTATCTTTGCTCCTATCTTATTTTGTTAAGACATTTTTACTACGTATTTCTGTGAGAAACTTTTTTATCTATCTATTTAGCAAGCAATTCACAGGAAAAAAAAAAAAAAACTATATACAGAGAAAACAGGAAATCACAGCTGAACATTTAACTGAATTATAACAGTAAAACAAAACAAAGAATTGAATTACAACTTTACAACAAAATAACTTGTCATAAGTATACAAAGCCCACCCTCTTGTTAAAAACTGAAAAAAAACCAAATCCAAGTAACCATGAAGCTTTAGTTGGAGGTCATTGTATTAAGAAACTGGCCTACAATCAGGAGAGTAAAAACAGAAGTTTCTTTTAGAGGATAATAGCTTCTGTGAGCTTGCTGAAGCAAGCCTTCACAGCCAGCCAAGAGGCCTCTGCCCCCTTAATCTCAGATAAATTGCTACATGCTTGCTTTGCAAGCTTCCTCACTTGCCATAAACTGAGGAAGGGAAAAAAAAGGAAAAATATTGAAAGGAAAAATATAGGAAGGAGGAAAAAATTGAAAAGGAAAAATAAAAAGGGGTGGAAAAAGAATGTATTAATGGCGGATGGAAAGAATAAGAGAGGAAGGAAAAGTAATGAAAGAGAAATACAAAAATATTAGAGAAAGGAAGGAAAAAAGAGGAAAGGAACAATGGAAGAAGATAAAAAATATAAAAATAAAAATCAGGAAAAAAAGAAAAATTAAGGGGTAGGAGAAAAGGGCAAGGAAAAAATAAATGTGGAAGAAGAAAGAAAGAAAAAAATCATGGGTGGCGGTAGCCACCTCCGGACAAAGTCTAAACTCGACAACACTGGAAAGCCTCCAAACGAAAAAGGTGGCAGCCAACCATAGACACACGTAACTCCCTTATTCTGAAAATTGATTCGACTCCAAGTAGACTGCAGCCCAAACGACGGCACGGATTCATACGATCTTGGTGTCTACGGACGCATCTCAATTAGGACTACAAAGTGGAAGAGTTTCATTAAGATCCATTGAGTTTTCAAAAAGTTATAAGCACTTAAAGGCCCAAAATGACAAATATTTTTTGTAACATGGGCCGTTCAGTAGCGGGAAACCGACATGCTCACCTTTCACAACAGATTTCTTGCTTACGCGGCCACAGATTCTAATGAAACCTACAAAGGATCATGCTTGAAGATATGAGGATTTCATTTCTACCACATTTAATAGGGTTTCAATGCTCGGATAATTCAGCATCGGCAAATAACTTTCAAAATTTTAGCTACGTTGTTTTGAATTTTAGAAAAATCCGGTATAGTGGTTCAATGCCATTGGTCGATTCCGTTCAGTTCAGCCAGTCTCGGGAACGAAATTTCCCTAGTTACCAATACCAACTTCCAACTCTAACTACTTGAGAACAGATTTATGATTTAATATAATATAAGAGTTCAATTCTCTGTAGAAGCTAACTAATATTTTTACACACTTATATTATTACGTCGCACGTCTTCTGCCAGAGCCCGATACACTATTTCATTAGTTTCAAGTGTTCAAGTGATGTCATTGTTCAGAAGTGAGGTTATCAGTCGGTGTACATGTCTGACCCATATACGTCAATGGTCTGACCCAAGCATCAATGAATGTAATTCGGATTCCAAAATTCAGGTAAATTACGTCGATAAAAGGACACCAAAGTTGTGCCAAACTATCAAAAGGAAGCAGGATTTACACCACAGTTTGCATTCTCGTGACTAACAGCATCCAAATATTTCTCTACCATGCACACCGATGGATCGAAGGGAGAGCCCATTACTCTCAGTTTTTAATTACATTATTGTTTTCCTCAAGTCACAAATGCTAGTTTCCATAACTTGAAGAGATGTAGTTGTTTTCAGTGGACCCTATCAGTCTCAAGAAAAGATCTAAAAATTACTGTAATATGAGCCTTCGCCCATCACACTACTTGCGACACGGTCATTATGCTCTGACCAAAATTTATTCGCTTCAAATTTTGCTTTCAACCTACGCGCTCTGGAGTGCTTGTGCTTTCCCTAAGTGTATGTTATTGACATTAAGATCTTGTGTTCTTCATGACTAATCTTGGGAAGCTTCGCCTCTTACCGTTGCTTGTTTACATCATGGAGATATGCGGGGATGCGAGGTATAATTCAATCACTAAGTCAACTTTATGTCCCTAAATCAGAGATCTTTGACGATGAGTATTAGCTTAAATTTGTTTTCTTCGAGTCTCTTTGATTTTGTGTCAGAAGTTGTTAGAATCACCATGTGGCCAGTCAATGTGTAAGAAAGTCTTTCATGAAAGGTATGTACTCGTTCTATTTTCTCAGCTTGATGATTACTATAAAATCAAGAATTTATATTGCTGCATAAATCGCTGGGCCAATCGTAAGTACGTAGCGCCCATTCCTTCTCTATTTTAACATATGAAAACTTGATGTAAACACATCAAATAGTTAGGCTATGTTATGGACTTACACTGGTGGTGCAGCTACCGACTGTTAGATAATAAACCCTCAAATGACATCCGGCTAACTTAGCTGTGTCCAAAGACACCAAGATCGTTGGAATCCGTGCCGCCGTTTGCTCTGAATTCCATTCTATATCTAATCAATTTTCAGATTAAGGGAGTTAGGTGTGACTAAGAGTGTCCGCCACCCCTTTGCTATAGGGACTTTAGTAGGTCGTCATTTTCCTCGACGGGGGATGGCTACCGCCACTCTTGATGTGGAAATATTGTGGTGTTGTTGGTTGTTGTGTCACAGAAGTATTCCATCTTCACCTAGTGAGTTTCTAGCATAATTACTCCAGTGAAACAGTGCACTCTGAAATTAATTGAGCGTTGGGTCTATGTATGGTTCGCGTGCCAACCTAGTTCTTAATGGATAAATGTAATCGGGTGAATCAAAGCCGAAAAAGATTAGACCAATCGATAGCGTTTATGATCAAAATGTTTGCGCCTAGGCACCAACTGCGGAACATGCTCTGATGAAGAGTTTGGGGGTGGTGTTTTTAGTCCGACAGTGGACAACAAAATTACCAGGAATTCTTGAACTACCAGGTAACTGAGAGGTAGCCTTCATTATCTTTCATGAATCAAAAGACGCCATTCAAATTTAAATGCTTACTTACATGCCAGTTATACGATTCGACAAATTATGTGGTGAAGCGACTCTAAGCAAAATAAATCAAAATATTCTCCGCTATAGCGTCAATATAGGCATACTGTATCAAGAGTGGCGGTAGCCCCCCCCGGTGGGTAAGCTTACAGTGTAATATTTGCAGCAAGTTTTTCTCTTTTTCAATTAATTTTCTGACTGAGGCCATTGTAACTTGATGTTGAAATTCAGTCGATTATTACCTGAATCGCTCAAGTTCAACGGAGTGCATATTAGGTATAAGTACAATTTTCTTATCTTCATGTTTCAAGTCACATTCCTAGAAGTTATACTCTGTTAAAAGAAAAAATACTTTTGTGGCCGAAGGGGCTTGGCTTGACGCACACTTTTATTGATAAATTAAATACCTCTTACAGGAAATACTTTTTATAATGAGTGAACCAAAAAAAAAATAATTTTACCTAACTCTTTGAATGGACTTTCCACTTAGTGGTCTCACTGTTATTTAATTTAAAATTTTAGTGGCTGAATGTAAGTATGTCCAACAGTTGAGTTAAACGCAGTAAGAATTGCAGAATTAATGTTGAAACTTTATGAGTAGGTAAGGAATAATTTATGCGGCAAAAGAAGTTCATTCTAAGTAGCCCTACACTATGACAATTAATTGCTAATCCATCAGTTTTTAAAACATTATGTACCCTATTTCGATGAGAGAAGTTTAAACTCACCTAAACATCAGGTAACTTTTATTGATTGCAAACTGAATCACCCCCTATTAATGTTTAGTTGATTAAACAAGGAGTTCCAGTTCTGCTCATTGAAAAAATTATTCTCAGTTTCTCTTTTTCCAGCCAAATGTTTCATTAGCTTCACATCATTCCAAAAACGACCTGATATAAAAACTACAAAAAACCCCAAAAAACTTTCAGATTCTAAGGGGTAAAGAATCCGGCCAAAGTCTTAAACTTGTTGAACCAAATTTTCTTATTACTCCTAAAAGAAAATTAAAAATTACCTATACTTTACTGAAAATCGAATGTGGGCCCCTTCATAAACGAGCGATACAACATTCACTGCATGTGTGTATGTGGACCTCTTGTAGGAGCCCAATCGGTTCGCTCTTTGCAACAAACGCTACATTCGTGAATGGAAAGTCCTTGGAGGAGCACATAACGTCCTCTTTCTTTATTTAACTTATGCATTTTTTATTCAGAATCTTCATAAAATCAAAAAGAAAAGTATGGACTGATCTGAGCCTTATATGTGCTCTAAAACAATATGAAATATTTTATCGCACAAAGTCGAATATTTTTTCTTTAAAATTTAGAGCTACGTAACTAATTCAATAATCATGACTGGTGCATTTGCAGAAAAGTTTTCTCAGAGACTCAGTAAATTCCCTTGCTGAGCTGCATGTATCTTCAAGTAGGCATTATACTTCTAAAAGGAAATGTAGGCCCCTTCATTTAGGAGTGATGCAACAGTCATGACGTGTAAGTATGTTTAGCCCTTGCAGGAGCCTCTCCTCACCTATTTGCATTTTTATCTAAAGTAAAAAAAAAAAATAGTCGGTAGGTATGGATTGATCTATGAGCCTTCTATGTGCTCCAAAACAATATGAAATATTTTATCGCACAAAGTCCAATATTTTTCGATTCAGGTCCTACAAATGCTTTTAAGAGAGCATGAAAAAAAAAATACTCAATCGGCTGGCTAAAGTCCAGTATTTTTCTTAAGAATAGTCTCCTCCTTCAATGAGTGATGCAACAATTGCGACATTTTTATATGAAAAGCCCTTGCAGAAGCCTTTTGATTTGACTCAGCTAAATTTTGAAGAATCACTGACGTGTCCGCAAAAATGCGTAAAAAAGACGGGTCACTGAAATTAATGCTTCATAGAGATATCTGAGGATCCATGTCAAAACCCTCTTACCTATTCTACTCTGCGTAAAAAATAAAAACGCTATTTTCAACCATGATTTTTGTTTTTTTAAATCTTCATTAATTTACTCTGAAAACAATTTTCAATATCTAGGTAATCTGGAGTCCTTTTCGTTCGAGTTCCTAATGATTACAGTAAGAGCATTTTTGCGGACACGTCAGTGATTCTTCAAAATTTAGCTGAGTCAAATCAAAAGGCTTCTGCAAGGGCTTTTCATATAAAAATGTCGCAATTGTTGCATCACTCATTGAAGGAGGAGACTATTCTTAAGAAAAATACTGGACTTTAGCCAGTCGATTGAGTTTTTTTTTTTTCATGCTCTCTTAAAAGCATTTGTAGGACCTGAATCGAAAAATATTGGACTTTGTGCGATAAAATATTTCATATTGTTTTGGAGCACATAGAAGGCTCATAGATCAATCCATACCTACCGACTATTTTTTTTTTTTTTACTTTAGATAAAAATGCAAATAGGTGAGGAGAGGCTCCTGCAAGGGCTAAACATACTTACACGTCATGACTGTTGCATCACTCCTAAATGAAGGGGCCTACATTTCCTTTTAGAAGTATAATGCCTACTTGAAGATACATGCAGCTCAGTAAGGGAATTTACTGAGTCTCTGAGAAAACTTTTCTGCAAATGCACCAGTCATGATTATTGAATTAGTTACGTAGCTCTAAATTTTAAAGAAAAAATATTCGACTTTGTGCGATAAAATATTTCATTTTGTTTTAGAGCACATATAAGGCTCAGATCAGTCCATACTTTTCTTTTTGATTTTATGAAGATTCTGAATAAAAAATGCATAAGTTAAATAAAGAAAGAGGACGTTATGTGCTCCTCCAAGGACTTTCCATTCACGACTGTAGCGTTTGTTGCAAAGAGCGAACCGATTGGGCTCCTACAAGAGGTCCACATACACACATGCAGTGAATGTTGTATCGCTCGTTTATGAAGGGGCCCACATTCGATTTTCAGTAAAGTATAGGTAATTTTTAATTTTCTTTTAGGAATAATAAGAAAATTTGGTTCAACAAGTTTAAGACTTTGGCCGGATTCTTTACCCCTTAGAATCTGAAAGTTTTTTGGGGTTTTTTGTAGTTTTAAAAATAAATGGTAGGAAGAAAGTAAAAGAAATAAGAGTAAGAAAAAGATGAAAGTCAGGAAATGAAAATAGAAAAACATGTCACAGTTTCATTTTAGTATTATTTTTCTAATTTAAATTTTCATTCCATGTGTCCATGCTGAGCTTGAACAGTGTATTCAATGCTAAAACTCTAAGGTAATTTTTTTTCCCTTCAAATTTTGCAGGATTAGATTCACGTGAAGAACGATCAAGACTTGATTTTGGCTCAAAAGAGGAGGACAGGGAGCTATTTTCTGTAAATGGGTTCAATGATGCCGACTGGGAAACCGAGTGCATTGATGAAAGATTCAGAGTAACGAAGCCTGGTCAGTCTATAAGCGAGCAACAGATGCTTCTAATAGAAGAAGATAATGCCAAGACAGCAGAAATGCGAGATAAACAAGTTTCGAGTATAGTCCAGTCAATTGTTGATTTAAATGTGCTCTTTAAAGATTTATCTACAATGGTTGTTGAGCAGGTATGGATTTTTTAATTTATCAATTTTTTAGGGCTGTGCGAATGTGGTTTTTTTTATGTTGAATCGAATCGAATTGAATCGAATATTTTGAAAAAGTTTCAAATTCAATTCGAACCGAATTGAATATTTTTAGTTTTTACCTATTTTTGACCAAAACCAACCTCTGTGTTGGTCGAAGTAAAAATTGAAAAAATAATTTTTTTCTTTCTAACTTTCAAATTTTGATTAAAGAAATTACTATTATGGATAAAAAGATCAAGAATCAATCACTTCACTTAAGTATCAACACATTTTTGTGAACATTTTGATTTGCTGGGGAAAGAAAAGAAGGGAGAGAAAATTGTTTCCTCTCAAGACAAGCAATTGATTGAACTGTCGTGGAACTGTAAAACTGCTTCTTACTGTCCGAAGATTCGTTTTTATCAGTTTTACTCCACATCAATGCTGATCTTGTAAAGACAGTCTAGCAACATTGTAAAGACCTGGGTGCTGTGCGGGGCGGAGAAGGATAGGTTATGGAGGTTAGTACCTCAAAACAAGCCTCAAAACCTCAAAACAAGTAGTTTGAACTGCGCGCCGTAACGAGTTCTTACTAGTACGTCATCAATATGGCCGGATGTACGAATATTCGGTCTTTTTTGTTGGATATTCGGAGTTTAGTCAATGTTGTTGAATAATTCGATTATTCAGGGTTTCCAGGTTCGAGTTCGAATCGAATATCGGAAAAATTATTCGAACTCGAATATTCAAGATTTTCGAATATTCGCACAGCCCTACAATTTTTCCATTGTTACTGAGTATTCATGAGAGAAGAGACTATGCAGTGCCCCTGAGCAAATGTAGGAAAATTTTTCAGGAATGTTATTTTGTCTAGTTGAGTTGAGAAATTGTAATCTGACTGCAAACCTCAAACCACAGCTACTTGCAGCTTCTATCTGCTTGTTTTTTTATGCGAGAATTGCTTGATTTTTTCAAACAAAATTTCAGAGAATATATTTGAAAAGGCAAAGAATACCCTCCAGGATTTCGTAAAATAATAATCAGCTGTCAATCACGCCATTTTTCAAGAAAGTAAAACGTGACTTGTATGAATGATGACTGTCTCAACAAGATTTTTCAAGAGCGTTAGTGAAGGTTACATTTTACTCCTGGTTTTCGACCCCGCGGAATATACTTTTTGTCCTTACAGTAGACCCTGAACGACAACTTATAGAGTTTTAAATATTCGAAACCATTTTTTACTGCCAGAACTCACTAGATCACATTATATTCAAATTGATACTGCTTTTATCAATTCATCATCTGATTCAATCATTTTAATTGTGGCATGTCATCTGGCATGCTGCTGCACAACTTCTACGATACTGAGAGTCTCACTAGTACAATTTTAAACAGGGGGGGGGGAGCCCCCCTTGCAGGTAGCTTTCGCTACTTGTTTGTTTAAAAAAAAATCCACCAAATTAAACAGGTTTGTTTAAATTTTTAATGGCTCATGCAGCCACAAAAATGGTGTCCTTTACTTTTCGAATTCGAGAAATCTCTAGCTCCCCAAGTCTCGAAGTTAGATACAAGAAGTAAAAAATGTTGTTGTTTCCTAAAAAACTTTAGATAAATGACCACTCATTTTTACTCCGTGAAGCATGCTTGGGGCCAAGATTTCTCAAATTTCAAAAATAAGGGACATTCTAGCTACAGAGTGCCTCATTTTAATTCCAGATACTATCACATTTGTATGTTTCAGGGCACTGTGCTTGACCGAATAGATTATACTCTTGAGCAAACTTCAATAGGAGTATCGCAAGGGTACGAGCAGTTGGTGAAAGCTGATCGCTCCCATGCAAAAAATCGAAAAATGATGTGTATTATGTGTTTAGCTCCTGTAACACTGATTATGTTATTTCTGCTGATAATTATTAAGTTTTAACGTAAATTATTGATAAAAAAGATTATAAATGTGTATTTTTGTTTGAGAATTCTCTAACAGAACTAATTTAATTTATTTCCAGATCAGGTAAAAGAAAAGGAATGTGCTTTATACAATTAGAGAGAGGTCAGAGAGGAGAAAAATGAATTGACAAGGCAGCTGCAAAAACGGCTCATATGCAATAACCATCTTTTAAGAAAAATGCCTTTTAAGTTTAAAACTGTCAATAACTTGTTGCTTTTTGAGAAAATGAATGAGTTTTTGTGTGTTGTCATGATTAGGACCCTTGGCAAAGAAGAGCTGAACAAAGATTGATGAATTATTTGTATTGGTAAAAAGCAAGGTGTTTGCATTTGGGCTGTTTTTGCAGTCAGTTGAAGTCAGTGCTCTATTGAATCAGTGAGAACGAAAACACACCAACTCGAAAAATTAAAGTAATCAAGGCACTTACAAAATTACGAAGCAGGTGAAGAAGTTAATCGAAGAAAAAGATTTTAGGTGTCGAAAGACAAGTACTTAAGGATAATTTAAAGGTCCGAGTTGGAACAAATGTGTTAACTTCAATGACCTTTAAGAAAATTGACTGTCATAATTGAAAACTGAGCATTTTCGAGTGACCGAGTTGGTGTGTTTTTGTTCTTGCTGATTCAATAATGAAAGAGGGGAAAATTTAGTAGAAAAGACATTTTTCCAGATTATTATAGAAGTTCTGCTTATGACATGAGGTGATGGTAAGAAAATCTCAAGAAATTCCCTGAATTTTCTCATTAATCCTTGGCTTTTTTCATCATTGAGAGCTTTTTGACTCTCTTAGGTTTTTAAAATTCCAAAAACCCTGTGCACATGAAATTGCCCCAAAAGTCTTTGAAATCTCCTCCAGAAATGCATGAGGCGCATAAATGATGTTTTAGGTTCCACTAAAATTAGAGGGTAAAATTGCAGGTAGGAAGTTAAAAGAATTGAATTTTTTTATTAATTATTAGGTATTTATTTCACATTCTTAATGCATTCCAGCAACTGGCCATAGTACAAGTCAACAACAGTAACAATAACAACTCACTTGTAAATTGAAGGTATTTACATGATTACTAACTTTTAAACTGAATGAGAACCCTCACACATCAGATAATTATTTGCTGATTGTGTATGATCCTCAAGTACATTACAGAAATACAGTCTTTTCATTTTTTTAAAAAAAATAAAAATAAATAAAAAAAAAAGAAAGAAAAAAAACATTACAGTGCAAAACTGATGAATAGGACTTAGGATAGTCTGAAGTAAATGTTTGGCATTCTTCAATTACGCAACTGTCTAAACTGTAAAGGTACTGAGTGAGCCCTATAATAGACAAGCTAATGCCCTGAATTCGAAAAAAAAACATTCTGCATCTTCTTATTTAAATGTGTAGCTTATCCTACATTTACTTACCGATGGTTTAGAACTCATGCTTAAAATTCATTTACAGGGAGATTTCATCTTGGCTACTTTGATTATCTGAGATGGAAAAATACAGGGGCAAAAAACACTTTCAGTTTTGAGGGAACTTTAACTTGAAGTTAATAATGAAAGTTCAACAATTTCACTTTTTTGTGTACAAAATATTTTTGATCACAAATGTTTCCTATACAGCAATTGTTGTATAACTAAGAAAATTGATCATCAAAGTAAAAAAAAAAAAAAAAAAAAAAAAAAAAAAAAAAAAAAATATGCCACAGCTGACTCCTAAAATATCTTGCCATAAATTCAGAAAATAGGTAACTTTCATCTGAGAAAGTGTAGTTTGAAACAACTTTGGAGAAACATATTTATGAACTTGATATAAAGAGATTGAGTCAAATACTCATATTTGAACTAACTGGTAAAAACTTAAAAATAATCTCATGAAAGTGTTGTACAAAATTTAGAAATGCAACATGCGCTAAAGTGATTATTTTATTTTGCAAAGAGTGATTTTAGGAGTCAGCTGTAATAATAGTTATCACAACAAGGACTCGAAGGAACCCTTAGCACCATAAGGAAAGTAGCATTTCTGCTGATTTCTTGTTTCTTGTTTTTTGTTTATAGGGGAGGAAGGGAGCTCAGAATACCAAAGATAAAAAAATTTTATAGAACTGTTTGAAACTGTTATGACCAACAATACTTGGAATTTCAAACTTATCAGTCTGTTATTCTGCATTTGTGTATGCATGTCTGAAAATTTTTTTGGGAACCTTTGGACTATGGATATTAGTACTTTTTGTATTCTATCCAGGGGAGGATCTAAACAAGCATCTATCAGTTTCTTTCTGAGCGAACAATTGGTAAAAAGCTAAAACCAGAGCCCGGGTGGAAAAGCTAAATGGGATAACAATTTGTTTAGAGGTAAAGTCAGAATTTGTTCATAACTAGTTGCTTTTGAGAAAAATATCAGGAGAGTTACTTTCCAAATGATCCTTAAAGGTTCTCTTTAACATTCACAGTCTAACTTTTTTAAAACTTGTATGATTCAACGGACAATCCAAGTAAAAGCATGCAAACACATCACTCGCGCACACAGTCACTCACAAGAAAAAACCTTACAATCATGATTTTTTCTCCATCAGTTTTATTACAATGATTTTTGATTTGACAAATCAATCTCAAAAGGTGAGACTCATCATAAATGGTGAAAAAATTGCCACTGTGACCAATTTCAACAAATCTGAAGAACTCTTGCTGTAAATATTTTTTATCACAAAAGCTTTCAGAACCAAATAGGTCAGAAATTTTGAATTCCTGTCTATGACTCAGGTGAGATACTGGAAAAATATGCACTATGTCATCAAATAAACAAACTAAATCATTCATGAGATACCATGAAACCTTGTCTTTATCTTGAAGAAAGGTGCAAATACGCCCCTCTTTAAATAAGCCGTTCAACAGGGACTTGTCTTCTTCGTTCAATCCCTTTGAAGATGTTCCATGCAAAATTGCCAGGTTCAATCTTACGCAAATGGGTTCTGGCAGGGATTCAAGTTAAAATGCCCATAGTTTTTCTTTTTCGTCTTGGTAACGAATGATTTGACCGAACAGCATAAAAACTGAAGAAGAGTTCAAAATTTGCAATTCTACACAGAAGTTTAAAGAAAAAATGATTTAATTTAGTTATATAAATAAATAAAAAAATGACTACATCAATTATAAATTAGGATAAATCAATAATTTTATAAACCCTCTGCTAGATATAGAGATAGAGTTGAGTGGGTACTCACATCTATACAGATTAGAGAGGGGGAAGAATTCTCTTTGAAACGAACGGATGAAGAGCTAAAATTCATGAGGACAAGGCAGCTGATCTTTTGTCTCTGTTTTTGGCCCGGATGATACTCCTTGCTTTGAATGCTGCAGCATTGATTAAGTGCTGGAAAAAGGTTAAAAATAAATACAAGTGAGAGAGAGAGAGAGACTTGTTGAACTTAGACTTCTTCCCTGCCAAGCTTGTAGTGTTCTGCCTTCTCGGGACACTATGCACCAAATGCGCGTAGAAATTGGGGAGTTAGGCCATCATGGTGCCTTAAAAAAGTTGATGCACTCGCTAATTTTTTTGAACTCACAATTGCAAAGCAGTGGTAGCTCATGATGCCTATGCAAATAGTTAATTTGGCTCCAGAAAATTGGGCTTACCAGGAAAGGTGGCCCCTAAAATTTCCAGGGAAAAACAGAAAACTGCAAGCGTGTGACTTGTTTTTTTTTGTTCTTCACCCCAGGCTTTTGGCAGTTTGTTTTCGTTACACTGTTAAAGAGATTAGACTTCTGCTAGCAAATACCGAAAGACCAATCAAAAAGTATGAATGGACACAGCTGGGAGGTGGTGCTAGGTACGCACCAATTCTTAGTTATACCATAATTAATCATATATTGTGAGCACCTTTTAAAAAAATTCAGCTCTCAGAATGGAGATGTGCACTATATACAATTACTGCTCCTTGGGCAAGAGATCAGTCACAAAACATTTTCTTGGAATCCACCTCCCTACCTGGCCGCGGCCGCTTAAAATGACACTAAACACTGTAAATGTAGACCAAGACCAATCCACACAGGTCAGTCGTTCCCGGGGACGAGTTTTGGTACTCTACTACGCAGTGACGTAGTATTGAGTGCCTGCAATGTATTTCTTATGGGAGCACCCATTCTGACGTAGCATTGAGTGCTGCGAGTTATGGCCGGGCGGGGGAGTGGATTTCAAAAAAGCTGCGCAATGATTGACCTGTGTGGATTGGTCTTGATGCAGACTAGTTCTCTATCTCGCTCATCCATCCACTCTGCCGCTAACTCTCAGTCCTCTTTTCATGGTCAGTCTTTGCAACTCCTCTTCGTTCCTTTTCTCTTTTGACCGGACATGCCGACTTCACTGCCTTTCGTGTATTCTTACACATGCTCCTCTTAAGCCTTGATTCAACTCTGCACGATGACCAGTGGCGTGGCGTGCTATGCGATACATCGATTGATCGGCCATTTAAACCTATGCAAAAGGATCGATAAACAAGGTGTTCGCAGCGAACACCTTAATAATCGATTCTTTACCATAGGTTTAAATGGCATAACAATCGATACACCGCAATTCACGCCACGCCACTGACGATGACATTAGAACTAGAGTCCCTTTATACTGAGAGTCAAGACAATGTGAATCCATTTCTGATTGGTTCACGTATTTCAGGCCTCCACAGTGTCACAAACAAGAATAAAGATTACATTTTCATCAATTACAAAGATTATAATTTAGAATGTACCAGGGAATGACGGGTTCGACAAGAAACAAATGGAATGAGAGAAGAAACAGAGAAAGGAATTTGAGAATGAGCTGATCAAGGATTACTAAAAACTGCCAATTTATGTGATCTTTATTCCCGTTCGTGACTCCATGAGGGGGGCTGTCTTGACTCTCAGTATAAAGGGACTCCAATTAGAACCTGTGCTCTATGTGCAGTAATTAGCCTATTTACTACCTTTCAACAATGCACAAAAAGATAGAATCTGCATTGATATTCTCACCCATTTTTCGGATTCTCACTTTCTGATCAATATTGACAAAAATCGTTTTGAAAATTTTGTCCTGACAAATGTTCTTCCAAGTGGAAAGTTCATACTTTAGTCTACAATGCAACTATGGAGGTGGTTTTTGTACTTGCATAGTGCGTGTGCGATCGACTCCAGCAATATTGAGGGAAATTTTGCATCAATCCATGGAGATGGTAAGGGGCTAACTCTAGTCTACCATTAACCAATCGGCTTAGTAAAACGCTTGTTGCCTTATTTACCTCATGAGCGAAATATTTTATCTTGCAACTGCATGGATAAATGATAACTTCACAGATGACATGCATTTTAAATTAATGAAAACTTACACGTTCCAATTTAGACTGCTTAGAGACAGCTACATTTAAGTCAGTTATCTTTTCTCCCAAATCCAATATTTCTCGCAAGAGATCGTTTTCTTTGAGATGTAAATTCATTCCTGATCCAAGGACCTAAAAACAAAACAAAAATCATTGATACGAGGTCTGTTCGGAAAGTATCCGACCTTGTTGATTATCTCGCTATCAACGGTTGATAAGAGATTGGGGCTTGGGATTATCTTTGCACGGTCTCTACTGAGTGCAGGTGCATAGTCAGATTATCACACATTCAATCAGTCATTTGTAAGATGCTGATTAGTGGGTGTGATTCTGGTGCGATCATCAGATTCCGTTTTTCTTAAAAAAGAAGTTGAGAAGAAGATCGTCACAGGAGACGAGTCTAGGGTCTACGGGTATGACGCTGAGACAAAGGTGCAATAGTCAGTTTGGAACACACCCAGGACACCTCACTCAAAGAAAGCTTGGAAGAGTTGAAGCAATGTGAAAACAGTGTTGATTGTCTTCTTTGATCATGAAGGTGTCGTTCATCATGAATACGCTACTGAAGGCTCTGCTATCAATAAGGAGAGTTACCGAGAAACTTTACGTCGCTTAATGGGCCTTGGGGAGCATTTTCATGATGAATAACACCTTCATGATTGAAGAAGACAGTAAACGTTGTTCTCACATTGCTTACGCTGGAACAGTTTGCGGATTGAAAAATTACTTAAAAGTCCTGTAGGGTTATTTGCAACTCGTCCTCGAAAAATTGCTGGAACTCCGTGAGTTTTTAACCGAATAAGCTCAAATTTTAAGGTTTGATGGCTAATAGTATGAACTACAACCTCCAACAAATCGCATTTTGATATCTATCATAGTTCCCAAATTACAGACTTGGTCTCAATTGTTTTGGGACACCCTGTGTAGTTGAGTACACGAAGAGATAGGTATTGATTCAACAAATGAAAAAATTTGAATTACGTTATCCTATGACTAGAGTTGGGCGGAAAAGGATTTTTCAAGTCACCGGATATGGTTATTGAGTTTTTGTATTGGCCGGAGCCAGATACCAGATAATTTGCCGAGGTATCCGGCCGGAACCAGATAGTGCTTCTTTGCATAGAAAAAATTTCAGAATTTCGCGCTTGGGACATGAGCCACACTGTGTATTAGACCATCGACACTATCATCGACAATGTAAGTGCCTTCATTTTGGCAACCTCCTCATTTTCAAAAACATGCGATAAGTCGGCCTGCTATAACGAATACTAATAAAATATGACCCAGCAGATGAGCAGCATTAACTTTCATTGGATTCATGATGTGATGGGCCAGACGGATCTGATTCAGATGCGTAGAAAGAAAGATATTATAAGAAGTATAAGTAAACAAGACCCAAGTGGAAAACGGAGCTGCCAACCTCACAATTTTGAAAGCACTGTCGCCGCTTGTCAATCAAAAGTCGCATCATTTCAAAGCCTGTCTTGTGACGGAAAGTTGCTCGGTTAATCTTTATTGGTAAGAATCTCCAAATAAACAAGAGAAATGAATGTTTAAACCAATCACGAACTTAATTGGCCTTTGTTTCGATATTGCAGTAACAAACTGCGCACTGCAACATTACGATACTTACGGAGCTACGCTCAGACTAAAAATGTGACCAACAGGAGAACTTATGAATCTGTTGGTGGCATTGTTTTTTTCCCTGTTCTACTGCATTTTTCGTTTTTGAAAATGAAACACTCGGCCCTAAGAAATTAAGGTTCACGTTGCAATCGTGTTAGTTCACGGAAAATGTACTTGATTCTGGTGATAACAAGTTCCGAAAAGTTGGACAAATACCATAACTAGTCAAAAAGCGCCAAAATATCACCAAAAAATAAATCAAAATTTTCACAGCTGATACCCGCGAAAATCGTGTACGGCCGGATAAACGCCGGATACCCGGCCCAACTCTACCTATGACAGATCAAAGAAATCATTGTGTCTGAAATCAAACGAGACTTCAGTGGGGCATACCTGACAAAAAACATCATATTGTTTTTTGCGGCACCACGTGTCTAGTGACAGTGTTTCTTGTCCGAATCTGATCTGAACATTTGGTGAGGCATCATCCTGAAAAAGTAAAATCATAAAAAATAATAGTAAAAAAACATTACAAAGAATAAACTTCTTGATAGAGGTGTGCAGTTGAACTGCATTTAACAGAAAGGAACCAAGCCACATCAGGTATTGCTAAATTCAATTGGATGGTTTAATTTTTTACATGAACACGGTTGTGTGGATTTTCATGCAAACAGTGAATTTTCTCCATAGTACGAAGCTAATTCCTTACAATTTTCAAGGGAATCCGCACAAACGTTCTCTCGTAATAAATTAAATTGCCCAGTTAAATTTGGCAATGGCTGATGTGGCTTGGTTCCTTTCTGTCAAACGTAGTCCACTTAAAGATGTTCAGGGTCGATTAAAATAAAATTCAAGTAAAAAAGCAATTTTTTTGAAAACTATTCTCTTAAAAGAAGAAAATATTACTGGAACCTTAAAAACGCTGCAATCAATATTGGTGGTTTTTCTTAACGTCTTATTGCCTCTGGTCAAACTACTGATTACATTTGACAAGAGGTTAAACACGAAAGTAGTATTTTATCATATCTTCTAACCAGCAACTTCTGGTCAAATTTAGCTTGATGGAGGGAACATTTGGAAAATATTTAACGGGTACTTTAACCTCCTGTCAAATGTTGTATCGCAGGTTAAATTTAAATCCTGGTCTCTGATTAATTAATGTAGCAGTCCACTGCAAAAGTTCCTCCATCAGTACTTTGTATTTCTTACGTTCCACTCAATACTTGTTTATAACATATCGCAACATCCCGCTGACAATGAGCTGGTTTGCAACTGAGTTTGGCACGAAATAAACTGAAGTTTCAGAGGTATTGCATTCATAATTGGCGGCACTTTGTTACTTGGTATATTTTTTTAAACAACAGTAAAATTTTAACCAGAAGATAAATGTGACTAACAAGGGGTGATAGAACAAGTTTTCTTTTGACCAGAGAATAAACGCTTAACCTCTGGTTACATAGCAAGCGGATTTGATCAGAGGTGATAGAACTGGCCTTAACTTGAGTAAAATTTTTCACTTATACTCAGAAAGTATCATCTCTATTTACAGATCAAGTTTGTTATAAAGAGCACATACTTCAACATATCGGAGGATATCCCTGAAGCTGGATCTCTGCATTTTGCGATCTTTCTTAGCACGGTATTTGTGAGAGTCTGTAGACAATTGATGTAGCTTCTGAATGAGTTCTTCAGAGGGCTCCCAGTCATCATTATCATCATCTTCGTCTGAATTATATTGACGTGACTGTTCAATTAAAACAGCTATTGCTTCACCAGCTGCCATTCGTACTTCTAAATGTGCTGAGTCGAGAAGATCACCTAAGTCACTGAGGGATCTGAAACAAATATTACGCGGAAATGATTAACACCAGAAAATACATCATGACACTATAATCCCCCATCTGTTTTCATCCTGTAATTATAGATATCACAGTTTGTCACCATTGTGATTTGATGCTGTCTGATTTGTTAGAACGTAATATGACTTTTGACTGATTTGGGGCTAAGATTTTGTTACACAACAATAAGATTTAGAGCAAAATTAGGTTAATAAATTTTAGTATATGCCGAAGACCAGTGTTTACACTCTTTTCTAACTTTCAAGTTTTTCATTTGCCACAGGTCTTGAGCAAAAAGGAAGAGAAAAAAGGTTTGAGAATCACCCTAAACTTAGCCCCCATACAACTTAAACAAAGTCTAAATCATTCTCAAAACAGTGAGGCTCTTTACACAGCCCCAATGCCCACTTTACTTTAACTTTTTTTTAAAATTTTCTTCTCTATAGGGTACATAATTGCTTTGGAGGGATAAACAAGTAGAGCTGTTTGTTGACGGAGAGATTGTTCCCAGCTTGGCATAGTTGTTCAGGGTTGCCACAGAATTTGGAAAATGAAATTCCTCAGTCACAATTTGCTAAAATTCCCTAACAATTGAAGATATACCAGATGGTTAAAAAGGCACAGTTTGAAATAGTTTTCATGCAAAATCTGTTGTTTATGAAGTCAACCTTGTTCTAGAAAGTGAATAAAGGTGACTTAAAAATGTTTACCTAGAACTTTGGTCATTTCTCCTGACATTCATCAGTTTTCCCTGACCGTGGCAACCCTGGTTTTGCCCTGCAGTCATGATGAAAAGTCTTACTTAGGATTCAATGGGTTGATTCTGTTAGAAGAGAATTATCGGTAAAAACTTGTAAAATAGTAACTGCTCTTTTATCAACTGCTGAGGATACCATACAATTCGGAGTTTTCCAGGAAAATTTCCCATGTTATCTTTTTATTCCAACACAAAGGACCTCCAATTAAATAAATGGGTGTGGGTTGTTTGGTCACCATGAAGAGCAGCGTAAATCACAGTATATCTTACGGGAGGGAAGTAATGGGGACGACAGTAGCAAGCAGCGTCCAGGCAGAGAGGGCAGTCGAGTGGAGAACTGCAAGATCCTGGGAGATGATGGGTACCGTGCCATCTCCTTTGCGATATGAGGCGCTGAAGATGGTTTGTAAGTTTCGCATCGTTACCGCAAAATCATCAGTATTGCAGATAAATGTCAGCACACCAAGAGCATTGCAACACTGCAACAATATAATATCTTTAGAATGGCAACTAATGACACCAAACTTTAGAAGCAAAAGACAATAAAAAAACCGCAAATTGCTAACAAAATTTTTTTTGGTATTAGATGTATCACCTTTACAATGTGACAGTAAAAGGTGACTGCAATCTAAAAATCAATTAAAAAGAAACTGATCAGGTGGAAAGAATATAATTGTCAGGAATGATATTCATTGAATACATTTGCAACTATTGGTACAGTACACAGCGCAAGTTGGCTGCCAATAGAACTTAAAATTAAGAGTTGCAATTTACTTCAAAAAGCATTCGGTCGATAGCTTGGGAGCCTTTTCTTTCTACTCTTTAGGAGATTTTGTTTCCAGGGCTGTACCACTACCTGAAAACCACCATTCCGATGATACTAGATGATTACAAGAGCCTAAAAAAGATAGATGAAGGGAAGAAAAAAAAGGGGGAGATTTGAAAAGAGAGCACTAAGTATTTGGGAGAGAGGTGAGGCGCGAGGGTACCTTCTAATGCGGGGTGAGATTTTTTGGGTTTCTACCCTCTATAGATAAGTTTTGGAGAAAAAGAGTGGAGATTCCACTGCATGGGAACATTTCATTTCTTAGTAATGCTATTGAGCTGAAAGGCTTGTTCTCTCTCCACATAAACCAATATAATTTTAGCGGCAAACTTTGAGCCTGTGGCATTTTTAATGAATTGAACCACTTTAAAATGTCCTTTTCAGGTCTTCAAGATAGTCCCAAACCTATGATAGACCCACCTGCAGGACAGCTGATGGTAGCCTGTAAAAGAACAGGTTATATTTGATAACAAAACAGAAAATTAACCGGAGTAAATTACCTTTGCTCGAGCATGTGCTGAGACCGAGTGGTCATTGGCTACAAATGAGAGAACAGGAATTAAATCTCTGGACAAAAGATCCGACAAGTCGCCTGCTCCCATTTGGATGCACAGTAACATAGCTAGATGTGCAGCAGCAGCTTGTTCAGTTCCACGTCCTTTTTTCAGACACCGCTCAATTCCATCTGTTATTGTGTATCGTCTGTAGAAAAATATTAGGGTATAAGTTTTTCTGATGGTAAACAGGAAACTCTAAAACTTAGCTTAGATTACAGCTTACAGCTTAGATTTTGCATCAAATTCACATTGCTTTCTCATTTTTATTTCATTTTCAGATTGTAATACATACATATATTTACATAACAGAACCTGAACATTGACAGGACTCTTTGCCCCCCTCACGGTTCGTCTCAGAGGGAGATAAATGAAACTGTGTTGCCCACTCAATATTCCTTCGGGATCTTGAAGTGAGATGCGTACACAGTCATTTAAGCTTAAAATGGAAATATTCTGTCAAGCTCTTGGAAAATAAAATCGATTTTTGTGTTTTTGGCGCTAGAATGACCTTCAAAGACGATCGACGAATCAATTCCAATGGGGTGTGCTTATGTAAAATGATATATGCATGATGAAATCTACGTATTTCTGGGCCAGGAATCGGTTGAGCAGGGTCTTGAATTGCACACACTGAATTGGGACACTTCATTCCCTGAAAATTGGGCTTTTTTTTGGTTTTGGGGTGTTTTGGGCCCATTTTTTCACAGTTTTGGCGTGAGAAAACCTGTGCCGTCATGGGTGATGATTATCAGGTCATTTCGGGCAGAACTTCGAATGCACTTGGTCCCAAGACACTCCGGGGCTCCCGGAGTGATACAGGGTTTTCGAGATATAAGGGGTCAAAGTCCTTGATTTGCACTCAATTCTGCAGGTATTTTAATGTTCAATTCCGACTATTAATTGTTTTCTGATATAGATATCGAAGTGCGATTTGCGGTGGTTAATTCAGCTACATGTGGTGGACTTTTCTACATATTTCACAAACCCTCACTTCGTTTTTTTTTTTGGGGGGGGGGTGTCTTTTTCTATACAGGGTGTGCACAAGGTGTGGGTACTTCTTGATACCTCGAGAACGGTGGCAGATATTGACTTACGGTTAGGACGAAACTTCCTTGAATTAAAGAAGGCACATTTTTGGTGAAGGGTTATGACCCCCTTGCCCCCCACGGAGGTGGGTGGTAGGTTCAACTTCTCGAAGATATCGATATGCCCGCCATTTGAAAGCCTGCCAATTTTAAAACATCGTAATATTTTTTGCATTCTGATGTCAAATTCGGACATTTCCTGAACCACACCATTTCACTACTATTGAAAAGAAAGCTGTCAACACAGGGCAGCTATAAGTTTATCTATGTCATAAAAAGCTTTTTCCATACAGAATTTTGTCAACTGGTGTAGAAATAAATTGAAGGGATTAGATTCAGAAGATTTCTTGAGACACAGCGGAAGGGAGTTGAGGGTTGTCTGGCTAAGTACGTAATATCACATTTTGATTTCTTCAATCTGAGGAATGGGAGTAAAACCTACTGCTCTTGCCTTCGAGAGTATCAGGTTTAGAGAAAAGGATGATCTTGAACTGAAGCAAATTATTTTCCTTTTTTTTCTCTTCTAGTTATGTACCTGTACCATAAACTACAAATTCTTCCTCCTAGTTCCTGCTTAAACACTAAGCAGGGAGGCTGCCCATCTCTAAAAAGGTCAGTTTTTTGTTAAATATGGCCAAAAATATTTTCAAACCCAAAATCCTATGAAAAATTCAAAGTTGAATCAATGAGTACAGTCATGTGAATAAGGGCTTGCAAGTAAGGTTATGCAAGGAGGGCCTTCTTCAAATTTTGCACCAAACCATACTCGTAAAAATACAAAACTGATGAAAATGCCACCAAATAACATAAAATGTGATTAATAAACAGCAGACCTGTCTACTGCAAAATCAGGAAGATATCTTTTGCTGAAGGCCACAGACACAGAATCAAGACACTGAGCTCGTCCTTGAGACGATTTTTGTGAAATGCCATCAATAGCTTCGATCAGTTTTTCTTCAAAGAGGTCATCTGTACTTTCATCGATGCCATCACTTCCTCCTGGAAGAAAAATGATAATTTGATGAAATAATAATAAAATGATACAATGAAAATATAATGAAAGTTCCCAGATAACAAGGGACATTTTAAGCAAGTAAATATCCATGTTGCCCATGAAATGTTGCAGAAATATTTCAATTTCTACACTGAATTACACGTTTTCACACCTATGTTGCAAAGACAATCTGTTGGCTACATTGCAGGGACATGGAACTCTATGTAGTTGAAAACACGTTGCAATAGGCCACAAAGGCCAGGAGCACCCGCACATGGTGCCACAATTTGCAGCCCAGGTTGCACAAGAAGTCTACTGCACATGCGCAGCCCATGAGCGGTTGGCCTCAAGAACGGCGGAGTTTTTGCTGAAGAGGTTGCAACTGTTTGAGTGTGTCTATCAATATTATCTTGATCTCAGCGTACCAAGGATTTTCGCAGTTTAATAGTCTGCTTGAAGTGATGCTTTCCTCAGAGTTTTACATCAATGAAAGGTTTGTTGATGATCTGATTTACACTAGTTTGTTTGTAATTGTAGGTCTCAGGTCAATGTCTAGAATTTTAACTTATAGCTCATATTCTTCTCTTGCACTGAAAAAGCTTATTTCTTCTCTAGTATGTATACCTAAATGAAGGTCATACCCATGAAGAGAGTGATTGAATTTTTTTTTAAATCATCATTTATTGCAATCAACTAGATAGTTAACGAAATTTTTGAATCGTAAACATGTTAGGAGGGAAAGAGATGCAGAATTTGTGAAAAGTACATAAATGCCTCACTATGTTATGCACATAAAATGGGTTCTAATGTTACAGCAACGCTTGCGTTACACATTCGTGCAATGTAGTCGTTTGTGCGAGGTTTCTGCAATGTGGACACTGAAACGTTCCTGTTCAATTGTCGCTGCAATGTTTACATGGGAACTTTCTGGAAACTGTACTTAATACATAGATGCCCATCCACATAGAATTACATATCCCATTCTATGTTGAGCGGTATAAGGGAGATAATGAATTCTACATTGTTGTTAACATTAAAATTGTTAACTGGGTTACAATTTTAAATGAATATTTTGGGCTACTCATGGAGATTGGGATTTGGTTTCTCCCTGATTGGATCAAATCTAGCAGCTGAACTGAAGCCAATAATACAGATTTGTACATGAAAATGGGATAACAGGGCACAGAACAGGATAGGAATTAAAGCATCTCCGACATGTTTCCTCATTAAAAGATTTTACAGAAATTGGAACTTCCTATGTTCATGTCTTATACTTACTAAGCACATTTGGTACGTTTTGTATTAAATTTTAAAAAGGTAACATGTACAGCAGTACTTCAATCCTGATTTAGTGCACTGGTCAATTCTTCTTAAATGGCATTTAATTTTTGACAGTGACTCAAGGGTTCTAAATTTCTGATTTTGGGAGGAACTGTAGAGGAAAATAGTTTGGGTAGGCAAACAAGAGTCATACCTTCATCGTTTACTGCGTTCTCAGATATATTGCTAATCACACTCGCATTATCGTTCAGGGAATCTTCATCTGAGGTGGCTCCACTTTCAAATCGAGATTTCGGACCTGAGGACAAAACAGAGATGTTAGGATAATACAGGGAGAAGTAATGACTTAAAGGACAATCTGAGGTATTCAGAATTATATTTGCATCTGCACTGCCCCACACTTATAAAAATAGACATGAAAAGAAAATGGTCGCATCTTGAGGATTTGGCTACCGTGTGACATAGGTCAGTATAATGTGGCGTCAGTATTTCAGCAAAATCCAAAATTTAAGGTATGAAAAACAGACCATTGCGTTAGTTTTTCTTGCTTGTTTCAACGTAAAATATGGTTTCAAGCATGTAATGTAGAATGACTTTCTTCCTAAATGACACGTTTCAAAGAAAATCGAAGATAAAAACCGCCCATAGGTACCGACCTATGTCATCGACAAAATTCAAGATGCCCAAAGTGCAACCACCTCCTTGAGTCCTCTATGATACTTAATAAAATTTTCTAAGAAGTTAGTGGCATTGCATGGATTCAAAACCAATTTTTGTTACTTACTGAGTAAGTGACAATCTGGAAAATTCCGGTAGGGTTATCATATGTTCATTGGGTGAATAAAGCCGTTTAAAATCTATCACAGCCAACAGGTACCCTACTTCATCAAAGTATGGTGAGACATACAAAACAATGGTTGCTGCCAATACTTGTGATAATAATATTGAAATTTTTTTTTTTTTTTTTTTTGGGTTGTTGGAAGATACAATCTGCCTAGGTAGGCTTAATTATCTCTTTGATTATTTTGCTTCACCTCACTGGATCATTAGCTCGAGTATGGCGAGAGGGTGCGCCGGCATTCCGACTGTCACCAGAGTTTCCCCAAGGGACTATTAACGATTAGAGTTAAGATTCAGGGAACTTATTAAATGGATTTGAAGGATATTTGTCTCATTTATGGATTGTTCGTTCTTGTTCAATTTGAAATAAGGTGCAGGTATCAGCAGAGAGCAGATGGGAGCATAGGTTAAGTGAATGGAGTTCCCGGAAAATGACAACATGGACAATCTCAGTGGATGAGAGACGAGTGATTCTAATCCTAATGGTAAAAAGTTACAAATTCGTGGCAGCTTGGTTACAATTTTGGCAAAAATTAAAGGAGTAAAGTTCTGATGTTATTTAGAGCACCTAAGTGTGATTTTCAATCAGGAAGAGCATGGTTGTTGAGTCATATACTGTAACTGCTGTAACAGTCAAAAGTCTGATCTGGAACATGAAAACTGAAACACAGTTGAAATTGAGCTCCAAGCTGGCCCCTGAATTTCTTTTCTTCATAATATGTGACCTTGAATGAAAAACTGACGCAAATTCTAGATGAATAATTCTCTTACCAGACTTGGTTTTTCGTTTTCCCTTGGGCATAGTTGATCACCTATCACTTTACGAGGAAATAAAAATCAAGAGGCTAAAAGATGCACTCGCGTATTTTCATCAACAAAGATAAGGAAGTCGGAGCTGTATTTTGTGACAAAATTGAGTGAAACAATGAAACACATTTTCAGAAAAGAAAAATACTCGTCTTCTCCACCTAGGCAGTGAGAAAGAAACGCGGATTGTGCGAAAATCGGAGCGGGGTGAATACGGAGTACGGACACGATTACATGCCATCGGTGGGGAGAGGGGATGGGAAGGAAAATTCGATATCGACTGAAAGCGAGATATATCGATTTACTTACTCTCATTGTCTACGTTGGTAGCGCCAGGCAGTAATCGGGACTTTTTTATTGAGCTTGGGCATTCGTTTCGGAAAATATTAGTGGTACCGCTGCGTTTCTCGCGAAAATTTACGCTGAGCTAACATTTTAATCGCAAATCCCTATAGCATGTACTTAAATTGCTAAGGCTCCTTGGTCGAAGCATCTGGTCGAACCGCACTGGCGCGATTTCGACTTTCGAGTCTGAAGAGGGGAGGGGGATTTAGGGTCCATCGCTGATTGGTCAAACTCATGTGACCCATGTGAGTAAGAAACTGGCGCGAAAACCAAGTGAATGATCCATTATAATAGTTATTATGTGAAGATGGTGGGAGGGGGAGGGGAATGATGTCCTGGTAGCAGAAAATGAGCCTCGTGATGGATTTATGCAATTCATTGATTATTTATGCATGTAATTCGCAATATCTTAATGGCATTACTAAGACATTGGCAGGAGAGGGATGTCTGTGATTAAATTTCTATCCAGGGTTTAAATCTAAAAAATTCCTGAAAATTACCTGTCAAGGCATGTGTGTGCAGATAGCATGCTCATCAGCGGGCCGATTATTGAAATTTAAACCAGCCCGATGAGACATTGAATTGCGATATATTGCATGGTTAAGATAGGGCTATGTCTTGTCGTGTCGGGCTGACATAGTTTCAATAATCGCCCCGCTGGCCGCCTGATGCACCTTTCAATGTAGCCTACCATAGTAATGAAGTTTTTACTGCTCCCTGTCTCTTTTTCTTCCTTATACTGTGACACAGAAATTTTACTTCCAATTTTGGAGACAAAGTAGTTTAGATTTAATCATTTTGAGGAAAACTTATTTCAGTATAAATAATTAGCGAGGAAATCGAACATGAGAGCTCATTTTTTCGCCTCACAGTTCAAGTCCAAAATCAACTGATTCAAAGGGTTCCACGTAATTTTTTGGCTTTGAGGGCTACTTTTGCAAGATGGTATAAATTTCATTTACAGAGTGTCTACTGGTGCATCATCAATGTCATCATCTAAAATCCTTCCTTTTTTATCATCTTTCCCATCCCATGTGGCAGAATTTCAAGATTGATACTAATAGACGATAAACTAGATAATAAGCTATAAATAGATAAAATTTTTAGATTAGATAGAATAGATTCATTTATTTATTTCAAAAATTTGAATTTTCATAGATGTAAACTGAAACCGTTTTATAGGCCGAAAGAAAGACTTAAATAGTCAATTCACTGTCTATTTTTTGCTTTCAACCTTTGCTTTTTTGCTATTTATTGGTATAAAACTTCTACTAAATAGCAATCTTTTTCTACATGTGAAATAAAAACTCGCTACAAAGAAAATATTTTAAACCATCAAGAAGCAAGTACCTACTTAAATGGGCAAATGTATTTTTAGTTGATAAATTACCACTTTTTAATGATTGATCAACATTGATTTCTGATTTACAGTTAGGCGAGTCTCCCCATTTGTCATTGGGGAGGGGGGGGGGAGGCTCTTTGAGTTAATTATTCCTTTTAATGGTATGAAAAAAACACAGTCGACTGGACTTATATACCTACTAGAATCCTGCAAAAATCTCTTGCCACTGCTCAAAATTAGTCAAGACATAAAATATTGATCTTTCATTGCTAATGCAAAGAAAAATGTTTAGAAATGATTCTTGAACTGTTATTTTCTACTCAAGTTCAATAGCCATCTTGTCTATCTGATAAGTAACATGTGATTTTGAACATGAGATGTCCATTGGATTGTGATTTAAATAGTCTTGCAGCTTTTATGAATGAATTCCTTTGGAATGAAGCTTTTACTGTAAGTTTGAACAAATGCACACAATATAAAAATGTGTTAATACTTCTTGCTTTCAAGGTTGGAGCCAAACATGATGGCTAATGCATTTACTAAATAATTGAAAATTAAAACACGACAAATTTTGCAGTTATGTCAATCATCCAAAAAAACACCCGTAAGAGGTCCTTTTAATGGCGAATCAGTTGAAAAAAAGATGGAGTCGACTGCCTTTGGGAATTATTGAATACCTGTCAATACTCATGCATGACAAAATCAGCAAATCGTTAAACCTACGGCAATTAAGTCAACAGAAAACTAGTAAAAAAATTATTTTTATTTAAAGTTATCAGTAAAACAGCTTAAGAGGGACTACATAAAATAACCGTGGGGAAAAACAAGGCATAGTCACCGCACCATATCAATACATTAATACATTATACACCTCTTAGATAATAGATGGTCAGAACGGATAAAAGAATTTCAAAATAAAATTGCAGATTGAATCATTTCTGCTAAGTGACAAATAAGCTGTAGCTCTTTGGAAAAGTTGAATGGAAATTGAGAATATTTCACAGAGCCGCTGATCTGGATCCAAGGTTGAGCAGAGCAAAATACAAGATGGAGAAAGATTCATGAGTGGGTATTGACCAAAATTAACGAAGTAGAATATTTAACAACTAGGCAACAAAAACATATTATATAATTTTTGTTCAAAATATAACAAAAATTTGAAACAGGAAAGACGGACCGAAATAATGTAAAAAATGAAATGAATGGAAGGGAAAATATTTAAGAGGATAATGGTTCGAACAAACTGTACATAATATTACATAAATTACACAAAGGTACACAAGACAAATATTTACAGGATGCAAAAAGACATCTATGAGATACAAAAAAAAAAAAAAAAAACTTCCTGTTGAAAATAAATAATCTTAAAATATGTTTCATGATCATTAAAAATGATGCAGAAATTCTACATAACATTTGCAAGCCAATGGTTGAAATTTTGCACTGGTCTATTGGACAAGACAAGACTGAGGAGTAATTGAGTTACATAATTACTTAGTGCTATAATGCTGTACTAAGAAAGGACGCCGTAAGAGCCTTCAGGCATTGCCATATTTTATTCAATAAAAAACAATTTACTGAGGAAAATTTGCATCATTTTTTTTAAAAAAATTTTCAGAGAATTTTGTTCTCAATTTCATCTAAAATATCTGAAAATTTCAAGGGAAAATAAACAAAACTTTTTTCAAAAATACATGTTTTATCTGGAGATATTTGGCAACTCTAGAATGTTCATACGGCATTTTTCCTTAGCACAGTAGTATGACGGAGAGCAGCGATTGAGCCTTCAAGGAACAGGATGACGCACAAGCTAGAAACCACCCCCTTAGGGACCGACAACAGGTTGATTGTATGGTCTCATAAAGGCTCAGTCATGGCTTTTGAACATACTACTGACGGATCACACAACCCCATTCCATCTTGAACTTGTTTCATCCAATAGATTAATACAAAATTTCAACCGTCAGCTTATAGGTAATAAGGTAATACAAAATTTAATAATGGAGGAAAACTGAATGATCACTACTCTGAAAGCAAGTTACTACAATTATTATCCTATGGTTAGAAAGGAAGAAAGAGGCTTCTCAGAAAGTGGAGATTATGTGATCATTAGTAAGAATTACTAAAGATTTTTTTCATCTCATTTTTTCCTTCTTTCCTCATAAAACGCATTGAGATACTAATCAATAGTTAAATACAGGAAATAAAAATCATACATCTACAGCCCTTTCCACACGTTGCAAGTTTTGATGCAAGTGAGCCGAAAGTGGGAGTCATCACTCATCGATGGTCGTGAAATTTGCGGACGGGACGCAAATTTCAGCATCATCGATGAGTGATGACTCCCACTTTCGGCTCACTTGCAGCAAAACTTGCAACGTGTGGAAAGGGCTTACGAAAATGAGAAAGAAACAGAATGCGCATTGCCATAACAAATTAATAAAAAAGCTTTCTCTGCAGCATGAAACTAAACTTCTAAAAGGCTCTTAAATAAGTTCAAAGAAACGTAAATGAATGGTAAACTAGAGGCCCAGTTGACAACAAGTAAAAAAAAAAAAACGCTTTTCAGCCAAAGTAGAGACGAAATGGTACATTTCAACTGAACAATTAAGTGAAAAAAGGAGTACCTCATGAGCCTACTGAGTCAAAAAATCAACCCTATCTTGGACTTGAACTTTTAAAGGGATGAGGTGGTTTTAGAGGGTAAGTAAATATATGTTATTTTGAAGGCCTGGACGTGACGAGAGTTTTGAGGTATCAGCAGCTAAGATTAAATGAGTTCGAAAAATCATCCCCCTCTTCGACTTGAAATTTTCAGGGAAAGGGGTGATTTTAGAGGATAGATGAATATATGTAGGTTATTTTGAAGGCAAAGAAAAGACGGGTATTTCGAAGCATCAAAGGCTAAGATTGGACGAGTTCGCATTCCAAAATTCCCGTTCAAAACAAAAGAAAAATTCGGTGATTTACTATAAAAGTGATTCATCATACCTAAAAACCTTTGTATTAATTTCTCTTGAGGTTTCTTTTTGTTAGACAAAGTTCAAGCGATAACCAATCTAGTATTATTTCAAAAAGTGCTTTCAAATTCCTCGACAGGTTTGCAAGGCAACTCGAGGACCACAGAGTGGTGCAACGACAAAGAAGTGTGGAAATTGCTGCTCTAAATCGCACTATGCTACTGCGCACAAATTGGACTTCTTCAAGACTTTTCATTTGTCACTCATACGTCTTGTCAGACATTTTTCACCTCTGAGATTTTAAGAATGAGATGAAACAATTTTAAAATAGTTGCTGCACATGCATGTTAAATAAAATTTTACTTGATAGTTGATAGAAATTTTCTTTCAGACAGCAGCGTAGATTCAGTCAATGAAAAAAAAAAAAATCAAAATATTCACCAGGAAAATTTGACTACATTTTGTAGTATAGAATCCCTATTTTTGGCTCATTGTAGAACGGACTTACTTCCCCCTTTATTTTCCTTGGATTGAAGCTTTCTAGGATGAGCCAAAAATAGAGGTTCCTTATTGCAAAATGAGACTTGATTATGATTGAATATATGAGTGGGTATCTCATCAACATTGATTATAAAAAATTGCAAACAAAGCACAGGTAAAAGGAACATGCAAGGGAATTCGAACGTATTAATATAATTTCTGTTTCCCCACAAATAATTGGGTAATCGATTGATACCTGATAATTATCAGCTTCGTTTGCTAATCGAAAGACACCTGTCATGTAAAAAGAAACGATTTCTTGTTCCGAAAAGTTTCTTGATTCATCACTTGAAAAATGACAGGTAAAAATTATTCTGATGTTAAAAATCAGGAATTAACTTAAAAATCTCATAAATAAACTAGGATCATTGACACATAAAATAATTCAATTTCCATCGTCAAATAGTAAGTGTGAGATCCTCGCTGTTTTACTTAGAACTTGAGTCAGTTGAGAAGAGTTCTCGCTTGCTCGCTGAGAAATGGAAGATACTTTCCCTACCCAACGAATGAGATAAATTTAGAGGAATGAATTTGGGTTAAAGAGACTGAATTAATGAAAATAATTTCCGACAAGCCATTTCACCAAGTCTTATACTTGAGGAAGTCATAAGTAGTTTGTTTACCCTCCCTCCACTTTACATACTTGAGAAGGCGCTCCAAAAAAAAAAAAAAAATTGACAACAGTCTAATGAAAAAAATCCAGGTAAATGGATAAAAAAGACAATTTCACAATTCTTTACTATTGGAGGCTTTTGGATGGTTTTAAGAAGTTTGTTCACTTAAAGGTAAACTTTTCTTCATTCATTATTACTGACTACTAAATTTTAACTGTAACAGGCCCCTCTTGAGGCTATTATGTACTAAAAGTTAAATCGATCGATCCATTGGAAGCTAATACATCAAAAATATATATAAATTGGAGATTAGAGTGTTGAAGATCAATGTATAGAAGCTTAAAAGAGGGCGAGGATTGGATGAAAAATCCTCTGGATACCTAAATTGATTTTTGATAGGCTGCTTTTCAATAGATCAATTCTTTTATGATAAAATGTTTCTTATAAGAGAGACATAGCGTATTTTGGCTACTCAAAAAAATGATGACTATGAGTCACATAACCGATACACAAAAAGGTCAGAGGTAGTCCCTGCATTTAAAAAAAAAACGCTAATTTGGTTGAGAGAAAATTATGTATAGTTGATTCGATTAGCCATGAAATTTTAAAGTTCTGATTAAAAAACTAAAGAACTCGTTTCCTCCCAAATCAAGAAGTTTTTTCAAGCTGAAAAATTTTCGTAGCAAGAAAATGAACTCTCCTCATCTTCATTTGTGACTTATGTCTACAAGATTTTAATTTGCAAAAAACTAACGTACTTGCATCCTCTTATAACAGTGAAGTTGATCTTAAAATTAACCGGGAAATCAGTAAGTATTGTAGAAACAGTGAAAAAAAAAAAATAAATAATAATAATAATAATAATAATGTAAACAATGAAAAACTACACAAACCGGACGTTATCAGCTCAAAAAAATTTTAGCATTGAAAAAGAAAAAGAAATGAACTTCTAGTAAAACTTATATGATAACAGGTTAAAAAGTTACACGACAGAGAGAGAGAGGGGGGGGGGATCATAATAATTGGGGTATACTTTTGCATCATTCCCACATTACATCATCCAGGCATAATTGTAAGTAAGATTTCAAATTATTAGTTAGATCTTTCACGTATAAAATAGTGTGTCATCTTCGGAAAGAAAACAAAAATAGGGTACATAGATAATATGGAGTATTACACTTTCCTTGGGGAAAATTTACCTTGTACAAAACTGATGATCTGACTCAAGTGAAAAATTCTGTAATTGTTAAACTTTGAATACTTTTTCATTCGTATTAAACTTCAGTTACTGACAATAAAGGAGAAGAGGAAGAGAAAAAATAGATCGCACCAATTGCAAGCAAACTTTACAAAATCTTCAAAGTGCATTTGAAAAAAAATGTACCCTTTGCCTTTTGGTCTCTAGCTGACATGATTGTGTGTTTGGGACAAGCTGTTAAAATAACTGTTTCAAGAAATTCTGAATATGAAACTCTTCATCTTGTGGTGAAAGATAAAAAAAAGTTTCTTAATGTTTAATTTATGCTGGTGTAAATAAAGAAATCCAAAACAGGGTCCTCATGAATAATCTAAAATTCTGACATAACATTGAAAACTGTATATTAAAGTAAATGAAATGCATATATTTTGGCTCTTTTAAGGTTCAAGAGGAACGAATCTGAGGTTTCAGTCAGTAATATACTCAATCAGCAAACATACATCCTTTGAAAAAATAATATTATAGTAATCTCGAAATGGAAAAAAAGTTTCGTGCAACTGACAATATTGTACAAGTTACTAAAATTAAGATTTGAGGCTTGTACGATAATCATGATAATTATGTGATCAGTGTTAGTTTTATACGAGGTTTACATTCTCTCAAACCAAATTCCCTTGGTCACTGTAGAAAAGAAGCAAAATTCTAGATGACTGAGATTTGAAGTAAAAATAATTCAATGCAGTTGAGCCAAAAATTATAATACAAAAGTATATCCAACTGAAAAGTGATGACCCTTTACTAAGTATAAATATGAGCTTGACAGGCTCTGAGAAAAGAAGTAGTTTCAGCTAAAGACAAAATTTCTGAAACAACTCCATGGGTGTTTTTCCTCGCGCTTGGAAAAGTTACATAGAATTGAAAAAATATATTGTAACAGAGTCTCTGTAAAGGATAATGTCTCCTGACAGGAACTGTAAAATAATTATATTGGGAGGAATCTTTTTCTCACTCATCAATTCCATTGCAGAATTAATTGCTGAATTGCTGAGAAAAATACAGGCCAGTCTCCTCTTGATAACATATGTATCCTCAATGATACAGATTATTAGAGATCAAAATGAGGAAAATTACCGTATTACCTGCTTATTAAGTCCATTGATTTTCCTTGTACGAATGAGAAGAATTTCTCTTCTGACAATTATATCGATGTTCATTGAAAACTTATTTTCATCGTGTGCTACTACAGAAAAACAAATGAGAATACATCATTGTCTCTAATAGTATGATTGCTGGTTGTAACTGTAACTGTTCTTTGAGTAGCGATAATCATCAAAATTGTTATTGCCATGTACAGAATAGGAACCACGTTTAGGCCGATTGAAAGCGTTGCTACCACGGCCCGCATTGCTACGATAGTGATTGCCAGAGTTTTTTCCCCGACTATAGCTCCTTGCAGCATTTGGATTTTCCCACAAGCTGCAGAGTGATTCACCTATTTTCGAATCTAGAATCTGGAAATAGATATTAAAATATGTCATTACCATAAAGGGAAAAACAGTACATCTATTCATATAAACTTTGTGGACAAAATTTATTTGTCCTATGAGAGGAGAAATATTTGTTGTACTGCGAGAGGGGATATCGCAGAGAGGATGCAAAAAGCACAGTGGAGAGGGATAAAGTGCTCGCAGACGCAGGAAACTTGAAAAAGCTTGTTACAAACTATGCAGACTGCACGCTAAGGTATAGATTTCAGACTTTTTTGATGTGCTAAATGTGATTTTCGTGCGATTTTACCTGTGCAAAATATATTTATTTGGTTGTATCTCTTACGTGCAACAGACCCATTTCTTTTGGAATAATAAAGTCCAATGTTGCTATCTTTCTTGCGGGACCTTTTCCCTCAATCCCTTCTATTTTATTGCATTTTCTGAAGTCTTTATTTTCTCAAATCCTTTTCATCCTCAGTGAGTTTTAGGTTTAATTCCATCCAGAAAAAGATGTGTTTAAATAATTGTTTGTACCATGAACTACTTTATGAAACACTGTTGGAAAATATTATAAGTATGTTCTTAAACACTTTGATTTAGGAAACAAACTTTCAGTGGACCACACTTTTGCCATTAAAAGTTCTGAGTGGTCCATGTATTTTCCTTTTATTATCAAAAATTTTTTTCTATTGGGGAAGGGGGATTAAAAAAACAAACAATAATTATCTATTAGTCTGATAATTAATGATCTAAAAATGATTATTATAATTTTTCAAAAAAAATAGGGGTCCTTTTGGGCAGAATTTATTTCCTCTTTATTCTTTTCATTTTTGAGAGTAAAAGCATATTTTAGATAAATTACTTACAAACTAATAATCAATCGTCTTTTATCCCATGAACATTAAAAAAAGCAGAAAACATACAAAATGATTGGGAAGAACAGATGATGTCAATCACTTTTTTCTTGGGAGGGTCATATCTTCATGAAAGACAAACAAACCTTGTTTGTCCGATAGGTTTCATAATTTTTTGCTAATCTACTCTCTAGTCTCACGACTGGCCTACTTGGTGGAATAAGGGTATAAAAAGTCTCACTTACCAGGCCATCAGGAACTTCATTTAAATTGAAAGGGCCAAAGAACTTATTTCGCATGGTGTTGAGTGTCGAAAACGGAACTGGTGACTGTTCGATCCATTCGATGGGAAGAGGTGGTTGAAGGTTAGGGCCGAATAAACTAGATTTAAGTTCAACAGGAGCAGATCCAGTCAAATCAGCGTATCCTTGAAGCTCCTTCGTTCCATTTAAAGAAAAAATTAGACGAACATGTTTCCCTTCCTATGCAAATAATAAATTTAAAAGCTGGTTAGAAAAATTAAAGAGACAGAGTAAATTATTTTAAAAAACCTAAGGAGAGGAAAAACAAATTACTGTCCCTCTTTCATTTCATGGTAACATGATTGAAAACAGCAACACACATTGGAAAAAGCATCCTCATTTTTCTATACACGGATTTGAGGTAGTGCTGACACGGCCTTTAAAAAATTATGCTGCTCCTTCCTTTGCAATCAAGATCAGCTAAAAATTTGAGAAAATTGATAGTTTTGGATAGGGAACAGGTCTCATGATGAGAAATGTTTACGTTGCACCGATGTTTAATTGTCAGGGAAAGCCATTTCTGTCCTCTGCAGCAATTAAATAAGTCATAAGTTATTTTGTTGATGATTACAGACTACTTGAACTTGAGCAATGTTGCTTAGCTGATTGAGGTTTGGTCTACATTTTTTTTCTATATAGTCATTTCAAGTAAAACGCAAGTGCCTGTAAAAGCCTTTTTTGGCCCTAAAAATTTAGAGTGTTCCAAAAAAGTCTCCATAAGGGAAAGTGTGCTTCTCATACTTGCTTTAAAACTTTAGCTCAGTTATAAAGTTGTATTCTGTGATATGGATAGTATCGAATATCCAAAGTTGAGTCTCCTCCTGTTTTTGCCTGAAAATGACTAATTTTTCAATGCATCTGCTTCAACTTGCCTAGAGGGAGGAGGTTGCCTGTTCATAATTTTGATACAATCATGCTATTTTATACGATAGGCTTACTTTCAGTAGCATATCTGACAGGAAAACAAAAAATTGCCCTCTGTTGACAATATTGCCAATAGACCAGCTGTTTTCTAGGCTGAGCCCTACCCATTTTATTTCTTACATGCGTTCTCAGTTCAGTTATTCAATACACATCTCTTACTGTTCCCATCTAGTGAGTATTTATTCTTATTTTTATTCTTGATCTATTGACATCGTTGTCAACGCCCTCATAGTTACACAGCAGAAATTGCTTGGCAAATTTGTTATTATGTTATTTAAAGCTATTTTGAGACTTAAAAAGGGGGAGATATGACTTCAAACACTTAATATGCACTACCTTCATCACGCACACAAAGATTAAAACTGAGCCAAAATTGTATTATAATAATGATAAAAAGTAAGATTTATTAAGCAGAACTTTTTTTAAACACTTTGACCAATTTTACAAATTTTAGGGTAAAAAAACCCTCATCATCTCTTGACTTTTCCGTGACAACTAGTCTTGATGTTATTCAGAAAAGATGACAAGAGATCTAAAGTTGACTCTTTGTAAATGGCAATAATGCCTTGCCAAAATATCAGAAACGTTGCCAAAACTAGATACATTTTAACAACCATGAACTATTTTTTCTTATCAATGTGAGCACAAAGAGAATAGCTCAAAACTTACTATTTAGAACTCTCAAACTCAATTACTAACTCATTTCAGTGAAACTTATGCTACTTTACAGGAGTTGCTCAAAATACATGCGAAAAAAGACCTTATTTTGTATTGATATACTGATTACAGAAAGGAAGGGAAAGGCTAGTTTCCCAATGTAATTTTCTAGTTTTTTAAAAGAGCAAAGCGGAGTTAGTATTTTAATTTATCGGTAAGAAATTAAAGAGAAAAAAATAAAAAGAATGTTAAGGTAAGAAGATACAGGAAAATGAATATTACATTGAATGCTTCAACGAGTTTCTGGTGAGTTGCTGATGAGAAAGCCCAAGCACTTGATTTTCTAGACAAATGGAGAATGTTCTCTGAACTATAACCACATTTAATGACGACATACAGAACGTCACCTGGAAAAAATGAGAAAAACATTAAAAATCAACATTAAACTGACATAATTTAGTCCTTTTCCGCTCTTTATCTTCAAATTTATTATTCATTTTTTTTTTTTTTTGGGGGGGGGGCCAATTTTCCTTTTTTCTTTTTTCATAAGACCCTACACCATTGTGTCACCTTGCTTTCTCCCATGAATTCTCTTACCTATTTTTCTACACTTTGCAGAGCAAGGTTGAGATTCAGATTGAGCCACCCACAATACATGAGAATCAATGGTTAGATCTCATTCTCCTTCCAATACAAGGTAAACCAATGATTATAGCCCCATTATGCGTACATTAATTGTACAAAATCGTTCTACTTTGACATTATTGACAAATGATTTGGAATGGGAGATAAAAGCTTGATGACAGAACAGCTAAATAGCAGACAAATGATTAATTCAGCTATCAAATGACCTCCCAAATAAAAAAGGTCTTAAGCTTAAAAGAATACTTACCATGGTAATTTGTTGGTTTTGTGTAATTAGTATTTCGCGATGTTGACGCAGCAGTCCTAGAATCATTCCTCCAAGAACACGATGAAGAAGATACAGGTGAGTTGTTTTGATGATTAAAACTTCTAGGATTTCCCTCATTCTTTTTAAAATGAGAGTGATTAGATACATTCATCCTACTAAAGTCTGCATTCATCTTGTTGTAATTATGCCGATCATCTGAAAAGACATTGACTAAGGATAAGCTTCTTGAATGATTGATTCAGATTTTTGAAACAAAGGAGACCTGACGAGAACTTTACAGTGCATCTAATCAGAGGGTGAGAATTAATGCACTGTGATATACATCTCTTCATCGACATTTTACGTTAAATAGATTTAAGGCATGTAAAAAGTCCAACATCAACTTTCAAGTGAAGAGTTAGCATGAACATTTTTATTAGAGTCAGTAAATTCAAACTTCCTGATTGCTAGGAAGCCAAGATCGATATCCGTTATTTGTGTATTTAAAACTGACTAAGTAACGCTCAGTAAATGACTGTACAGTTTGATTTTTCTCTACTGATTCAAGGTACTTATAATCTTGTCAAGTAAAATACAAAACATTACACAAAATCCTTCCAAAGTAAAAGTTCCCTGACTTAATTCTCAGGGTAGGTGACCAAATTATGTTTCTTTATTTGGTGACTGCTCGGAAATTTTCCCTGACCAAAGCTTGGTCAAATGCAATCTAATGTGCCCAAAAAAAGGGCTACATCAGAATATTACATTTTACGATACTATTTGCCGAAGACTGATCTTACATCTGTATATGAGTCTTGATTCTACATAGTTATGGAATAGCAAAAACAACTGTTTAAAAATGGATGGTTATAAATAGTTAATAAAAATAAGCTTGATATTACAAAGGATATTTTGGAATTAAGCCTGAGGGATTAATCAAATAATGTGTTCATTACACACTTCAGGCTTCCAATTTAAAGTGATGGCGAAGTGAATAACTACACACTAAATGGCTTACAACCAATCTCTGTCTTGATAAACAGGTTGTGTCTCCACAACAAAGCTGCTTTTAAAGTTAGAATTACAGCAAATGCGAAAGTTTCTTTGGTAGGATTTCAAAAAAATTAAGATGAATATACTTTCATGTAAATAGAGACATTCAATACAACAATGAACTTACTTATGCTTTCTTTTGGATTGTTGAGAGGCCTTTTCCCAATTCCAGTGGGTTGTTTGAGACCATGCTTTTGTTCCTCCGCGGATAAAACAGCGACAATAGTTTTCAAGACACTATCATCCTCCTGAAAATTTAATGTACACGTTCATAAAGCAAACATTGGTTACAATGAGGCTATATGATCAAAGTTTGCATGAATAATTAAGGAGGCAGATCCTTTCTTAGGAGCCACTTTCATGGCAAATTTAATGTCTGGGAGAGAATACATTTTTTGCATCAACAAATACCTAAGATTTCATGCAAAAGTATAAATTGATCATTTGAAAAAAAGACATTAAGCATAGAACTTTAGATATGCTGGGACTGGAATATTTAGTTCTACCAACCAATACTGCTGATATCATCCATTAATCTTGCCCTAAAACGGAATTGGTGCAAGAGTCACTTCCGACAAAGGACTTTCAAATTGTGGCTCAAAAGCTGATTTTTCAAACACAGTCTGAAAAATCAAGCAGTAAAAATCGAGCACCAATATCCTACTTTATTGCCGATTGCTTCATTCTCAGAAAGAAATTAGATCACATCTTACTGCAAATGCATAGAACCCCATAGACAATGAGATGTGGTCTTCATGGAAATACAAGGATGGTTAAGAAAACAAACTTGACAGTCTACAAGTTTAATGAGGATTATCAAACGTGGTATCACAAAAGCACTGAGACTACAGTTTTTCGGCCTGAAATGTACTTACTTTGCTCCATTCTTTACTAGGATGTTTGAGTTGTTTGCTAAGTAAAGTGTACCACTTAATGCGCAGATTCAGTATCAATGCTTTGATTTCTGGAGTTGTTACAAATGATAACCATTCATCTAGCTTCAGTACTACTCCTTCTTTTTCATCTTCTTCCTCACTATCACTATTTGAGTCTGCATACAAATTCGGAACTGGAAAGAAAAGCACAATTTTAAGTGTTGCCCCTCTTTCAAAATACACTTTTAGCTAGTTTATAGACCAGTGGGACTGTTGCACACTTTTCTTTTAATTAATTTTCAAACAGTGCATAAAAATGAGAATGCCTGCGTTTTTTCGTTTTTCATTTCATCAAATTTTAACCCCCCCCCCCCCCAAAAAAAAAAACAAAAAAAAAACACACATTCAAAATCGCCAAGAATCCAGCCAGATTTCATGACGTCACAAGAAGAAAAGATCACCGTGTATCTTTCCACCTGCATCTTTTTACGTTTTTTTTTCTTGATGTTATTGCGGTTTTACATTTGCTGGTGGCAAGAGGTTATGTATCTCAACTATGTTCGCATTATTATTGTTGTTAGAAATGAATATTTCTATAGATTTTTTTTAAAATGAGGTTGCTTGTTTGTGATTTGAATGGGCCTGTTGCATGCAAGAGATACAGCCGCGCGAATAGACTTTTTAGAGGTTAAATGACACGAAAATTACGATGGTCACATTAAAAAAGTCTGAAATACACTTCTTACTGCGCAATTTGCGTTGTTAGGAACGCGCTTTTTCAAATTTTCTGCGTCTGGGGGCAGTTTTCTAATCACCGGAAACGAGCAAACCCGCCGTTTGCTCGGTGATTTCCGGAAGATGCTGAGTCGTTGTTGTTGTTGTTATTTTTTCCTTCAGTTTGTTTACAAACCCAACGTGATCTCCTATAGTGGTCCATATACGCTTTATGCGGTAACCAAATCAATCAACTTTTAAATATCCAACGCAATCCTTCTACATTTCATTTCACGATGTCACGAGCTCCGATTTTTAGGTTATGTTGTCAGTTTTAGTTGACCGGAAATAGCCGCGAGTTGCCGTTAATTGTTTCCGTTAGAAAACTGCCCCCAGACGCGGGAAATTTGAAAAAGCGCGTTCCTAACAACACAAATTGCGCAGTAAGGAGTGTATTTCAGACTTTTTTAATGTGACCATCGTAATTTTCGTGTCATTTAACCTCTAAAAAGTCTATTCGCGCGGCTGTATCTCTTGCATGCAACAGGCCCATTGTACAGCAGTAATGTTGCCTTGGAGGTGGTTGAAACCATGGGGTCATCGCAAAGTGGATTGAAATCTGTAAAATGCCTGATCCGTTTGTTCTGCATCTGAGAGGACGGGGACGTTATTTCACCTGGGTATGTTGTGGGGCTCTTATCAACTAACTTTTGCTGTTAAAGCCAAAAATGACCTTGATTTTTTCTCATCACCTATGATGATGATCGTCAATAATTCTCAAAAAACCAACTTCCTCTTTCTAAATAATGTTGATTCCTTTTCACACAAGACTGCCAACTCACCTTCGTCATTATCAAATGCAGCAGCGGTAACTCTTTGAGGTCCAGCAAAAAGAGCAATGGTTATCGGTGTTACTAGAGTCACTGATGACACGAGAGCACTTTTCCCAACTCTACTCATTTCTTCAAAGACCATACAGTCAGTTGGTAAAGATGATATTGAGACACTGGGCGTATCATCTGACATTTTGACGTACCCTCGGAGACAACTGGAGGAATGGAAGGCTACTTTAGGCTCGTTCCTGTGGATTAAAAAGCAATTTTCTTTAAAGGAACATAAATAGGTATCAAAATGTAACACTTTCATGTTAACTGATAAGTTAGACTCATTTCTGCCATACTAGACTAAAAATGAGGTAATGCTCGTCACTTATCCTCCGACTTATCATCAACGATTATGTAATTAACGATTATGCCGGTCCCTACCGGCAGCGAAGTGACCCCTAGTTGTTAGAGTTGTTCTGTGTGAGTTTGTTTACTGTGTGTACCTGTGTGGTTTTGTAAGATCGAGTTTTAGTAGTTGTAGCCTGTGTGGCACTTATCATTATTATACCGTTGTATATTACACCCCCAATACACGAGCGGCCACCCCTAGATTGTGAGTCATATTCTTTCCCTAGGATACCACTCTCGCGGTAGGTGACCATTCATATAGAGTGAAAGGGCTCTTACATCCCCCTAGATCTACCCCCCTTCTCTAGATTTACCCTTTCTGGTGGACGCCTCCATCTGCGACTCCGCTACGTGTTCAGCTGCTTGGCTCGAGAGCTGAGCGCGTTATATAGATTAATGGAACCAATGATAAAAATATCAAAAAATTTCTGGCCAAACATCATTATGAATAACAGTCATCATTTCCGCTTGCTTTCTGATATTTTATACTATGTTTTCATTTACATCTGAATAAAACAAACTTTGTATCTATAGTTCTCACGTCCAAATAAATGTAAATGGTCTGGCCATTCAGAGAATGACTTTTTAGTTGGTGTCAGCTTGTCACCATAGAATTTACAACCTTCTAACGAATTGCGTAGTAGCTTTCCAGACATGGTGCAGTATTCATGATACATTGGGACAGGAAAGAGGAAAAAGCAACTTGCTGCCCAGTGAACGGAAAAGGCCACAGGGGGTTAACAGGAAAGAGGGAAGTGTCGACTTCCTATGCCTTGTCCACACGAGGGTTGTTTTCCGAATCTTTGGGTGCATTAGTTCAATGAACTTGAGTTTCCTGGAATAAATTATGACTGAGTTATGATAAGTTCCTGGGACAAGTTTGCTCCAAGTTCTGAGACCTGCGCTTGTGTGGAGAAGGCCACACAACGATAGCGGAGGATGGAGCACAGTGGCAGTTAGCATCGTAGATTGCCAGAAACGGGCTTTCATGTGTGTGTGTAAAAGCAACTTACTCAGTTCTGAGCGTTTTCAAGAGCCTGTCCACTTTTATGATGTTGGGATACAGTCCTCCAACAATGGCTGCTTTAACGACAGCCCAATTTTCTGAATTTACGTTTAATTCTCTGATTTCAGCATGCCCTTGGGACTTGACAAAACCAGACGCTCTTAATTGACCCAGTAAGTGTGTTCGAACTCCGATGATCATTTCCATCGTTGCTGCAGATACAAAGTTTTCACTGCAAAAACTCCATTCCTTGTGTGTTGACCTTGCAACCTGCCAAGCCTAATTCATAATAGAAGATAAATTAATGATCAGTTTCAAAATAATGTAAAACTTGGTCAGACCAAAATAGTATGGCAAAATCAATCTTCGCTTGATAAAAGGACCTTTAGAATATGAAAAAATCACTATGAAATAAGATGCCTCATACAAGAAAAAGTTATGTTACACGTTTTCCTATACATTGAGAGTCCCAGGCTACCCCGAACCAGGCATTTTTCTCGGTTTTTTTTAGTCAGATGAGTAAAGAACCGCAGGGAAAAATACGAAACTGACCCCAAGAAATCCGAATTTCATCATCTTGGGGCCCTCCAGTCTCACTTGGGCACTAAAAGAAGGGCTCCACTTCAAAAAATTATTTGACAAGCGTGTCATTCGAACTTGATTGGTTGGTCTTTTAACACTTATTAGCTTGTATGGGTTTAAGCCATTAACAACTTTCTCCTTGGAAAAACGTTTCTTACTCTGCATACCTTTTAAAGCGAAGCAAGAATAACATACATGGACTTTTATCATAAATTGTGTGTTAGTTATGCCATTTTCATAGAAGACAAGTCACATGAAAAAGAAAATATGCTCTTTAGCATCAAAAGTGTTCACATTGCCCCATTAATACCAATAATGCAATTTTTCAAACTCATTAATAAAAAAATTGTAATGAAGAGTTCTCTAAAATTGTGAACATTTTACATCAAACTGTCACCAAAATAAAAGTTTCAAAATTAAATAAATTACCTGAAAAACTTTAAGAAGTGCCATGTGATCACTTAAGGTGTCAGCAGAAAATTCTTTTCGGATTTCAGAGACCGCCTTTTTCAGATGCATCTGTCGAGGTAACATAAATGGATCCCTGTAAACCAAAAAGGTAGGCTTAGAGCGACAAAGAAAGGAGACACACGCAAAACACATTTACAGATGAAAATTTCTTCTGTCTTCTTCCACCTTTAACCCTCTCAAAACTTTGACATTGTAAACAGTTTGTGCTGAATAGTTATTTGGTTGAAAAAAAGAAGATTTAGAAGGTGTTTTGAGTGCTGAAGAATCGTAAAATTGGGCAAGAAATGAGTTGCGGAAAAATAAACAGACACTGGAACTAACTCCTTCTTGAATGGAAGAATCAACCAAATTGTGACCATCTACAGGAAAAAAGACTTCAGTGTCAAGTACAGTTGAAAAAAGAAAAATGTGGGAAACAAAATCAAAAGATACGTAACAATAGCAAGCGGAAGTACTGAGAGATTGAAAGTGGGAATAAGCGAAAGAGCCAAATTGAAGATTGAAGGTATAAGAGCAAATGAAAAACATTAAAAAAAAATTATGAGCAATCATACGTGGATTTTTGAATCTTTAGCAAATATTCTCACTTTGGAAAAAAAGGAATTTTAATTAATTTGTATTCGTGAATGATAGGCCTAATTTATTTGCTATTTACTTTGCTTCCAAAATTCACTATTTGCTGCACTCAAATCTTTTTAAGAGTGCAAAAAATTCTAACAACAATACTTTTATGAAAATATATCTTACCGACAGACAAGGCAGCTAATAATTGTCAAAATGGGATCTAAACACTTGAGGACAACGCTGTATAGTAATATTTTGGCATACTTAGGTTCACAAGGTAAATCTAGGAGGTGATGACCCAGCTCAGTTAGTTCTTCATTGGGACCTAAAGCGTCGATTGCCTGAAAATGAAATCAGAATTGTGATTCAATACTAGTGATGAGACATATTTAATGAGATAATTTGAAACCTTACTAATGTCACAAAATAAACTTGTCCCCTGCCACATCAGTCCGTAAGGACTGGCAGTGACCGCTGCCTCAATGCAACGATAACGGGCAAAGGAAGAAGCAAATTGACAGATATAGGAAACTGACAAGATATGGAGAAATCTAGAAAGAATGATCTAGATCTGATCCATAATGTGTCCCTGTTACATTGGTTACCTTCAAGGGTTTCTAAATACATCGATAAGTCTCTTTGAAACTTCCAGTTTGTACCTGGAGAAGAGCCAATAAACTGGGATTTATAAACTACAACACATATTTGGGTAGATATTATGGGAATTTTTCCGTCTCAAACTGTTTAAGGAGCACTCCTCCATGCCCTAGTATTAATAAATCAATTTTGATTTTTTGTTAGCCAAATTCCTTTCCCCGAGAACTCTCGGAAAAAAGAAATGAATTACTGAGTATACACTAAACACAACCTTTAGTTAGAATTACCTTTAAGAAATGTATGGCGTTAGCTGTTATGAGGGGTGATGGTGGCTCCAAGGCATAAGATAAGAAATCTGCTATTGGCATATCAGTTGGGGCTAACAACTTGGTATACAGGCATAGTTCCTGTGGACAAAAATGAATTGAACATCTTTGATAGAATCAGGAAAGTAAATTAAGTATGGAATTGAAGATGGGCTTTTTTAAGATACAGCAACTTCAACATAAAGATATAACGTTTGATGATGGTAGAATATACATAGCTTTCATTTTGCCAATTCTAATGAGTCAGTTAAGTCCTTTTTTTTAATTGAGTCATTTGAAAGTAGTAAGTGACCGAAGCTTACAGTTTCTTTCCTAATTTTTTTTGATGACTGCAAACGGGAGAAAAGTTTATTAGAAAGTGCCAAAAATTAGGGTGGCCTAAAATGGCGTTTGAACCGCGCGCTTGTAGGTTTTGAGTGTACACGTCACAATCAATATGGCGGCGGAATGCATAGTGGAAGAATACACGGCAGCATCAAGTTGGCGGTGTGTTTTACTTGGTCAATTGAAGGTTATGTAGGTTACTTTGTTTAAGATTCATATCCATTGTTCTTAATTCTTTAAGCTTTTCCATCAGAATGCGATACCGATGTAAGTAGGATATGAAACATTCACACTGAACTTACTCAACCTCAAACGAGAAATCGTGATGTCAACATCGGCAGCGTGGCGGTAGTAAGCAGGTCGGCTTTGGCGCCGCCATCTTCCTGTCTACGAAGCGTAGATTCTAAGATTCATGGCGGTCAGTTCAAACATGTTTTCGAGGACCCCTAAAAAGGAAGCGTTATATCTCCGCAGAGACAATTTTCCGTGAAATTTTAACGTGCGCATCGTTCTTCTCCTTCTCATACCGAAAACTGTCAGATTTGACTACTTGCAGGCAAATCCCTCCCGAGCTTAACTGACTCATTTTGTCATTTTGGTTTTCCCAGATATTATACAAACAGTTTAAGCATCGGTCTTTCTTCAACAGTTACTTGCTTCTGGTTACACTCGAATTTTTTTCCTCACAGTTTAAAATTCACCGTATTTTCCGGGTTTTCAAATTTTAAGGAATATGGTGCATACTATGCAGAAAATTCACTGAAAGTTGAATAAAAAAAATGTGCACAGCGGTTTTAAAAAATTAAATTGTACCAATTAAATTTGGCAATAGCTGATGTGACTTGATTCCTTTCTGCTTAACGCAGTTCAATTGGATATCATAAAGCTGAGGTGATTAGGCTGCTTCCATATATTTGAAATGGCCTCGGCACTATAGCACAGGGATGAAATATTTGTTTACACTTCTACAATTTGATAGGTTCTTCTTTGCTTTTTGATAGTGTCGAACATATAAATGAGTTTATTTGGTTCATGAGGAAAGTAAAGGTGACTGACCTGTAATGGAAATCGTAGGATTTCTGGTGTGGGGTATTTTTGCATGGCATTGTAGTGTGCACGAGAGAATAAATGATAACAAACTCCAGGCTGCGTCCTGCCAGCTCGCCCTTTCCTCTGATTGGCACTTGCTTGGCTGATCCAAATTGATTTGAGAGTGCTTATCCCATTTAAAGCATTGAACATTTTCTGGAGTAAGGAGATAACAAAAATCAGAAATGAATGAAATAACCAGATATTTAAAGCCAACATCAGATTTTAGCAGCTCTCTTAATCATTTAAAGTTGATGATGAGATAATCATTTTTTATTGCGTACAAACTAAAAGAATTAAAAATAATGAAAAGCTTTAAAAATACACAAAGGATCTATCAAATTTGTCAGAAAAACGATGTCGCTTACATACTACTATAGAGAGTAAGTAATATTATTTAATTTTCAAGAATGATAATGAACAGTTTTATGTGGGTCGTCGCAAAATCAAACAGAGATGTTTACTTTTTATTCAAATTTAGAGGAAATATGGTATAATTTCAACTATTCTCTTTAAATCAGTTGGAAGAAAGCATGAAAAAGCAGCAAATTTTACAATGAGACGAATAAAAATGGACATTGAATTAGAACTAACCTCTTTGACCTTTCCAGAATCAATAACAAAAACCACATCATCAATTGTTACGCTAGTTTCAGCAATATTGGTCGATAGTATGACTTTCCGTGTGTTCGGCGGAGTAGGTTTGAAAACTTTTTGTTGATCACAGGTTTGCATCTTTGAGTGCAAAGTTAAGATCATAAGATTCGCCATCCCATCCTTTGTAAAATTGCTCTCATGATCTAGGAGTTTCTCTCGTAAATTGACAATGTCATCATAACCGGGTAAAAATACAAGAATGGAACCTGAAAGCGCAGGAAATGCTATGTAGAATTCAAACAATGCGACAGAAAGAGTACGAAAGAATTGACAATGGAAAGAGGAATTGGGCCGCGTTAAGCAGAAAGGAACCAAGCCACATCAGCTATTGCCAAATTTAATGGCGCAATTTAATATTTTACATGAAAATGTGGTTGTGCGGATTTTTAGACAAATTTCAGTGAATTTTCAGCATACTACAAAACAAGTTCTTTAAAATTTTCGAAGAAATCCGAACATACATTCTCTTTTAAAAAATTTAATTTGCCCAGTTAAATTTGGTAATAGCTGGTGTGGATTGACCTCTTCCTACTAAATGTGGTCCAAATTATCAGTTTCAAGCTTGGCAAAAATAATTGGCATCAGGTAAATGAATTGACTGACAAGTTTGATGAGTGTTCTAACTTCACTCGGTATCATGAACTAAACAAGACTGAAAATCAGGATGAGGACGCTTAAAAATGAGGAGCACTGCAAACATACCACCTCAAAAATTAGGTAGTCCTTCTCTTCATTCAAGACCTTGCTTTTAGCAGAATCTCCTGTTATATCCCTAAAAATCATTTATGACACATAAAATTTAGTTCAGTACCTCTAATTGACAAAATTCGAAATTCTCCCTCGAATTGTGACAAAAATGACGTACACACAAAATTTCATCGGTGGCTTGAAGATTAACTGACTGCACCATCCCCATCTTGCAGCCAGGTACTATACCCTGCGCGTTTCAGCTTTATTGAAAAAACACACATGGTATGAAGGAAAAAATTCCAAACCTTCTTGAGGAATTTTCACACTTTCTCAATACTTCTGGATCACCCTTAAAAAAAATCAGGACAATTTCCGGGCTAGTAGACACCCTGCCTATGGGCAAGAGGAGCAGTTGCCGCAGGCTTCTGCCAAAGGGGGGGGGGGCGCCAAAAAGACGAACAGAAAAGGCAGAGAAAAACAGAAGTAAAGAAGCGAAAAGATAAGGAGGAAAGCACAAATAGGAGTGGAAAAAAGGACAAAAAGGGGACAATTGGAATAAGGGGATGAAGAAAATCCAGAGAGAAATCCAGTAGGTATTTTGGGTTCAGGTTTTTTGGCGCTCAAGTATATCTATAGATGGTCACAAATGACTGCATTTCTGGGAAAATTTAAAGAATTTCTACAAACCTGGTTGATTTGCAACATGAATATTGTAGATTAGAATTAAAATTAGATCTGAATCCACACTCTCGTCACTGACAGTCTGCTGATACAATGACAATAACTCTGCATCTTCCTTGGACAATTCAGTATCTGCAAGTTCTATGATGTTCCGGTCAAGCAGTTTATTATTTTGTATTTCGTCAAAATAAACTCTGAAAAAAAAAAAAAAAAACATGGGATAAATTAAATCATTCAAAAAAAAATATCCCAAAAACACTAATAGTAAGTTCTCTTTGAAGTTAATTTAATCTTCAACAAGATTGCGATAGTAGGTGACGAAACCTCACCAAAAAGTTACTTTCTTCAAAGATGGGAGATTGAGGGACGCTCATATATTGCTTATTGTATTTATACATTGTATTGCTACAAGGACGAGGAAAGGACAAGGATGTCTACATGTGCATTAAAAGGGAATGATGAGAAAATTCTTTTTACAAAAAAATTTAATGTGAGCTCAAATTTGGTGTACATACGTGGAAAGACTATTTCAAGAGTTTTTAATTGGCATCAGAGCGGTTTAGATTGAATGAACGGTCCCAAAAATACAGGCAGTTGAAGGAGCTAATCTCTGTTATTTTACTCAAACATTCGAAGTTTAGTTTAAGTTCGAAAAATTGAAAAATCAAATTTTGAAATCAGCTCAATGAGAAAAGTAAGTGTACCAAAGTTCATCAGATTCTGAAGAGGTCGAGTCAATTTTGGAATGGAATGACCGTCGTTTTATATGATTTCAATTTTAACGGACTCTGCTGTATTTTTATTTTTGACCTGATACCTTTTAACAGTGTGCCTACTTGTGTGGCACCTGACTGTGTTTTAAGAAATATTCTTTTTACATTCTAGCGAATTCATAATCGACTTGAAAATTTCCCTGAATGATCAATTGATAAATGTGAAAGTACTAGACTAGACAGGAAATCAGGCACAAGTATTAAAGAGAAATAACGACTCACTTGTAAGCTTGTAAAACTTCAAGAATATGATATTCTTCGACTCGAGAAGCCCAGTCAAAAACTGTCATTCCATTATTGGATTTCAAATCTAAATCTGCACCTAGACTTAACAACTGCTCAACGACATTCAGACAGCCTCGACTGGCTGCCACCATTAGCGCTGTCAACCCTGTATCAGAATGCTAGAACAGAGAGAGACAGATACTATTTCATTTGAATATAAACAAAAATAAAAAAAATTAGAAAAAAAAAACAGCCTAATCATTAAAAAATGTTTTCATGTCACAAACAGGCATTATTTGCACTCCTGATTCAATGAGCATAAATTTTTATAGATTACAAAAAAAAATATAGCAAAATTTACAATATTGCCATTAAGGTTTAGTAATCAAGTTTGGTGAAATGAGAGTTTGCGTTAAGGAATAAAGCAGGAAAAAACTTAGTGAGAAAAAAGGTCAGACAATGGCAGAGGCACAAAGAGAAAACTGTCGATAAATTATGGAGTGCACACTTCTTTCTTCTCGATTAATAATTCACTGTTGCACATACAAAAAGTTCATTTCATTATCATTAGTGTCATTTAACTATCCTCAAAGTTTTCAAAATTTTCCTTCAAGGTTGATTCATTTAGGGCAGTAAGAAACCCGATTACAACAGTAGGTAAAACGATTTTTTCATTTCTAAATTTTTTCTTTTTGTCAGTTATGAAAACCTATAAGAAAGAAAAACTAAAGCAGATATTGAAAGTTCAGAATTTTCCATTCCAATCACCACTGTGTCAACTTGTATATCCTGGATGTCAATCTTTTTCTAAACCCTTATAGAAATAATTCTGGAATTCTTCCTTACCTGATAGTTAATAGGAACATCTTCGGATAGGTACAAATGCATAAGCTGGGAAAAGGAACTATCACAACCTGAGAGCCACGCATTCGAGAGTGCTTCATCAGCTACAGCTATCACAGATACTTCTTCACTTGTATCGTTGCTCTCTTCATCCTGGTGGACAAACGAAAAAGTTCACAACACTTTAAAAAAAGCTTTTAGCAGAGTAGTAACACCAAAAAATGTAGATAACTCCAACTCCACAAAAGTACCTATTTTTACATATTGCGCACACAGTGGTTGACTTGATTTATGTTCACATGAAGGAGCTGAAGAATAGAATGCGGAGGGACTGGCATTAGAGAACAGAGTTTCCCTCCAAACGCGCTGAAGAACAAACACAACTGGGCCAAGTAAATATTTAAAGATGTCACCAGACGGCATAGAGGCAAGAATGGAGAGCTGAACTTTGCACTGATTCAACTGTTCACAAGTCAGCTTCGGAAAACATCTGCACACTGTACGCAAGCACCAACATGACAGACACTGCACGTCCGGCTTCAAATCTGATTACAAAGAGGACACTTTTTTCAAGAATGGATATTTAGAGAACCCATGCAGAATTTTGGAGCTTAGGTTGAATTCTGCTTTTACCCCTGATTATTTAGTTGACACACCGCTAGAAAGAAAAAATAAATAGAGACCATTGAACCATTGTGTCCAGGAATGTTTCGCAAAAGAAGGTAGTTGACAGTATTTCTTCAGGGTTTCTAAAGAAATCAATATATTATGGTTATTTATTTTAATGCACACCGATGGCGTCCATCTTGTAAGTTTTACAGTGAAACCTCGGTAAGTCGGTTCCCGGATAAGCCGGTAACCCGCTTTAGTCGGTAGAATCGCCCGGTCCCGTTTATCACCCATATAACACAATGCTAAATAAGTCTCGGTATCTCGGTTTGGTCAGATTCTGAACCCGCTTAACTCGGTGAAATTTTTCCATCTGGACCTGTTTTTCTTCGATCGTCACCCGTGATCAAGCGTAGGTAGTGTTTCCGTGCGCGGTGCGGGTCGGGTCAAGTTACGCCACGAAGGGTGAGCGAATCTCCGAGAAAGCGCAGCGCAGTGCGAGAAACGACATCGGAAATAAAGAGATAAGGAATCAAAAACACTCAATAACGACACGAAAGATGAGAACAGTAGAGAATAGGATATCTGATACCGCGTGTTATCTTATCGCGCGTGTGAAAACACGCATGCATAATTAAGCAATTTCACGCATCGATGAGTTGACAGGTCCAGTCGGCACCGGCTCCTCTCCCCCTACCATCTTGCATTGCCCTTCCCCGCTCCCCCCAGGAATCTTCCGCAGAGTTTTTCGGGGATTTTAGCGAGTATTGATACGTTGCATTTTCAGTTCAATGACCCGCCATAGCGGGTGGCCGCGGCGCATCACCGCGCGGCATGCCGCGTGGGGTGCGCGGGGGGTGATACGCAATGGGGTGCCGCGGCACCCCAACGTACGATTAACCCGATGACTACATGATGCCCTGACACTTTCAACACGCAATTTCAAGTGCATTTCATGAAATTTTACCATTTAGTACCATTTTCTTCGATCAAATGGCTCTCCAAAACACTCCTATGAGTCACTCTACACGCACGTTTGCGTTTGTCCAATTTAGGGCGCGAAATTTGAAAAAGCGCGGCAGGAAAAGTGGCAGTCCGCTTAAGTCGGTAACCCGCTTAACTCGGTAAATTTCCTCGGTCCCGATGGAAACCGAGTTACCGAGGTTTCACTGTATTAGAAATTAAATATTGAGAGTGAAAAATAATGTTGAAGACTATGTTAAGGGTAGAATATGAGAGGCTCCATACCTGAGGATTATCATCCATCAATCCCATTGTCATTTGGTTGATGTCGAAAGCGTCAATCTTCAAGTTCTTGATTTGTTTCGTAACTCTACGCTGATTTTTTACCATTGCATCGCTCATATACCTAGTATTTTTAAGAATGTCCTCGAGGAAATACTGTTTGACATCAAAGAGTTTCCCAGGAACATTGATGACAGGGCAGTTATTGAAGTAGGAAGAAAATAAGTTAGTGTCTATCGTTGCTGACATCAGGATTAGTCTCAGGTCTGGATATTTGACTAGATAGTTTCGGATGGTGATAAGGATGAAGTCACTCAGTCTATCACGGTCATGAACCTCATCGATTATCAGGTGTGTCACTCTTGACAATGAGTTACTACTCCCCATCAGCGTTCGGAGCAGTACACCATTTGTACAATACGTAAGAATAGTTTTAGGAGAACACCTGCAGAGCAGAATGCTGGTATTAGAAATATGGTTCCAAAACATACATTGTACGGATAGAAATATGAATGATCATTCATCACAAAAGAATTACTTATTTTTATTTCGTCAAATTCTGAGTTCGTTATTTAGAGTTGAGTAACATTTTTCCATCCTGTTTCATCAGTTTCTGCTCCAAGTTTAATACCTCGGTTTTTCTATGCTTAAGTTGTTATCAGAGGTAGGTTAGATTAAAACCTGGGGGACAAAGCCCAAAACGCAGAAAATCAAAGGAGTTATCAGAAGTAAGGGGTTCAGTTTGAGGTGGATCTGTAATGTAGGGCAGATGGTAAAATCGACTGCCCATCAACTTATATATGATTTCTAAATTTCGAGATTTTTTTTTTTTCCAATTGCTTGAAATTGCATAATTCTGTAGTAAATTAGACATATGCATTCAAAATTTTGTTTGCGTTTCTCTCAAAACTATCATTTCCACTATAGTTTATTCAAAATAACTACTCAGTTCTCCCCACTGGCTTTAAAGTATTCAATATTGAACAAATACTGTTTTTACCTGCTTTCCAACCGGATTTGATAACCAACTGTGAAACCAACATTATCTCCTCGTTCTAGAGCAACTCTTTCACTCACTGAAACAGCTGAAATACGCCTCGGCTGACTGCAAATGATTCTACAAGGTTTTTCTAAGCGTGAGCACCTATCCATTATTAACTGAGGAACCTGTAAATTAAAATCAGGATTCATTGATGAAGTTACAGAATCATTTTTCACCTACTTAATTTTGAAGTTTCATTACTTGCATTTTTTTTCCTGAAAACTACAGGATTTCATATTGATCCCGCTTAACTAGGTAAATTTTTCGTAAGACATCATAAAAATAAAAAATTGAAGCAATTTCAAGAAACACGAGCTTTGAGATGTGTAGATTTGTAATCCTGCAAGAAATAAAGCACCTAATTTTACACATTTTTAGTACTTAATGTGTGATGCTAGGTTAATTCAATCCTTGAGAGAGGAGTCAATACTTTTTTTTTTATCAATAGTACACATGCGTTCAATCCCTGAGAATTTTGAACTGTGAAATTTTCTTCAGAAATAATCATGATGGTCCAAATAGTACTGAAGAACTGTGCCAGTACAATTACTTCGTCATGTATGAGTGCAGTGTGTCTGAGGACATTGCAAAGAATTTTGAAGCACAGCCTCATGGCGGTCAGAGGGTAACTGAACCTCCAGGAGAGTATATAATTATCTTAGATGAGTTTTAAGAGGAAATTAATTCATAATTTAATTGGGCTTTTGGGACGTAGGGGACGCCTAGCAAAATCGTGGATTGGTGGCATTCAAGATGAAATCACGAGATGCCATCTACCAGATGACCTCTGGATCGATAGGCAAGGATGGCGATTAGGTGTCGCAGAGCGCCCGAGCGCGCTGTAAAGCGACTGGAATGTATGTATGTAATTGGGCTTTTTTGAACTGCCCACCAAGGCAGGGGGGCACAAGCTTCCCAATCACAAGATATTGACAGTGTTGCCACTCGCGTGAAAAATGGGAAGGCTGTGAATATTGGGCAAGGGAATTAAAACCGCACCTTTCTGGTAGGACTGCAAAAGAGGTTACAAATTTTTCACAAAATTTCAGCAATTTCAAGAGACAGGAAACAAAGAGCCATAGCTTTGAAAATTTAGAGAAAAGAGGTGTTTTTAAAATGGGAAGTCCAAGAACTTTCAGAACCCTTGCACCAAAGTACAAAGCGCTGTCTTGCGCACCACTTTTCTTGAAAGATTTGCCTTCGCTGATCTTTATGGGGATGAAAATGTAAGCGATGAAGAGTCGCTTCCACTGACCTGGGTGGTTTTACCGGAGCCTGTTTCTCCGCAAATTATGGTGACCTGATTTTTATTGATGGTATCCATAATCAAATCTTTCATTGCCATAACCGGAAGTGCATTTCTAGATTGAATAAATTCAGGGTTTGCTTTGAGGGGTGGAACTATTGGAATTCCAGACGAGAGCCGCCCTAGAATTTTGCTCGTTTCTCTTCCTGCAGGAAAAAGAAAAGAATGGTATGAAAGCATTATTAAAAGAAAAAAACAAATTCACCAAATAAATCTCTATAGAAGTCTTACACTCTTGAATTGGTACTTCTCATACACCAACATACATTCTTTATCGTGAAAATTTCACATAAAACGCAATGGAAACATTTAAAATGTCCAAATTCAACTTGTATCTACATGAGAAATTAGTGCATCTCCTGTTGGCCAATTCATACTTCCCATTGGCTAAAAATGCAAAATCCATTCGAGCCAAATCAAGTACATTATAAACTAATTTTAATGATTATCTTGATGGAATGCTTTTCTCGGTGTGACAAATTTCCTCTAGCAGGTTCGTAAGTGCCATATGTCAGACTAAGTTTTCCTGGTTTTGCTGACCAGAATTATTGTACTCCACTTTTTGTACAAGTTAATTTTTAATAAATGGTTTGACTTTCACTAACACTGATTTTTTTTCCCCAGGCAAAAAGTCAGAAATTTCATTCTTACAAAAATTGGGAAAGAAAATTTTCCACGCAAGGGTGAATTGTGGAAATTTCAAAAATGTTTAGAATGTTTTGCTTCAAATATTTATGCAAGCATATGCTGTTTCGCAATTCAATATGATATGTTAGTAAATGGTAGAGATATGATACCCGTTCTTGTTCAGTCAAGTCTTAACCCATTCGCCTCATTTGACGAGTATACTCGTCAGCGAGCGCGCGGGACATATCTCAGTTGACGAGTTGATTCGCAGCATCTATCGGCATTGCTATGCGATTTTATTGCCAGTGGGTTTTCAATTGTCCGATAGATGGCATCTCAAGCGTCGGAATGCCGAAAATGGCGCGAATTAACTCGTCAGCTGAGATGATGTCCTAGGCGCCCGCTGATGAGTAAACTCGTCATGTGAGGCGAATGGGTTAATACCAGCATTAACCTTGTCAACTTGACTATTTATTTCTTGCAGCAGTGGGTTGGATTAATGACAGATCTTTTGTGAAATCAAGGTTCAAATTCAAGTTGCGAACAAGTGACAAGTTTATATAAAACAGAAATTGAACATACTAAAAGATCTTAAAATGTTGCCATATACCTTCATATTCTTGCAAAAAACTCGGTTCAAAATAGTCGACTTTTGCTGTTGGTCGCTTACCAATGGCATTGCTGTGAGTGTGACTGATGGTCATGCTCATTTTTCACTATCTTATCATAGACAACTTGACTTTGTTATGACAACAGAGGACGACAATTGCTAACAATCACTGATGGTGATTCTATTGACACACTCCGGACTCGGATGACGTCAAATTGTCTTATGACTGATGGTCTAGCTCAGTTTGACAAACTAGGCTCCGCCCATTTCTGATGGCATTAACGAAACAAAACTCGAATGATATCCCAGTGATGGCGACAAACTGCGATTGACGGCTAAATAAGAGGCGACTTCGTTGCCAGTTGCCATATACTTTCAAATTCTTGCAAAGAGCTCACTTAAAAATGATGAACAAGAAAAAGTTGCAACATTTCTCATTGGTCATGTATTGATAATGATTTAATAAAAGCTTGTTGCTGGGGACCTTACCATCAGTTGACTTGTCTCTTTTTGACAAGGGAAGGAGGCCTTCTCTCTCAGCAAGTGTTAAGGGGCACTGTCTCAGTAAATCATGGATTTGCTTTTTGGCAGGGACTGATAAATTCAGATTGTTTTCCAGTAAGTTATTTGGTAAACCTTCTCTCTTCAGGACAGTTATAAACCTGTTAGCACCCTTCCTGCAAACGTCAAAATATATTACATACATGAAAAATGATTTGATCATAAGTTTCAGAGTTCACCAATATATTTTTTTGCCAAGTAAATTGACAAAATCCTTCCATATTCTGTGAGCTGTGATGCTTAACAATGTAATAACAGACAGTATTAAGGCGAAACTGTTCTTGAATCATTCAAAAGTTAAAGGGAAAAAACGTTAGATCACATGACCCTTCAGGTATAACATTTGATCATACTTGGGACCCGGACCAAACTTTTCAATACCTGAAAAAATGAGTTTTTACTGGGGGCCGAATTACAATGGCAGAAGGAACAACCTTTTTTGATGGGAAAACATGTCTTGTGGTGGCTTGAGTCTTACTTGGGTCCACCCGTTATAAGTTCTCTAATCAAGTCGTCTACTGAGAGAGATAAATTGTGTTACTTTTGCAGAGAAAAAAGTTTTTTGAGTTGTTTTAGACTTTCAACTTTGCTGCTTTACCATTATATCTGAACGAAAAAAAATTTGAAAAGTTCAAGGGAAAATGTGATTAGTCTGTTTTACAAGCACAAACTGGCCTTCTTCATTCTCTCTCCAACAATACACTTGAAGTGAAGTTTGTTTCACGAAATCATTCAGATTACTCTCTTCTAGCTTATTTATGCCTCCAACCACAAAACTAAACCTTCCCTCCTTAACCTCATTACTTTGAGATTGCAGACTTCCAAAATTTTCATTGGTCATTGATGCAAACTTCTTGATTTATGATGGAAGAAGATGATGAAAAGCTTAAAATAAACTGAAACTTACCCAATACTCTTAGTTTTTAGGTGTGAGAATCTGCAGCTTGTATGAATATATTTGCGTTCTAGTCTTGACAAGGAGCATGGAAATTCCAATGCTGGAAAAAAGAAAATTATTAAAATTTAGTGTCAGTGCCAATGAAACAGCTAAAATCCAAAGCCGAAGAAAGAAAGGACAATAAATAAATGGCGCTATGAGACATATTGGCACAATATTGCTGCCTATGGAACCATGCACAGATAATAAATTTTCTTAGATTTCAAAATTCTCTGAGTTTCCAAGGATTTTGAACAGCAAAATTCCCGGACTTGTCTCTGCCTTTTCAATGGTGTTTTTTTTTTTGACATGATTTCTTGTAAGAATTTTTCTCAAAACAAATTCCAAGCAATATTAGGATGACTCTTGAAATTGAAAAATGCTGTTTTGACTATAGAAGAAAAAATATCAAGGGTCCACAATAAGATTCCTGGACTTTTCAGAATTGGGCAAAATTCCCAATTTTTCTTAAGGTGATTCGTCAAGCTCAAGTGACGTGGTCGAACTGGCATGCGATATATCGCATCTTATAGGTCAAAAATCTCGGCAGATTTTGAATTTTCAGCAAAAAAAAGGACGATAGCCCCTGCGCATGAGCCTGAAGAATCATTCTAAACCCAAAAATCGGCAAAATTCAGAGAAATGAAAGCAGGATAGTGTTTGGAAAAAAACCTCGCATTCGATTCAGCTATCGATTTCGGTATCGAATGCGAGGTTTTTTTCCAAACACTTTCCTGCTTTCATTTCTCTGAATTTTGCCGATTTTTGGGTTTAGAATGATTCTTCAGGCTCATGCGCAGGGGCTATCGTCCTTTTTTTTGCTGAAAATTCAAAATCTGCCGAGATTTTTGACCTATAAGATGCGATATATCGCATGCCAGTTCGACCACGTCACTTGAGCTTGACGAATCACCTTAAATTTAGAAGGTGGTGTAATTTAACCCCTTGTTGGGGTCTCCTTACTTTTACACACAACTTGCCAATTGGCCATTGAAACGTTGCTGCACCTCTTGACAACCACATACACTATCAATAGGATTTTCTCAGCCATGAGCAAACAACTTTTTACTAGAGATACTAGTGACAAAGGGAAGACATAAAATTAGAGGGCTTTATTTTTATCCGAACCGCAGAGGATTGCAATGGAACGGGATGAAATGCCTCCCTTGTTTATCCCGGTCCAATGGCACGGTCCAGCCCGTTCACACCAATCTTTCTCACTGGGTGGGTTGCAAGCAGTTACTTGCGATATTAACCTCAGTCAAACCACTTCAAAACTTGAAGATCCCGATCCATTGCTTTCCATAGATAAAAAAAAAGGCCTACAGTACTTGTCCAAGACTTATAATTGGGCACTTGTAAACTTTAGATAGAGCTTCAAAAAGCCGAAATAATAATTTGAATAACAAGATTGTATGATCTGAGCTTTTTGCTGCATAATTGAAGCAGACTTTGACAAAGAATCATTTACTTAGATGGGCGAACCTAACTTCATGACAATCCACAAGCCTTAAGGTGGCTCTTAGGAATGAAAAGTCTCAATAGTTAGGCAGAGCTTAACGCAGTCAATCTGCGATACCCTGTAGAGTTATTCAATAGTTTGTCCTTCCGTTTTGGTCACTTGCCCTTCAAAAATTAACAACGGAAACCAAAAAAAAGGGAAAAAACGATGGGATGTAAAAATGTTTCCAGTGGATAAGGAGAATAAGGACAAACCTGTTTCTTTGGATTGAAGGAAGCTTTTCAGTGACTGAGCAAAGGCTGCTTTGAACTGATCATCTGGTTTCTTCTCCTTCGCCGTCGGTGGATTCTTTTTCTCCCGAACACCTTTGTTTCTCGGCATTTTTACCTGAAAATAGAGCTTAAAATAATACAGATATTCATTAAACAAAAGACAAACGGTTTCTAAAAGCAAATGCAAGTTTCTATGAGACTCGACTGCCATAGAATTACTGGATTTAAGGTAGAGTAATAAGTTCGTTTCGGTAACCTCAGTCAATGTTGATCACAAAAGTACATGGATATGAAGTAGCTCCGATCAAACGTAAGGCACTTTAAAATCTCTGCAAACGCCATCAAGGATTCCGTAAATCTTAATGGACAGTCAGATTATTTATCATTTTATCCGAGACTTGAACCCTAATGTTTTGAATTTCAACTGAGGGCTTCTGCAGATGGTTCATTTTTATTTTCGAGGATCTGAATGCCCAACAACTTTGGTGGAAAAAAAAAACTACATATTCAACCAGTTTTGTTAAAATACCAAACTACATAGATTTCTGTTGTAAATAGCAGTTTACTTTCAGAAAAATTAAAGACATTAATATAAACCATGTCAACATAATCTCAGAGAGGTAGAATAGCGCTGGGTCCACACTCTTCCACAGAAGGATCAAATCAATTATTTGGTTCTCTCACATATTAGTGTGGACCCAAAAGTTTTCACCCATCCTGTTACCGACAGTTTGCAGGCCACACTTTATGCAGTTTCTTCTTCTCATTCAGAATCATGCAACTAAATATCCTTCTACAGAATTGCTAAGTTTAGTGATTGTTGAGCTACTAGAGCATTGTTAGACTCCGGAGGTATTACCCAAAGACTTGCTACGGCATTCTTAAGTGCTCTCCTAGACTTAGCTCTCTCGAGGTCAGAAAGCTAGAGAGCAGACTGTTGACTGCATAGAAAAAGAGATTAGATTTCACATCTTCACATTGCGCTTTTTCTCTCAAGCAACATCATCAAGTTCTAGGCCTACTGTTGATATATTTTTAAGGAAACTTTGAAAGTTGAGAAATATGGAGGATTTTGTCCACTTTGCATTTTTGAGATGTGCTGTGGGTGGACAATGAAGAACCCGGCAGATGAAAAGAACGACGGGAGCGAGTCATCGAGTAATCCTACGAGCTCAATGCTCAACGATCCTCAGGAGAGCTCACAATGAATTTAGCAACGCACCTTAGAAGTGCAACTGACCAATTGGATCAGTTAACACAGTGTTGAGGTTGAATCTGCAAGCAAGTCGTGGTTGGAACTGCTGTCTGACTCTGTCCACAACAATTCATATATTCATACCTGTAGGAGTGCATGCAAAAACTTAAAAATGGTCTTCAATAGTAGAGATTGCAGATTCATCAATTGTCTATGCCAATGTACACTCTCGGCAGATCTTGATGACAAAACTTTCAACAACCGTACCCCAAATTTGAAAGGAAGTTTCTGACCTAACAAAGGTGGCCAAACATTCGCCACTAACTTCCACTGCGTATGTGCTTGCTAACACAGTCGTTCAGTTGGAGAATAATTAATGTGGAACGGAGAAATAAGACAGCATGTCATACGAACATTGTTACTCTTGAGTGTCTAAAACAAACTGGTTGACTATTTCTAAAGCAATGAGGATGTTAAAATTGGAACAAGATCAAACCCGATTAATTACAATTGCAGTCACTCATACAAATACTCCAAAAATAGCAATCTTTATTGCAAACATGCTCAGAGAGGAGATAGCGGTTTTAATCAAAGTATTTACCAGTGAAATATAGTAAATTTGTCGATTTACCTCGTATCAAAGGTGTTTCTTCAACAAAAGATGAAAATCTGGGATCAGTTGAAGACTTTAGGGACGGATTGAAATGACTTCTGAGGGTACAGCAGACGATTCATGAAATCCAAAAAGAACATTAAGAAAAACAGATGGGAAAGGTTCGTCTTATAGAATCACTCCAACACAAAAACTTGAAACAAATATCTTAGTGCGAGAATCCTTTGGGCAGTTTTTCCACAAGATCGAAAAATTGTAGTGTTTCGGCAGGGCAGCACAGTGTCAGTGAGGAGAGAACATGAGGTGAAAGCAAATTAACCTATGCAGCCATTTTGCGCGTCATTTCCATATGTTACGTCATCTAAGACAGCCATTTTGACTCGAGCGTCGCCCGCATGGTCTTTGTTTACGTATTTATCTGTTTATCATTTGTTATCATTTCAGGTTTCACTTCTGAATCTTTTGAAATTGGATTGGATTCTTGATGAGCTTCTGTCTTAACTTCAGCAGATTTCAGTTTCAATTTTTTAGTGTTATCAAGAAGTACCTTCAATTCTCATCATTAATGCCTAGTAAAATGTAATGGAGCAGGTATGTTTTTGCAAATTCTATACACACTTGGTCATAGTTTGAGCGCAGCTTTCGAGAAGCGAGTTCTATTGCTAGCTGTTTGTGCACTTGCAAATTTTGCAACAAAGTCAACTTACTAGTGCCCTATTGCTCCCTGTAGCTTAAGGTCATATTAAAACAAGTGTTCTAAAATCCACAGAACACTATAGGTAACTTGCCATAGAGAAATCATACGCTCGTTTTACTACGAACAACACAATCACCATGAAGTTACTGCAAGCCCATTCAAAATAGGATATTGATGGCTGATGTCTGAAAATGTACACCTCCATTACTCCATTACAATATTTCAACATCCCTGAGATGGTCTTATTCTTCAAACAAAAACAACTGAGGTATGGTCCTGAAATTTTTTGTTATTACATTAGAAAGAATGAAGAAAACTCACAGAGAATTTTCATATGAAGGGATGGACACACATTCAAAATGAAGCTTCAAAGTGATGGCTGTTTAGTCAAGTGTTGCGCATCGATGCGTCAAAATAGAGCGGGCTGCTCTCCTTTGAAGGTAATCAACGGCAACACTTGGCTGAACAGCCACCACTTTGAAGCTTCACTTTGAACGTGTGTCCAGCCCTTAAGCAGTTAATGAATTTATTTTCTAAAAATAGTAAAAGCAGAAATTTTCAATATAATAATCCAAGATACGCATTCTTAAAAATCAGCCGTTCCTTAACCATCAAATTATGTTGTTCATAGAGGCTGGAGTGTATAATAGTTCAGGGGCTCTTGATATGAACGATGGCTGCCTCTGAGGGGTCGTTGATACTATGTTCACACTCTTGCAGGGGGAAGAGGGAGTTGAGGAGATTGTTAAGTCATTTTTTATGCGATAAAATCTAGGGACCTACTACTTGAAAGCCTAACAAAAGGGTGGAGCAAAAAATCCAAAATTTAACATTACGAATTTTATGAACTGCCCTTGATGGAAGAGTTATAAACTGTAACACATTAAGACTAGAGAGAAGAAGAATGCATCATTGAGGATCAATGGATGAATCTTTTCTGTAGTACTGGATGACGGCCAGAATGCTTTTCTTGGATCCACCCTTTTTTAGCCTGTTAACACCTGTTAAAGTTCAGGAGGAAATTAATTTTGCCCATGAAAAAAATAAAAGGCAGGCCAAAATTCTGCTGTTAAATCAAAAGGAGCTCATATATCGACGTTGTAAGTCGGCAATCACATAACTCGCTTGTGGTGTCTGAAAATCTCCGCCTCTATGTTATTTTTTTAAAGAAGAACAAATTGACATCATTCCTTGAAGTTTATGCAGAATTTTCTTCGCACAGAGAAGAAAAATCACGGCAGTTTTAAAGAATTGCCGTTGAGTAGTTTTCTGTTCAACAAATAACGAATGACAGGAAGTCTGCGACGTCGCAAACCGAGTTATGTGATTGCCGACTGACGCTGTTGATATGTAGTTTGACCATTGAAAGTGTGCTCCCATAAGCAGTGGCTCTGGGCTTTGAAGCTTTGAGCTCTGAAGTTTTTTGACTCTTTCTATTAGTAATTTTCCAGATTTTTATCATTAAACTTCACTCTCTTCACTTTCTTCCCTTTCTTGTAAGCCATAACTCTTTAATAATTTTCTATAATGTCTGGTCGCTTATCTGAGAATTATTGTTGTGTTTCAGAGCTCTTCTCCACTGAATGTTTTCAATGAATTAGCGTCGCAGTGAACTATGTTTTGCATCTCATCCCCGAACTGTAAAGTTTTTGCTCAAATTATCCACACACTAGCAAAGATTGGTGATGAAGTCCTCTTTGAGCCCAGAGCAAGGAGCTTAGTTTTGAAGACTAAAAATCTGGCCGAGTCCTCCTACGCTGAGACAGAGCTTCAGGCAAATTTTTTTTCAAGTTTCTCTTTTAATCCTACGCTTTATCAAGAAGATACAATTAACTTTAAAGTAACTGTGCGTTCTCTAGTTTCTGTGGTCAAATCTCCGCACAGTTTTGACAAAAATGTTGATACTTGTTTATTACGTTATGAGCAGGGAAAGTTTCAGCTAACTGTTATTATCTCTTACTCTAAAGGCACAACAAAAGAATTTATCATTCCTCACATAGAATATGAATCTTTTGAGGCTAACTTTTCTAAAGCTGATGCAAAGAATTACATGCTATCAGATGCTTGCACTTTGATGTCAGCAGCAAATCAATTTAAGTCTGGAGAAGACGAAATAACTTTGTCTTGCGGCAAAGAAAACAGTATACTTGAAAATTATCTGCAAAATGCCAAAGATTGCAAAACAACAGTGAAAACAACTGTAAGAGTTGATCATCAGTATTTAGAAACATATTCAATTAATTTCCCTACAGCAATCACCTTTTGTTTAAAAGAATTTAAAGCTTTACTCATGTTAGCAGACAATGTTCGGGCACCAATTGCATTTTACTTTGATTCTCCGGGGAAGCCATTGACTTTGGAAGTTAGTGAACAGGGTATTTTTCGAATTAATGTTCTCATATCTACCCTTCAAGCTTCAACGAGTGACCAGCAGCAATCATCTCAAACTCCACCAGCAAGTCTGGCTAGCCAAAGTGGTCAGTCAAACTGTGATGATAACAGGCAGTCGGCACAAGTAATTTCTACAAAAAACATTCCAAATAGTGTAGCACCGCCTGCAAGTAGTATTCTTCAAAATCAATCAAAAGCCAACCCAATTCGGGTGCAAAATAATATAAGAGACTCTGATAGGTTTGCCTACAATTTTCCGATTCCCACAACTAGTCTAAATCGGCAAGGATCTCAAAATTTAAGTCAAAACAACGGTTTAGTCAGGTCTCAAAATTGTGACTCAAGTCAGAGAGGTCACAATAAATTTCACAGTAATGGAAATAATGACCAAAATGATATGCATGATCCAAGTCAAACTAATACCAGTTACAATCAAAATGATGATCTTATTAGAAGTCAAAGAAGGACGCATGATTTAAGTCAAAATAATGAAAATGTTAGCCATAAAAATAGTCACAATGCAGTTCAAAGCAATGAGCCCAATAACCCGGTTTCTTCTCAACCACAGAACCTTGATGAAGCAGAAAATTTTGTTCCTAATGATTTTATACTTGACCCAAATGATTTCGCTGGTGATGATTTCAACCTTGATGAAGAACCAAAAAGTTCAAAGCGCTGCTCTGATATAGAACCTCCACAGTCGACCAAGCATCCTCGGAAAAGGAGGAGAGAACCTGAGAACAACAATACCCTTGAAGATATAGAGGCATTTGTCAAGGAAAAAAGGTCTAGCGTCAATTCTGAGGCTTTGAATTCCAAGTTTGATGAGGTCAATCATTCTCGAATGAAAATTCTGCATGATCCGGTTAATCAGCTTATTTTAAATGTTTTTCGGTGGTTTTTTAATCCAGCAAAGAGCTGGAAAAAGAATCGATCAAAGGTCATTGTGTATGATTCAGATGGTTTTACTGATTCAGATTGATTGTCAGTCAAGTAAATAAACTTGAAAGTAGAACAATTATGTCAAGTACTCCGTCAAGAATTTGGAATTTCATCTAACATGTTGTCTCTTCAAGATACTTAGTTCATTTCTTTACGGAAATGCATTGGCTCCATACTCATAGTTACTTATTAACACATCCAATCGAAACTGAGTTGAAAATCAGTTTGCACATCCTGCCTCTTTTACTTTCATTTTTACCTGTATTCTAAGACAGAATTATCTTATTCAGTATGGTAGATGATGGCGGTGGCGATGATATCTAGGATGGTGATTTTTAATGAATAAGTAATTGATTTGATTCCTTTGAGAATGTTAGTATTATTTGGACAGACGTAAACCAGAATCAGCCCAACTGTACTTTCTTATTTCCTCTTGAGAGGAAATCTTATTTTTTTAACAGAGAATCTAACAATATAATGCCTTGAAACTTTCTGTAAATTTACTTTAGGTTATGAAGAACACTTATACTCACAAAGCTTCAAGTCAGAATTTTGATTAGTTTTAGTCATAACCCTAGCAGCAGGGACTGTAAAAAATCTCTTAAAAAACTTGTAAATTTTAATTAAAAAACTCTCAATAAAACATTTAAAATTTACAAAGAAGGGAACTCTTTTTGGGACTTGTTTTACATAAAATTTATGAGAGGTCAAAAAGTACAATAATTGCTAAAAAAAACTCTTAAAAAATTCTTAAGAGTAATACACTGGTTTTTGAACACTTATTTTACTTTAAAACGCAACAGTGTATTTCCTTCGGAAAATACACTAAAAATGAGGTTTTTTTGGAGAGAGGTTTTTAACACCATCTTTATCTAAATTTTGCCTCTCGTAAATTTTTTGTAAAATAAATCCCAACAAAGGGTTCCTCTTTCGCAAATTTTAACTATTTTTCAAAGAATTTTTTAGAAACAAATTTTAACAGCCGTTGCTAACAGGGAAAAGTAATGCATGATCCTTGGGCCTGTGCTCCCAATAGGAGAGTGTCCAAATGTCTTGAATATGTTTGTTTGTGAACCATGAATTGTGATGATGGGGAAATTTGCCCGGAAACTTTTAAATTTTAATAAAACCTTTCAATCAAAAGTTGGTCGGAAAAATACTGTTTTTTTTATTTGAATGTACATTTCCCAAAGAATTAATCACAAGACATTAAGACAGGGATGCATTTGGGAATTGGATGTATTTCTATCAAAAGGAGCTATGTGCGTTATGACGTGAGCCCTGTAATGCATATATTCTCATGAGACTCAGGGCTCATGTCTTTATGCACATCGTTCTGTTTGGCAGAAATACATCCAATTGTTTTCAATATTGTTGTTTTCTGTCGTAAATATCCAATTTCGGGGGAGGGCGACTAAGTAATCATGAATTGTGTTAAAAATGGGCGAAGGCCAACTGAATTCAAGGGACGGCGTGGAACTTCGTGCACCCTCGAATGTATAATAACATTTCAAGGCTTAGTATTATACTTGTGACTAGACGGAAAATGTAGGGATCTAGGAGGCTCTTCATTGTTGCTGTGCGATTCACTTCTTGACGAACGCTCCACACTCACAAAGGGTTGCCGTGCAGCAATAAAAAAACCTGGAAAATAATTCGGACATTAGAAGGAAACACACTGATTTTGAGACCAACACTTAACTATCGACCGCCGAAAAAGTATGAAAATCGGCTGAGAAGTTCTTTATAACTACAGTGGATCCGCGGTCTTTGCGGACTCGCTTATCCGCGGATTCGCTTACCCGCGATCGGAAAGAAGGATACGGAGGGGGACGATATATCTGAATTTCTCGCGTATATACTGCGTGCATATCCCAACCTCGCGAAATTACCAGTTTTACATTTTTTACAGTCATTTTATGAGCTGTGCTGGTACAATCGCGATATAGGTAGGTACGCGTTTCTAATTTATTGTTTCGCACGGCGCGGAGCACAGTGGGTCGGAAGAGATCGGACGTGAATTTTTTAACTAAAGTTGAACATTTTGATGTACATTTCGTCATATTGTGCACAGTATGACAAGGAGTTCTTGGAGGAAATTCTAAAAGAGTATTAATGATACTACTTTTAAACTTCTATATTTTGTATCTGCAAAGATACAAGCTTTTAAAGTTGCCAAAGCATGTTCAACCTCCTCCACTGTGCGGCGCGGCTTGGCGCGGTGCGGTACCGCAAACGGGGCAGGTTGTTGAACACAGACTCTCACGTTGGCGGTACGATTTTTCATTATCATACTGATTAATTATGTATTTGATGATAAGCACTTATTTTCAACAAGAGTATCTATCGAATTGTTGTTATCAGCTGAAGAAAATTTAAAGTGAGAAATCGTGCTGGTGTCGAATCGTGTATGAAGATTTTAACGAACTGCTGCATTGTTATTTTCTTCCCAAATGATTGTGTTGCTCTCTTTTTCACTTTTCGTTTCTCCATAGACAACATTGTCTTCCTGTAACGTGATAGTGTCGAATTTCTTCGTGATACCCAATGGCTGCTAGCTCAAAATTAATGCATAAAGTATTCCAAGATGCATCCCAGTTTTTGAAAGTTGGATGTAGGTTGCAAGCTCAAAATGTGATTTGCAGACACGCTTCGCATTTTACGTACTTCAAAGATGAACCGCTCAAAGAATTCGGTAAGATCACATTTATATTAAAACCGAAAAAATGGATTCACTCATGCACATAATATTGTATGTAAAAAAAAGAAAAAAGAAGACGCTCTTTTACTCGAAATAGAGGTTTGTAAATACCTATACTCAAATTAGTCCTGAATAAAAGAAAATTGAATATGTAATAGTGTTGGAGGGGGGGGGGAGGAAAAATATCTGGTGGCAGGATTCTCTGCTGAAGGAATTTAATTAAATGAGATATTAGTGAAATTTTGTCACTCAGCGTCTCTGTCTAAACGTCCAATTTTTTTATTGAAGAATCAACTTTTCAGAGACGTGTTACATCTGAAAACGAACACCTTCAAATTTTGTTTGGGTGCATATGCTCATAATTAATACCCATTTTTGATTTTTGAAATTTCACTTGATTTTTTTTTTTTTTGATTGCTTAAAAACATCCCCTATATTTTGTTTGTAACTATATTAATCAGTCTCTGTTTGATACACATAACTTTTAAAATATTTAAGTATACTTACTTAATTTAGAAATTTTGAATAATTTTTGAGAAAATTTAATCTGCCTCATATTTTCTGTCACAGGTGATACAAGTAAGACAAATATGTTCCAGGCAATCAATAGTGCCATGGACATAGCTCTTGATACTGATTCCTCAGCGGGTAAGAGTATTCTTTTCCTTTTTTTTTCATTCTATGAGGGAAAATTTTCCAGAAGCTAGTGAGATTTGTTGATTAAAATGTTACTGAGGGTTTTACAAATATTATTTGTCGACAGGAAATCTTTTGTGTAGTACCTACAAGATTTGCAGGTGTGATAAGTGAGGTACAAGATTTTGTAGTTTCACCACCACCATACCTACTGGTACCATGCTTTTTTAGTCTTAGACGCTATTACTGATGGTGAGGTGATTTTACATTATTTGTGTTTCAATTACGTACTGTGTTCCGAAATAGATACTTCGTCTTTTTTTTAAAGGAGAAGGGAGTAAATCAGCTTTAATTATTTCAATTCTTACTTTTTCTCAACTCTCAACTTCTGGAGAGTATTATCTTTTCTTTAACCAAAGAAAAAAAATCAGGGAAATTTGCAAAAGGTGTTGTTGCTTAGTTTTTTTTTATTAATAAGCATAGTATGATTTGCAAGAATAGGGCTTGGAGCTCATCCTCTCCAGAACGTTTATAGCCTGATTTTTAGTCGTGCGAAAAAAGCGCTCAGAATGTTAATAAGTAATATCATCATATTCAGCAACAATTGTTCCGCATTGGTTGAGCAAAAATGTGATTTTATTAAATATTCTCAGCCATACTTCCCACCTCTACATCCATTATTTTTATTACTTCTTTTTTCAGTGGTTTTTGGAGAAGATGTTGCTTTTGGTGGAGTGTTCCGTTGTTCTATGGGCTTACAAGAAAAGCATGGCAAGGATAGAGTTTTTAATTCTCCTCTTTGTGAACAAGGCATTGTAGCTTTCGGGATTGGGCTCTCTGTCGCAGGTTCGACCGCTATTTCTGAAATCCAGTTTGCCGATTACATATTTCCTGCTTTTGATCAGGTAAAAGATACTTAGGTAAGACATATATGTTAATATGTGAATTTAAATTGGTAAATTTCGGAGAATATTTTTCATCAAAAGGCAAGCTAATTTACTGCAACCATATAAAATATCTAGTGTTTTGATTTAACTTCAGAACCACTTACCTCAACTGTAATGTTTCAAAATTTCTGTTAATAATTTATGTCTAGAAAAGAAAGCAAATAAAAAATGGCTCGATTACCTCTGATTTTTCTTAAGTACTTTATGGTCATCTTGTACAAATTTTAAGCCTCGTAGGTATATTTGTTTTTCATCCAAAAAATGAAGCACATGCAGAAATTTTGAAAAGTTGAAATTGAGATATGTAAGTACAAGGTTTGGAGGCTAACCCACCAAATGCTGATTTGCATTTTTGTGTCAGAGTGTCCTCGTTTTTTTATTCTTGCGTATTAATATTCATCTTATCAAATTACAGATCGTAAACGAAGCTGCAAAATTCCGCTATCGAAGTGGTAACCTGAGCAATTGCGGAAGTTTAACAATTCGTGCTCCGTGCAGTGCAGTTGGTCATGGAGGCTTGTATCACTCTCAAAGTCCTGAGGCATACTTTGCACACACACCAGGTTTAAAAGTAAAACACCTTTATTCTGATTTTCAGCTTTAAAATAACATGAATTTGGTAGGGAAGTGGCATTTATCCTTTGAACCATGACCAAGAGTAAGGTGGAATCTTATTGTGGTTTTGCAAAGAATATGAGGGTGGTTTCACGATAACTGGACTAGTTTTGTCGCCATAACAGACAACACATTTTTCAGCCATATTTTTAGTAGTAACGATAATCACTCGAATTTTTTTGCATTAATCTTCAAATAGATAGGTACGTATTATACCGCTTTCTAATGATTTATTGCTCTATTTCTCAATTAATATTAGGTATGTAAATTCCGAAAATGTGCTGTCTGTTTTGTGGTAAAAAGTCAGCGTAACAGATAGCATATTTTCGGCTATTTATGTATTAAAATTGAAAAGTAGAGCGGTAAATCTTTGAAAGGCGTTATAAAACGTAACCCTGTGTAGATTAATGCAAAAAAATTTGAGTGATTATCATTACCACTAAAAATATGACCGAAAAATGTGTTGTCTCTTACGGCGACAAAACTATTCCAGTTATTGTGGAACCACCCATGAATAGTAAGTATAGGTATGTGTTCACTTTTAAACAAATAACTACAATCTAGTAAGAAAAATTTGTACACAATTACTGATTTAATGGCAATATATGTATGAACTTTCAAACATCCTTTTCCATATAATCGCAAAAAATAATATTATAAATCTTTCAATTATTTTTTCACCTTTAAGTTACATCATAAAAATTATTTACCCTATATCTGTCTTAAACCCCATAGCTGAATGACTGAACTTTAGAACCATGTTTATTTTAATCGCAAGGGTACATTTCTGTGCAGAAATTTCTATTTGGAAGGAAAATAAATCAACATTTTGGTTTGACGCACAGTAAAGAGCTGAGGAGGGCAGGCAGTAGCCACCTGAAGTAATCCCTCTCAAATAAGTATAAGTCTCTGAGTGCTTTTTAGCTTGGGTTGTGTTTTACGTTTTGTATTTTTTCAAACCATCACTTCCTTGTTCATATTTTACATTTTTACGATTTTATTATGGCGTGACATTTTTTTGTTTTTCCTCTTGGTTTCATGATCTTTCTTCAAAAATTCTGAGCGAAAAATGTTAATTTCATCTTCTTCCAGAAAATATGAAACGTTGAAACTGAAGTATGGGGCTCTGAAGTTCAGCCATTGAGCTGTTGGGTATTATCTGTAGTGAGTAAGACATGTTTACTTGTAGCTGTAGACAACGAAAGCATAAGGTATTCTATGATGTCGGATTGAAACCATCCAATGTTTATTTGAGCACAGTTTTTTTTATTTTGCTTTCAGATTGTCATTCCAAGAGGTCCATACAAAGCCAAAGGACTACTCTTATCCTGTATTCGAGATAAAGACCCGTGCCTATTTTTTGAACCAAAAATTTTATACAGAACAGCAGAAGAGGAGGTACCTGTCAATGACTATACACTTCCATTGGGCAAAGCAGATATTGTAAAAGCAGGTAAATTACTTTCATCTCCAAAGTTTTTAAACGAGCAGGTTAAGTCTCTTTAATTTTAAGGACAGTCATATCTCGTTATAACTTTTTCAAAGGGGACTTAAAAGTAGAACGTTGTTTCTGGGAAACTGTAATTTTGAGAAACGTTATAACGAGATTCGACCATATTATCAGTCATACTTCTCCAACAAGGAGGTTCCTCATGTGCATCTCCTTCAACAGAATTTTGAGGAAGAAGCATGATGTAAAAACAACATATCTTGCCCCTTTTCCCTCCCCCTAGATTTCCCTCAAACTTGGTTTACTGATTGCTCATAATTTAGCCCTTCTTTTCCCAACTTTTCAGACTATTCAAAAATTTTGGTGGAGAGGGAGCGCAAGGGAGGGGGATCAAATTTAAAAGTTCATGCCTCAATACCTCCAAGACAAAGAGATGTTGAAATTTGTTTTCTCTAAAAATAGTTTAAAATTGCCTGCTTTAAGGTACTTAAAAGAGAAAACTCATAGGGCATGTAAATGAAACAGTATTAGTTAGGAAAAAGATTTTATCGTGGGAATTAACATACAACGGGTATGTTATTGGTAAAATGTACTTACAGCCTAACTTTTTTAATCTTATGGGGATTACCTAACCCCTACTCGTTCCATTGACCATATCAATTCTCATGTTGCAGGATCTGATATAACTCTTGTTGGCTGGGGAACTCAGGTGCATGTGCTACTAGAGGTGGCAAAACTAGCTGAAGAGCAGTTTAATGTCAGTTGTGAAGTGATCGACATTGTCTCTATTTTGCCCTGGGATAAAAATACTGTATGTGAGGTGAGATTTTGTTTTTGTTTTTTGAAGCCAATACTGTAAAATACCGCCCACTTCCATATTAGAAATCTGTTTGAAACAGATACCAAGTTACGACTTTGCCCTATGAAAGCACTGTGCTTTTAGGTACCATGCCTCAAGCACCATGTCCAATGCCGGTTTTGCCCTTTATCTAGATTTTTAACATTATCAGGAGAGTAACTTTTTTATTTTCAAGAAATATGTCAGGGAGGCACTAATATTTGACACTAATGATTTAAAGAAAGGCTAGTGATTATTGTATTCATACCAATTTAAAGGAATCAAGTGTATGGTAAATAATTTTGCAAACGGACCGTAACCAGCACCATAACTTTGAAACAAATACAGCTAGCTGGCTAGATGTAAATACGACGATATTAAACAACACAAGCCCCTTTGATGAGCTGGCACAAATCAAACTGTTACCATGAATCCTAATTCAATGTTTTACTTTAAAAATTGTCATTCAATTTTTGTTTGTTTTTAAATGCAAAATAAATCAGCGTTATCTCGAGAAAGTTAGCTTAATTTTCCTTCACTGTTCAAACAGCGTTCTGTGACTTTTCGTGAACGAAACTGATTCTTTTTTGTTTAAAACAGTGAAAAAAAGAACAACAGTGTCGGAATTTTGCAATAAAAACATGTATTTTTAGGAAGAAGCAATTTATGTTTCATCTACCTTTTTATGCTCTCTTTTCAGTCAGTCAAGAAAACAGGCAGGGTTATGATCGCTCATGAAGCCCCACTTACCAATGGTTTTGGAGCTGAAATTGCTGCTACAATCCAGGTGAATTCTTATATTTCTAGCTCTTTTTCCCTGACCTTTCTATTTAAATTCAGATAGTAAAAAAATAAAAATAAAAAAAACCTGCTTAAACTCTGAGGCGAAACTCAGAAAAGCTGTTTTCCATATTTTAGTGCACAACGGTCTCCAGCATTTAATGCAACTTGAGACAATGTACCTTTAAGTACCCAGTATCTTCCAAAATTCAAGTGATCTTATTTATGAATCCCGCAGAAAACAAAGCATGCCAAAAAAAAAAAAATCAGTGGTGTGTAACGAGGAATTTTTAGATTTCTTTTTGTTCAGAATTTCTTAAGCAGTGTTCATTTTCTCATCAATCCATTTCTCACAATTGCAGGAAGAATGCTTCCTGTACCTGGAATCACCTGTGAAACGTGTGACAGGATTTGACACACCATTTCCTCTCATTTTTGAGCCATTTTACATACCATCCAAGTGGCGATGTTTACAAGCAGTCAAGGAAACAGTACATTATTAAAGAGGCAGCCCCTCAGTAAATATGCTGAATCAGAGTTACACCCAGAGTTCACAAAACAGTTGAGTCAATCGTCATCATGGATAGGAAAAAATAAGACTGATGACCAACTTAATTCGGTCAAAAAAAAAACAAAAAAACAGTAGCTCGCTATTGGAACATCAATGCGTTCAAGACTCTGGATTGCACTTCTCAAATTCAAGATGCAATTCTGTTCATCGATATCAGTAACGTCAGTCTCAAAGAAAGATTTTCGAAATGTTTTTACTTAATTTGGGAAGATCCGATTGGACGCACTTTTGTAGAAGTCTAATTACACACGGTTTCCTTTCTGCAACTAGATTTCATTTTGCATGAAGGAGCCTGATGGTAAGTCATAGCTTGATTTTCAATAAGATATCTGGAAAGTGAGCACAAGCAAGGACCCAGCACCAGAGACACCAAGTACCAGTCGATGGCTAACGAACAAAACCGCCTATCTGCAAACTGACGATTTTCCAGAGTGGAGAAAAAACTTCGCAATTTTTGTAATTTTAAGGTTCTAGATTTGCAATTTTTTTATACATTACAGCAACATTGAAGCGTTATCTTACAGAATTGGAAAAGACTGAAATCATCAGCTTATACTGTACAATGCAGCTAAGTTGCCAACTCTTTTTTTCCAAAATTGTCAGTTACGTGGTGTTGTTCGTTAGCCCCGGCAGTGGTTGATGGCTGTGATCCTCCACTCCGTTCTAAAGGGCATGAGTCAAGCAAAATGCAGAGTGTAACACATATTTTTGTGTCAAGATCATCACTATTGTAACCTGATAACAATGAAATTGGACCTAATTATACACTTGTGATCACCAAGAATAACATAAAACTTTTTGTAGTAATTTATCCTGTACTCAATAAATCTATCTTCCTATAGACATCAATGTTATCTGTTTATTCATGTAAGAATTGACATTACATACCTCGAAAATAATTTATTGAATTTTTTACTGAATTGGATGATTGTGATTAGACAAAACAGGAAAAGATTAGTGTGATTGATAGGTTTGGTCCAAAAGTCTAGTGATTGGGTGGCTTTTACGAAATGTCTGCTTATTTTTTTACTGATTTTCGAGGTCACCATAAGTGTTCTTTATGGAGCACTTAAAACACAACAAAAGGAGTGCATCGATGGCTGAAGTGCGAAACCACGTATCTTCATTGCAGAGTTTCAAAATTTCTGCTCCTATTTTATTTTTTTGAAGAGACAAGTCAAGTATATAACTTGAGTGTTCTACGTTACATTCTCCTCATAGATAAGAAAAATTAAGGAAGTTTTAAAGAAATTAACTTTACCTAGTTTTCCGATGAGAAAATAATGTCTGACAGGAAGTCTGTAACATCGCAAACAGATACCTACGTAGTTTCACACTTTGACCATTGACCTGCTTTTAAATGTAAGCTGTCAAAATCTATCTTTTACTTAGCATGTGCCCCAGAATAAAGGTTGGTAATATTTCTCGTATTTGACTGATAAACAGGAAGAAAAAGAAAATTTGAGAAAGCTACTTAGGTGAAATAGCTACTTTATTTTTGTAAAGAACAGACAACATCAAAGTAAAGGTTCCAGCACAGATTATTCCATGCAAAAGCTTAGTACATTTATCATTTCTGAAGAACATTTGAAATTTTTACATATGTGATGATGATTAATGAACACATACGTCTATAATCATATAAAAAAATATTTCTGCCGAAAAATGTTAATTTCTGTGGGTTTGCAATTAGATTAACAAAACTGTAAGACTTAGAAAAGATAATATTTCATTTTGTAAGTCACATTCAGTTCATCTATTGAAGAAAAAGAAGAAGAAAAAATTGAAACGAAACATAATTACCTGACAAAAATAGTTATTTTGTCATGTTTAAGGTTCTTAAGGCTAATTTGGTAATCTATTTTTACAGATAAGAATGATGTTGATTGAAAACTTTTAAAGGGGAATACAACAAAATAGGAAAGGAAATGTACTGAGCTAATGTACAAATGATTTCATACTTTACTTGGAAGTGTGAGACTCAACAGTTAACATTTATTAAAAGTAAAAGGTCACTTGTGAGAAATGTTAAGACTAATGAGGGAAGGATCGGAAGGAGGTACATTTGATTTTGATGCTGTTTACCGCATAGCACCACCATGGAAGAATATGTGGAGGGCTGGAAATCATTCTTCATACAGCTGCAGATAGTCATCATGGGGCATTTACAGAAAACTTTTTGGAGGACCCATTGGTACAAGCTGAAAGATACTCATCAATCAGCTGTCTCTGAACTATTTATTATTGCAAAATTCATCAAAATCAGAAGTGGACCTCTCTGAGCTTTCCGTGTGTGTAAAAAACCAGCACTAGACTGAAGATTCACTAACACAAATTTTGAACATAAAGAAATTTAAATGAGAAAACAAAATACTTAAAACTAAAATTTTAAAATTATTTCTGGAATTGGCAGCTCAATTTTTCCCTGTTGTTTTACAAGGAAGCTTTCATCGTAATGCAAAGAGGACAACTCTCAGGCTCAACATAAAAAATTGTGCCGAGTCATCCTTTAATTGGTACCTACAATATAGGTCAAATTGTTCAAACTCCCCTAGACTAGTTACCAGACATTAATTTTTCACTTCTGTTTATGATATAGCTTAAGTGTAAGATTGAAGTTTGGAAGCTGGCTTAAGGATAAACAGTGGACAAAGCAGTGGAAAAACCATGACTTAGCCCGGAGAGATGCAGGGTTTTACCTGAGGGTTTCATGTGATGTTGCTCCGAGATGCGAATCATACTACGCAAAAGAAGTCTACCTGCAGGAAAGGTAAACTCCTGAACTGCCTCCCGCTTCCGATGGAGCCTTGGAGGGGTTTTGCGAGTGCTACACGTTCTTGAGCTCCGTGTCGCTCCTATCGTTACCTTTTGATTTAATATGCGTCTTTATCTGACGTAAGACAGTAGTGTGACAGTAGTTAACTATTTCACATAGGTCTTTCTTCAAAACTCTCAATGCAGGAAGACTTCTTTCGTTCAAATGCGTCCAAATGGTGTGTAAATGATGTATCAATGGTGAAACTAGAAAAACATGCGTTTTGGTGTGCAGCATTGCACACTTCTTCCTCCATTTATTTTGATGAAGAAAATTCGAGCGCCTTCACATTATGAAAATTTGCGAGATTTTTCCATAACTTTACAAAAAGAACTTGGCTTAAAATCCAAAGGAATTCACCTCCAGTTAACATTTTTTTTTTTTTTTTCATAAGATGTTCTCCGCAAACTATCGTGAGAAGTAAACTTAAAAGTTAACTTTACAATACAAGTTTGAGAAAATTAGGACTAAAAAGTGAATTTTTAAGCACTTCTACACACATTTTCAGGTAGAAATGTTGCAAAACTGGCTTAATGACCAAGGAGGGCTCACATTCCCACGCTGGTCAACCATATGATACAAATGCCTCCTCTTACTCTTGTGGTTTTTTAACTGCCAAGAACCTGAAAGTTCTCCTGAATGATGAAACCAGGTGACTCAGCATTGTGTCAATTTCCAAATTAACGTACAATTGCAAAACCTCACCACATCGGGGTCATATCCACACAATTAAATGCATAATGAAAAATCTGAAAAATTCACCCTTTACTCCTGGTTTTTTCAAGTCAGCACATAGAAAGATCAATTTATGAAGTTCATCTTGCTTCGGAGATCGTAGAGAATACCATGAAAAATATTGACAGAATTTAGCCGGCACCAAATCTTTTGCAGTTACGAGCAAATTCTTTTACTGGAAAAATACATGGCTGTTTGATTCTAAAAAAAAATGTATTAAAAGCAATTTTTGAGACAATGCGGTCAAGAATTATGTTTTTCTACTCCCAATATCAATGTACATTAAGGCCATTAGTATGTATTACGTAACTCAAGGGAAGTACAACACATGACTGATTTCTGTGATGTTGAATCATTAAATACGTAACCGCTGTCCTCCTTGGCCATACTCTAGATCTCAAAAATGAAAAACTTTCAAGACAGAGACTTTATAATATATTTATTTAAGCAAGCTTATAGTGCAAACTTTGCTTGTAAAATATTAAAAATAAATTTTACAGTAAAGTTGACGCCAAATAAGTTTATACACTTCTGAACTGTGGCAGAGGATTGTCTGAAGTCATTTTTACATGTAAAATAGATGCAAGAATCAAGACGGCGGATCTTGTGTCCCAGTCTAAACGTGCATAAACTTTTTTGGCATGAACTCAAGTGATGGCGATGATAATAATTTTAGAAGGTAAGCATATAAAGTTTCAGCAGGGATTCTGTTCCTAACAACTTTGCAAATAAAAAATAAAGCAGATTTTTTCAGAGAGTCGACAGAGAATGGCAACATAAGTATTGTAATCTAAACTGCGCTACCTTGCTCCCAGGCTAGGCTGCTGACAAAAGATAAATTTCAAGTTGACTTAGCAGTATTTTTGCCCCCCCCCCCCACAAATAGGGGAAAAATGGAAGATTGAAAAGAGGAATTATAGCCCATTTCAGATCATAGAGGAAAAAAAGAAGGTGTTTGCATCTTGAGGACTGTGTGCCCTGTGACGTAGGTCGGTACAACCTGGTCAGCGAAATCCAGAATTCAAAGTGTGGAAAACGGACTATAACGTCCGATTTTTTTGCTTAAATCAACTTATGATAAAATTTTAAACACTTCATGTGGAGTGCATTTTATTCATAAACTACACCATTACCAAGAAAATCGATGATAAAAGTCGCCGTACCGACCTACGTCATCAAAAGAATTCTAAGATGACGGAAATGTTAACACCTCCTTTGTTTTTTCTCTATGATTCCAGATTACTTTCCCTCTTTTGCTGTATGCGCAGGATAAGGATATATATATATATATATCTGAAATGGGCTCTACAAATTTCATTTTTCAAATTTTTCATGGTGGAATGGTGTCAAACTTCTTATGTGCATAGATCCTGCAACATAAAGAACATTTTGGAGCTACCCTGCAGGAAATTTGTAAATTCATCCATCGAATTTTTTACTCTCTTCTTTTAGTATACCTCTGGAACATACCCCTATAAAATATCACATTTGTGCAAGTCTGAAAAGCTAAAAAATTCTGCCAGAAGCAATGGATATTTTTGAGTCCTTCATTTGCTGTAGTTGCATTGAGTAGGTACACTTACCCTAAATTGTGAAAAAATAAAAAGAAACTGACAGGTATAAAAGTAGAAGTAAAACTGAACTAATAAACTAATACAAATAAACATTGCAAAGATTATAACAAATTCTTAATTCTAGTTGAAAACATAAGTAATAAAATGTGCAACAATGTAATTCGGTGTAAAAGTATACTGAGGTCTATTCTGGCTTTAGGTTAGGATCCCAATCAGCAATGACAATGAAAAATTATATGAACGGTTAAGATTGCACACAAATTCCTTCATTTTTAGTTAAATTGAGGCAACACTTAGAAAAAAAAATTCTTCAACTTTCAACAATGATTCTAAAATGATATTAACCAACTGCTCAATCAACTAACATGAATCAAGCCACAATTATAGAACTATTATCATTGAAATGAATATGGTACATAGAGCATTTTGCAATAAGACCAAAAATCTTTGCTTGTGCTTTTATTCGACTGACCATTTGCTTCAACACAACATTTTAGAGGTCACCAATGACCAATCCAATCCGCTACCATGCTGCCAAAAAAGGTAATTAATAAACTGAAATGGGCAGAATTCAATCAGAATTCTTGCCGGGGAACATAAATTTCCTTGAGGAGAAAGATTAACAAAATTTCCATAGCAAAAGTTAAAGATTAGATTTATTACCTTAAAAGGCACTTGCTATAGCCAGTGGCTTGTAGAGAATGAACTTATTGTGAGAGGTTGACTTTAAACTTAAAAAAACTTAAAAAATACCTAAGAATGCAATGCCCGAGGAGAAATTATACAAAGAAAACACCCCATTTTTCAATTTAAAAAAAAAAGAACATTAGTAAAATAAATGATAATGAGCAACACAAGTTGCTGCTCAAAAATTCTTCAACATCTTACATTACCATATGTGAGGGGACCTGGATACATTGATTTTTTAACAACTGATTGGGATCCTCAGTTTGACTTGAAAATTTTCGTAATAGTCATGATTTAAACAATTTCACACCGGCATGAGGCTACATTCAGAAAAAATCTTTCCATAGACATTCAAAGTTACGGTTTAGCAAATAAGAGATTGGTACTAGACTAGTTGAAGGTTATGCATACCTAAGAATGCAATGCCTGGGGGTAAATTATACGATGAAAAAACCTCATTTTTCAATTAAAAAGAAAAACAACAATAAAATAAACGATAATGAGCAACATAAAATATTTTGTACCATAAACAAATATAAAAGAAAGAGGGAAAAAGGAGAGAATGGTACAGGACAAGAAATGCCTTACAGCATATTAGAATGGATGAGAAGAGTAAGAGGGAACAAGGCATCTTGTGAGGCTGTCACAAGCACATGCCGATTTAGATTACTGAAGACAGAGAAAGTTCAGGGTTGTGATGAGAATATGAAGGAGTAAAATTTCAGTCCTTGTTGACTCATTCACTGATTAGATGCCAAAGTACAAGGGTCAGTATGGAAATCTTACTATGTAATAAACTTCAATATAATTTTCAGGGAAATGAGGAAAAGAAAAATTCCACTGAAATTTATTTTTTAAAGTTACACGAACTTTTAGGTGATTTTCAGAAGAAAATTAAGGGGCTTGAAGGCAGCAGTTGGATACAGAAAAATTCAATTCATTTGAATTTAACAGAGGACATTTTTGGAATTGAATCAACACTGAGCGGAACACAAACTTACATAACATTCCAAAGCCAATGAAATATGTGAAGTGATTACTTAATATGAGATCTGGCCATTTACATCATCAAAGAAGAGGGGAAGGTTTACATACCCTGTCGAAAACCTGACTGAATAAAGAGACCTATCTAAACCAAGATGATCCAAGATTTGGTGAAGTCACAAAAGTCAAACTCTTAGAGAGGTTTTAAGAGCAAATCACATAAGAGCATCATCTTGAAATTTAGAATTGAGGACGAATGAATCACTCTTAACACAAACACACTTGTTAACTTGAATCAGCTCACTTGCAGACTGAAAGCAAAACATAGTTTTTGATGCAGTGAAATTAGCATGCCTAAGTGATGAGTTTATAACTTTTCATGGTTAATTTACGTCTGCATAAATATTTAATGAAAATACATTAAAATCTGTTTGAAGTGGACTCTTTCTGTTAATGAAGAAAAAACTGCTATCTTCTAAAACTAAGGGTTGAATATGTTGTGGCCACAAGAGTGAGTTGAACTTACAAATGTGAGTACTTCAGCTTCATTGCTCTTTTTGTTCGTAAAGGACTAAAAGTTAAAGACCAAAACATTCAGAAGTTTCAGGGGGTGGGAAATTGATATTACAACATTAATAAGGGTAAAAACTTGTGCGCAAAAAAATTTAAAAGTGTAAAGAGAACTGGTAAGTAAATGCATACTGCTTTTGTTTTGATATAAAAACTAATCTCAATTTTGGAACGAAATTTTCACCAACTGAGCCTCCTGCAGTTTGATTGCCTACTGAGCTATAGGGAGAGATTATTTGTTTTCCATGCAATTACTGGGCAAAGAGGAGATAGAAATACAATTTGTGCTTTGAGACACAACTCCATCTCCAATGTTGTGTTTTGGGGAGGAAATAGGAGTTTTTACACTACAGTTTGAGTTTTTGCCTCCAGCATGAATGTTCAGTGTGTCTAGTGGTTGACGCTGCCGAGATGTCTGACACCCTTTATCTTCAATTCCGATGCCATAACTTTTAAAATACTGATCACAGTTTACGTTAGAAAAGGAGCTAACATCTTGTTGATAGTTTCCTGAAATTATCAGGTCATGCGATGAATTGTCTTCTACACTCTTAGAGAACCACGGTGTCTGACATCCTTTGTCTCCAATTATTTTGCCGGATCGTTCAAAATACTGATCCTCATTTGGATTGAGAAAAGAGTCAACATTTGATAGAGGCTTTTCGACAGTTGTCAGGTTACAAGTTGGACTGTCTTTTGAGTCCTGAAACAGCTTTCTTACTAATTTTGGAGTCCTACCTTGTTGCCCTTCGTCTTTGGATGGATGTTTCAAATAATAGTGTATGTTGAGAGTTAATTCATTGCTGAGTTCTTCTTCACAGATTTGACATTTTACATTGTCTCGCCACTCTTTGTTACTGACAGGAAAATGCTGAAGAATATGATAACGGGAATTCAGTAAATTTACGAGAACTACCTTACAAACAGTACATTTTAGTTTCCCTTTCGGACCGGAGGTGAGTATTTTCCGGGCGAGGCACACATGGCGTTCAGAGTTTAACTGACTTAGACATAATTTACAACGATTGACACATTCATGTACAATAAAATTAAAACTATCACTAAAATTTAATTTACACTTGGAGCATGAGAGGATGAGACACTTTTTCATGTGATCATGGAGTTCTTCTGAGGACAGAAAAGTGTCATTACAATCGATACATTTCAAAGTATCCGTCTGTTTTTCAATGTTGATGTCTCGAGGAGCGAGTCCGAATATTTTCACAAACTCTGCTTGTTCTGCGTCAATATTTTTGATTTCTGCATCTTGGCAATTTGAGTTGACGTTCGATTCAGCATGATGTAAGAGATGAAGGAGCAGTTGTTCTGATCCAATACTCGTGTGTTTTGAGCATACACTACATTTTACACTCTCTCCTATTGTATTAGCCTTAAGGTCATTGAGAGTAGCTTTGTGTAAAGAGCACTCAAACATCTTATGAATGTAAAAATTATGGCTGTTATTAAATTTTAAATTGCAACACTTAATCCAACGTCCTTTTTCAGGGTTTTGCTCACATTCGTTTGCGTGACGCAGCATTTGCCAAAATTTATGCGTTGAATATTCACAATGGTGGCATTTTAGGGATATATGTAATTGTACATGATTCAAAAGATCTTTAAGCGCAGAAAACTTTTTTTTGCAACTTTCATCTATGCACCGATACAAGGTTTCTACTGAATCAGGCTTCGATGGACAGTGAACATTGACGTACTTGTGACAAATCACCATGTGTTTCCACAGCTCTTCTGCATCAGTAAAAACATCTCGGCAGTACTTACAAAGGGTATTTACATAATTTTCACTCGTTTCCATGTTCAGACCATGAGAAATTGGTTGCGATTTAGAAAAGTCTATTTTTCCTAGAGGCAAATCAATTCTACTGGTCATTCGTTTACTTCGGAAGTCTCGACAATTTGGATTATCCGGTATAGTTGAAAATGCACCATTCAGCTCATATGCAGTTTGCGGGTCGTCTGAAAAAAGTTCAAGGTCGCCACTGTCTGATTCTTCAGATGAACTCAAGGGGTCTTCATCCGGTTTTATGATTTCTATCGATGCAGGAGGTTTCCTGCAATTTCTCTTGTGCTTTCTCAATGCCACTTTTGGATAAAAATACCTATGACAGTTACTGCAGGAATGACGGTTTCTTGGCAAACGGATGATATCTACTTTCACATGACACAAATTATGTCTGAGTAGATCATCTTCTCTGTACATTCGTTTTAAGCAGTATTTACAGTTTATTATTTTCTTCTCATGACATATTTTTGAGTGTTCCTTTTTGTCACATTTTGAGTTAAACCCTTTTTTACAGTATTTGCAGCTAAAAAGATTGTTTGACTTACTAACGGAACTCGGGACAGCAGTGGCTTCAGAGTGCGAATGTCTCAGTCTTCTGAAAAAGGAATGGAAAAAAAAAAAATCAATAAAATGAAAGTGCCTCAAACCAGTCAAGATATGTTGGCTACAATGCTTTAAAGTTGGAACTCTGCCCCAATAATTTTGTATAATTATGCTATTGAAATTTTCAAAACGTTTCTTGGCAATAGTTTTTTTTCACAAGCCTGACATTTTCACCTAGCCTGGTAAGAGCAGGGGCACCGACCTCATCTACAACTCTGCTGTGCAACCCAAAAATGCTGTAAACGCCATTTTAATTTTTTTTTGAAAAATGTATCATAGCAGAAATACTTGTGTACCTTGGGACAATGTTCAACAGAATTCTTTTGCAAATAATATCAAGAACTTAACCTGAAAATTTGAGGTGCGTGGGTAAAATAGTTTTTATTTTATGTTAAGTTCCAAAAAACGCGGGAAAATCTTGATGGATTCACGGCGTTCTTGCTTAGCACAGCCGAACTCTATAACCTCTTTTGCTATTACAGGGTGACCAGTATGCTTGTATTCCAAATTTCTCTGATGTTAACATGAATTTTCCGGATTTTGAAGCACAGCATTCCCTAAAGGACCCCGCACACCTCTTATGGGAAGCTGCACCACGAAGAATTGCCTTCTGACTTATGTATTTCAATTCTCCTCAAGATGCTGATCAAAAGTTATAATTGCGCCAACTTTCTACGATGCACCGTTTTCGCAAAAAACCTATGAGAAGATTCAATTATTCGGCGACTATGAATAAAAAAGAACAAAGTATTTGAGAACAGGCCCGATGTGAATAAGGAAAAAATGTAGCATGTGTCCGTCTTCTTATCTGTACCTGCCGACTCAGGGGCTATCTCCCTCCCGCACTCGCCCGGTAGACGTTCAGACTTTCCTGTTCTTATGCTCCTCAAGAATCTGATTTGGATGGTGGTCAAGCAAAACGGCGTGCGGAATCCGAGATAAGACTGCCGCTCGGTGCGGGAGTCCCCATGATTTCCTTGTTGACACACAGCCACTTGTCAATCGAGCACTGAAATGAGGAATCTTTCTGGCTTTTTATCACCGAATAATTGAATCTTCTCATGGGTTATTTGCGAAAACGGTGCATCATAGAAAGTTGGCGCAATTATAACTTTTGATCAGCATCTTGAGGAGAATCAAAATACATAAGTCAGAAGCCAATTCTTAGTGGTGCAGCTTCCCATAAGAGGTATGCAGGGTCCTTTACCATGACTTTTCGATGTTTAATTTTTTCTCCACAGTTTTATGAACAGCGAAGTCTTGTAGAATTAAAAAAAAAAAAACAAAACTTGAGACTTAAGAGGCAAAGGTCCTGATTTTTGTTGATGTTTGCAAATGTGATAAAAAATTACGAAGTGATAAATTGTTGGTACGGTGCTGATGTCGAAACCAATAATTGCCGGTAAGGTGCTGATGTTGAAACTGATATTTGTTGGTATGGTGCTGATGTCTAAATCCTTATTCCTCAGTATTTGAGAAAAAAATGTTTGTTTGTAAAAAACTTTTCTCGCGTTTAGAAATTATTATATCTGTGATAAGTTCTTGATCAGAACGAAAAAGTAAATGCCATTTATGGTGACCTAGTGTGCTTGTTTTTGAAAGGACTCAAACTAAGTAGGTTTACACTGATGGCTTGATGGCAGAATTGTTTTATCAGTATGCACATTCGAAACCAGTGTTGTGTTTTTTGCTGTGGGATCAGGAAATGGAAATTTTCATTCTGAAATATATTAGTAGCGGTAAATGTGTACAAAATTACTTGGCACTGCGGGTATGGCTCAATATAAGATGTATCTTAATAAAAGAGAGAAAAAAAAGAGAAAATATATATTATTTAATTTTATTAGGACTTACTTGGCAGGAGGATCTAAGTCTTCTTCTTTAACTTTATAATCCTCGGCATGGTTGGATGACTGAGTTTCAAGTTTTCGCTTTTTGGTACCAGTTTTGAGCCTGCCATTAATAAGTGGCGATACAGGTCTGGCCCTGCCTCTTCTTGTACTGTTGGTTGAGACTTCTGAATAAACAGAATTTAATGATTCAATGGAGCCAAGACTATCTGCATCAAAGTCATTTGAAATACTGGACCTTCTGGATCTACTTCCTGCACTTAGTCTTCGGGAGCTACAAAAAATAATTTATTTTTTTTAGCACATCATATGTGACATATCATTAGATACAAATACATATTAATTGCAGTCTTTTAAGAGGTATCAGCCCATCGATTTTTTAAAGTAGTTTTTTCTACTATGCAAGCAAGAGACTTGCTTGTGGAGGAATCAGTGTGAATTAAAGAGGTTGTTACAGCAACCAAATGAACTCACCATATTATACTGTATTGAATTTTAAGGCAGAGACAAAAATACTGTCTTGAAAAAAAAAAAGAGACTATCATGCTATATCTTAGGCCTTGTCTCAATGACGCAACTATTGTGGGAATTTGGTGCAACTGTTGACGGAAGGAAGTGTTCCAAAAATGTTTCACTTACAAGTGGAACTTTCAAGGTCAGAAGCCTCTAATGTCAAACAGTTGTTTACCTTCATGTTCTGGATCCATAAACGCTGGCTACACGTGAGACTTGAGTTTTCAGGTGTTTTATTTCTGAGCGTTTGTTACTTGGAAATATTTAATCAATTTTATATTTTACTTCATAGCATATCACTGCAGCAGGGCAGGACAATAAAATTTTATCTAATATTTCTTTTAACTCGTATCAGTGTCATGTTACTGTTTTTTGTCATAATAACTGGTCGAAATTACGCACACTATCCATTTCCAGTTGATAAATATCAGTTCAATTACCCCAGTAGACATCGTTTAATCTAAAAAAAAATGACAATTAAATATTCCCGCCTAAAAGTTCCAGGAACACATGTGCATGCGTCGAGTCAGGGAACTTTCGTTGGTGCAACAAATGCGCAACAGATGCACCAAATCCCCTCAACAGTTGCGCCGTCCAGACAAGGCCTTAGGAAGTTGACAAGAACAAATAAAAAGTAAAAGGGGACAGACAGAATCAAAGTAACAAATACTTTGAGGGGATGCCTTGGAAGAATATGAACTGTTGGGTGCAATCTCAGAACTTTGTTCCTCATACTTATAAAGTCAAACCCTGCTGATTCGAATTGCAAGGGGAACAAATACAAATACATATTCGAGTAAAAGGGGTTTTGAATTGCGAAGGCCGAAAATTTGCGATATTGAATTGCAGAGGTTTTCCTTGGCAAATTCTTTAGAAATATCACTTTTTGATTTATTACCGCAGAAGTTGACAGCTTGAATTATTACACGTTTTTGCATGGTATTCAACAGATTATAATTAATCTCTCTTTTAATTTTCACGCACCACTCACTCGAAAAAAAGTGTCAAATTGAATCTGACTGCTCAGGAATTAAGATTTTGAATTACAGAGACTCACTTTGCTCTATTTCGAATTACAGAGGTCTGGTTTTCAATCATTTTGAATTATGGGGTAAAATTAAATTAAATAAAAATTAAATTAGTATTTAAAAAAATTAAATTAGTATTTAAAAAAAATTAAATTAGTATTTAAAAAAAAATTAAATTAGTGTAAAAATTAAATTAGGGGTAAAATATGTTCTAAAAGGTTTTTCGAATTAAGTTCATATTTATTTCAAGTTAATGAGGTTTTTGGCTTTCTGTGGGACAGGCCGGTGCTTTTTTTTTTTTTTTTAATTACTAAGGTTTTCAAATTATGGGGGTTTGACTTAGCAGGACTTGACTGTACACTATGGATGACATAAATATTGAAGGCGAGACTCTCCATCATAACCGATAGAGAGGGCAATTCAGTGAGTATTGAGAGCCGAAAATGGCTTCAAGAATACTGGTCTGACAAGTAGTGATATAAAACTAACCAAGTATTGGTTACTCATAGATGGAAACTGGTGACGGGTTCCTGTCAGAGTAAGATTATTGAGTTAACTTACCTATTACTGGGGCTAAGGGAACGGATGGATCTATTATCTGGACTCTCTGCTCTTGAGACGGACTCAGTACTCTTGTCCTTTTTCAGCAACGGCCTTAGGCTTCTCAGTTCAGATTGTTTTGTAGAGATGCTTTTGCTCTCACTAGCAATCTCTGTTTTTCGAGTGCTGCGTAGAGATTTTACTTTGGTGTCTTGTTCAACACCCTGACTTTTCCTCTCACAAGGCATTTTCTTGTTGTTTACTTGACCCTTGTCACCGGTTCCTCTTCCTGTATTTTGAGATTTTGAAGTGCTGCCGCTACAGGAAGAAGATGTGTCATCTGAAATTTCACTGGAAAAGGACCTTCTCCAGCTTTTCGTTGTTGAATCTGGTTGGGAACAGTTGAGCAATTCACTAGTACTATTTGACTGGGTTTGAGCATGGCCTTTAATTAAAAAGGATCTGGAACATATTTAAAAATCATTTCAAGGTTTGGCACAAAGACAAGGTGTTATATCAACACTGTTAATGTCTGCAGAATGGAAGTAAAGAGAGAATCGTTTTTGCATTAATAGCGAAACTGTCAATTTGCAATGAAGGTATTGGAAAATCTCATACCAGGGCAGACAAACGTATTCCTCTATCAAAAGTGAATAGTGTCGAAAGACTAATTTCACTATGCAAATTTCAACCTATCTTTTAGCAAAAGGAATCATCATAACTTACCTACTTGGGAAAATCAAGTAGATTGCATACTGCCGTGCGAAGCAAAAATTTTGTAAATCCATCAAGATTTTCCCTTATTTTTTGGAACTTAGGAACCACTTTATAAAATAAAAACTGTTTTACTCATGCACTTCAAATTTTCAGGTTAAGTTCTTGATAGTATTTGCGAGAGAATTCTGTAAAAACGTTGCCCCAAAATCGAAAGTTTTTCTGCTATGATACATTGTTCTAAAAAAATGTAAAATGGCGTTTACGGCTTCTTTGCATTGCACGGCAGTATAGGAGTCAAGCTGTATAGAGGCTCCAAATGTATGAAGAAAAATTGCAGCAATATCTCAATCATGGTAAGAACAAGATATTTAATTCTTTTGTTAGAAAAAATTTGCATGTCTCTGCAGCCATGAAAAAACTTGAAGCACTTCAAAGAAAATTAGTCCAGCCATATGGGACCATTTTATTTTATGGTAGAATCTTTTCCCAGTGCTTTTATCTAAAATTCTAACTAACCAGGAAATTGCATAATATAAGTCAGCTAATCATGCAGTGGAGTACTTGGATACAAAATTTATCACACTGAAAAGCAGCAAAGAGATGAAAGCGGAGAGATCTAGAGTTGATGAGAACCAGAATGATTGATGTTTGCAAGGTTCATAGTGCTATTTTTAATTTTGGCTCACCTGGAATTAATTTGTGAACGAACTTGTTCTTTACTGTCTTCTTCTTCTGAACATATATCTATAAGCTCCACATTTTCAATTTGCACTGAAAAATCAATGATAGATTCATAGCCTCGATAAATTGTGTCGACCTCTTCTAGAGATTTGCAAGAGAGTAACTGGAAAAAAGGACAGGAAATCAGTCACTAGTTTTGCCAATGTTTTCCAACGTAGGTAAATTAAATATTTCATGACTTTTTAAAGTCAAGACAAATCCGACATTAAGACTCAGTCAAAAGATACAGCCAGCATACATGATGCAATAGTTACAACAATCGAGATTGAGAGGTTGGTCTAGGCACCCAGGTTAGAGGAAAGTAAAGAAGGATAGGAATCAACATTTCTGTGCATTTTTCTTTCATTCACACATGATTTTGCTGTATCAGACATTAACGGAGGAACATAATTATGATGGATGGATTCATTAAAAAAAAGCACAAGATGAGATGCCAAAAATTCTGTAATATTAGCAAGGAACGAGAAGGCTGGTGGCGTTGAAATTTGAACATGGAAGAGCGCTGCCAAAGCGTTGTCTCCACGGGACGTTTTCATGGAATTTGTCCCAAGTTTGAATCGCAGGAATGAAACTCCTGGGATTTTTCCAAGTTACCGTTTCCACAGGATGGGACTCATACGGTCCTGCCAAAAGTTTGCACGGGAGGATAAGTTAGTAAAAATCAAGTATTTGACCGAGATTAAAATAATAATTGAACACAATTGACAATTAGATACATTATTTCAACGAAACAAACTTGAACAGAGGAGTGACCAACAAAATATCGTATAGTTTGCTTTCACTTCTTCTTTCTCTCTCAGTTGGTCCTAGGGGTACACGGACCATTCTTAGTACTGGGAAAAATATTGATTGACTCAATATTTTTCCTGACTTCGTAAGTGGGATTTTTCCCTGGAATAAATCCCTTGAAACGGCTCGTGGAGACAAAGCCTAAGATTGGTGAGAATTGTGAAAAAAAAAAAACAAAACAACAACTCACAGAGTGCAATGAAGTAGTTTTAGAAGCATTTTCTACAGATTTTAAGTACTGCTCAGAGCATTTGACACTTGGATCCTCTTTTAAAGCCCGTATTAGTTTTTCATTGTTATGAAAACACATTTGTTGGAATTTCCAAGTGTCTTGGAGATTGCTCAAGCATCGAAAGCATAAGTGCTTCGAAAAGGGATCCTTCCTGTACACCTGCAACAGATTAGAAGGGGTGTTAAAATGTTAGATGAAGTGTGAGATAAATAAGAAATTTTTTGGAATAATCTAATCTCTAAGATCTATGTTATTAATTGTGCATTCAATCACTAACATTGCCTATGCTTTGAGAAGCATCACTAGTATATACTTAAGCTTGTTGCAGTTGTATTTCAAGATCTAATAGAGTATTAATGACAAACATATGTCTCATTCTTTTTTGAGTGGCTTAACAAAAATTTCATGGGCCTAAAACACTTGACAAATTTTTTGTTCTATTAATGGGTGACTTTTTTGTATCTCAATTAAAAATTATGTTGATTTTTCAAGAAAGAACAAGTTTATATGGAAATAGAAACTATCAAGATTATACATCTGTTTATTGTTATTTTATTGCTTTGGTAAGCGGTGCCTGGCCAGTGACCGAAAGGAAAAATAATTTATCTACCAATTTAAAGGTGCCTTGCGTCAAAACAAAATAAGTTTATGAAATTACAGACTGTGACAGAGGATCCGCCATCTTGCTTCTTCCATTTACTTTACATATAAAAGTGACATCAGATGATCTTCTATCGCATTCTATAAGGGCGTAAATTTATTTGGTGTGGACACTGCCGACCTACTTGCAATTCCTTTCATGGGAAAAAAATTTCTGCTGATCTTGAAACACTCAGGTCAGTACATCACTTTCTGTTTAGCTTTGGTAAAATAAAAATAACAAATTTGCTACGGTGCTATACGGTCTAAGTAAGTCCCAACCTGTTAATAGGGTTAAGAAAAAATTCAGATATAATATTACCGAAGTGTTGTTTTCTATGAAACACAGGAGTTTCGTCTTTCTAGAAAACCTAACCTCATACATTCCCTTCACTGAACAAACCTCTTTTGGGTTCATAAGAATGTTTGAGTGGTTTCATCCAAGAGTTCATGTCAAATAAGTTTACGCACTCTTAGAATGCGACAAAAGATCCACCATCTTCCCTCTTCCACTTGCTTAACATGTAAAGGTGACATCAGACGATCTTCAGGTGCAGTGTCAAAATGCGTAAAATTATTTGGCGAGGACTGACAGAAATTGTTATGGAATGCTTACAGAGCTAAGAGTGATCGGAAGCAACTGCATTTAAGTATTACTCAGATGCTAAATTAATTATGCCCTTCTGAATAATAGATTTCCGACAACATGCAGCTCATGGAATCTGAGCAAACTGATTTGGGCATATCGGGACATTAACTGTCTTAGGAAAACAGTAATGAAAACCCTTCTGGCATTTAGAAATTAGATCTGAGAGCTTGATAATACTTCCTGCCGTAACTTACCGCCTGACAGAACATAACTGGCGTGCTACTTTGGAGTATTAAATTAGAAAAATGGGTGACGAGGAAAAGTGATACTACTTACAAATAAAGAGTAGCAGTACAGAATTTTGGGAGCTATTAATTTCTCCGCTTCATCGTGACTGAAGATAGGAAGCAGTTGATCCTTGGCAAGACACAAACGGCAACAATTCTCAAAGTTGCAGATCATTTTGACCACTCATAATTTTCCCCATCAAACTAAGAGCTGAGGATGGGTGAAGGACATCACAAGTTTGGTAGCAAGTTGGCGAGTGAGAGACAAATAGATGGAAGCATAAAATTTAAATATCAGAATGAGGGTGGGCATGATTAAGTGCACAATTCTTGAGAACGACCGAATTCACAGTTAGTATTTGGATTTACTTTCAGAAGGTCCATAACCACAAGAAATATCCGTTTAATCGTATAAATGAACACTGGCAAACGGCATGGAATGCAGTCACGAAACTTCAACTTCCAAGATTTCTAGATCCCTTGGCTTGGCATTCCACGAATAACTGAAAAAACACAGCACAGCGATAAAAAAGACGAGGGAAATGGAAATATTTAAAGAATGAAATGCCCGCCTACGCGCGTGCTAAAAGGGATGAAGATGAAAGGGGATTGATAACAATCAGAGAGTAATCAGACAGCATTTTTTTACATTACATCGTCACAGATTAGAAAGTTGACATTCGGTGGTGACGTCATGTCAAAAAGGGACAATGCTATTGGCGGAATAAGTGAATTTACTTTGTTTACATTCAGTTTTCTAACCTCTTCAAACTTCAAATGTAGATTAGAACAGAATCATTGGTCATTTGAATTTTGAAAACCAAGTGAATTCTTTTGAAGCGAAATCGTTTCTGACATAGTGTCTGTTTTTCCGTCATCTCTTTATCATATGGGGAAACCAAGGGTTTGTTGTTTTAACTTACCGTAGGTGAGTTGCTCTACAGTTAAAATTGTTTTTCTGAGCCGAACAAGTTGAGGTATCAATCTCTTTCATGGTTTTGACATACAAAATTGTGTCTCTTCCTTCCGCTGATTCACACCTTGTATTTTTCTTCATACATAGCTAGACTCTTTGGGAATCTGCCCCTAACAACTGGGCCACCATTTGTCCCGTGTCTTGGGCAAATCATGAGGCAGGCATCTGCTTGAGAAGGCCATACTTGTGCATTAGCTTTTTTCACCTGTATGCACTGTATGCCATCATATCTTACAATGGAAAAATATCATACCAAGTGAACTACGCCACTGTCATAGGGAGTCTTAAATAATCTGTAGAAGGCCAATCACTCCAGGAAGAATGAGATAAATTTATGCCGCCATCTCATTGATTCAACTTTTGATTTTCAGGAGTTGCTTTTACCAATTGGAGACAAGGAAGCTCTCTCAGACCTTGCCCAATTAGTCAGTCTACTGTTAAAGTGTGACATTATTTTAGAGTGTCATCTTCATTTTTTCTTCAAGTGAAAAACTAACATGAGGGATCTACTTACTATCGTATTGCATTGAAAATACGGCCACCGATAAGTATCAAATTAATTGAAATGTTTCTTCCAGGATGAGGTATCTAGCTGCGTACTGCTGTCTTGCAATGACATGTCATTAGTGGAGTCAGCTCCAGCCAGAGGGATGCAACAAGAATCTCGAGAGACTCCCACAAACTATGTGGACACCTGTGTCTATGAAAACTCATTCAAGGGTGAAATTTTGCTCTCTTTTGCTACCAGTTAGATGGCTGAAGGTGGGTCTGACATTAGTTTTAATCCTATTTTTCAAGGCTTTCATATATTGTCCTTCCTGTTCAGTAAGAAGTTTATGAAACTTCTAATTCCACATCTTTCAACTTAGTAATTAGGTAAGTGTATAGTTTCTCATGTTATCATGAGGTTCAGGAACCAAATTTGTTGAACATGCACTGGAGAAAGGAGAGAGTTCTAAAAGGGTCTCCTGCAGTGACGAATTGAAAGCTCTAGAGATCCGTACTAAAAAATTTAGTATAGACTTTACAAAGTCATAGAGCAAGTTTATGCTCCTTTCTTTATCTAACTGAAGTACCCAATTACTTAGCTTCATTGATGTAAATCACTTTTTTGGTTGTAAAAATAAGTGTTGGAAGGTAATATATAAATTGGGCAACATATTTAAAAAATTATAAAATCTTATGTTGGATGTAAACTTTATCATTAGTGAATGCTGTTTGGCTATTCTCATGGCGGCCATTGTCAGCGCCCAGCTAATCTTTGCCTTTGCATCAACACCTCATGGAGATTGTTGAATATTTTCAGCTAAGGTTATAGTCCAAGCTTTCATTTCTTTTTAATTTCATTGAAGTTAAATCAACCACTTGTGTTGCATTGCAATGTTATCTTCTGTTCATTTCAGGTCTTCAGTCGGCATGGCTAAATTCAGTGGCTACATACCTTTGAGTCTTGACAAAAAGGACAACTTATTGTTTTTATTTCGGATTGAGAAATTATGCATTGCAACCATACTATTACCATTGGCAAGCTTCCTGTTTTGTGTTCTATGGTCGTTAATGTACTTCTTTGAAGATGTTACTTTCACACACTGTCAGGTAATTATTGTATTACTACCATTGGGAACAGTACATAGTTATACTATCCTTTGAATATTCAGCTGTAGCATCAGATTCTGAAGGCTGACAGACCTTTAAATTTTGGGATGATGTTAGATTTTAACAACTGACAGATATAGATCACATAAATCATAAATTCTGCCCAATACAAGCGCATCCCACTTTTGTTCATATATTTAGTTTACTGCATACCAAATTAAAATGCACCCTAAAAGATATGAGAGCCAATTCCACTAACAACAGCTTGCATACCTGTATGTATAACCATGGGAAGATCAAGCTGGTCCATCCAAATGAGCAATTTATACAGGGTNGATGTTAGATTTTAACAACTGACAGATATAGATCACATAAATCATAAATTCTGCCCAATACAAGCGCATCCCACTTTTGTTCATATATTTAGTTTACTGCATACCAAATTAAAATGCACCCTAAAAGATATGAGAGCCAATTCCACTAACAACAGCTTGCATACCTGTATGTATAACCATGGGAAGATCAAGCTGGTCCATCCAAATGAGCAATTTATATGTGGACTGCATTTTGCAATTTGGACTTATAAATTCTAGCTCATCTGAAAAAACACTTATGTGCGTAGGGGAATTAATGGCACACACGTTGTTTTTAAACTGGGCTAGAATTTATGGTTCCAAATTGCAAAATGTAGTCCATATATTCTACTGACTAAAAGTAATAATAATAAAAAATAATAATGTTTATTAACATCTTAAAGCCATGTTATGCCCCCTGGCCATCTTATTACACTTTCTCGTAAACTTCTGTGAATTTGCAAATAAAATGAATAAATAAATAAGGAACACCATGCCGGGAATCAATTCTCCTCAACTATCTTCTGGATCTTTTGTGTCCAGAGCTGCTAACCTGTACCAACTAGGCATTTCTCTAACGGATGGAAATTAAAGTTACATTCAAGCAGGTGGTGTCGGCCATTTTAGGGCTGGATATACACTTTTATTGTACCCTTTGAACCTTTGCCATAATAGAAGCCTTTTTTTGGGGGGAAAAAAAAAAAAAAATTTGCTAACTCTGAGAAACAAAATTTTTTAGAAGACCAAGATGAACTACACAAAAGGCAGAAAAGTTAACACAGTGAAACAATTTTTAGTGTTTAAGGTCTACAATTAAGAGACTTTGTTGATGTAAAAGTTGCAGGATGTTTGCACTATTTTCCCACTGTAAAAATCTGGATTTCAAATTCTCAGAGTTTTTTTTTTTTTTTTTTTAATAGCCCTCAAGGGCTAATCCTATCTGCTTGCATCAGATCGAGCCGATCCCTAACCTATCAATCTAATTGTCTACTTTTCCCTAACTACTACCTACAGGCCAAACTCCTTCCACCTGTAGCATCTGGGTAGAAGTTCACCATCTCCCCAGTTATCTCTTGCACCTATTGCACCTAGAGTTGGCACCTATTTTGACCTGATTGCACCTTTAGGGGTTGGAATTTTGTTTAAAAGTAGAGAAAACAAAGCATTGGTAATAATGATGTTTACTGCTGTCAATGAAAACTTGACAAACCAACAAATTAAACAAAAAAGCTTGAAAAGAAATAAAATTAGTTGATTTTTTTGTCAAAAATCAACAACAAATTTTCAGTTTATTTTATTTTTTTAAGTGCTGGAATTTTATCTTGGGTAAAATGAAAAAAAATGAAGCATATTGACGGCGTAAGTCCGCAATCACATATCTTGTTTGCGGTGTCTGAAAATCTTTGCCTCCATGTTATTTTTTTGAAAGAGAACAAATTGACATCATTCCTTGACGTTTATGCAGACTTTACTTCGCACAGAGAAGAAAAATCACGGCAGTTTTAAAGAAGTGCTGCTGAGTAGTTTTCCGTTTTAAAAATGAAGTATGACAGGAAGTCTGTGACGTCACAAACCGAGTTATGTGATTGCTGACTTACACCATCGATATGTATTGGTGATGAGTTGGGACGTTCTTAAAATTCAACGGCTGATAGCCAGCGTTATTAGAGGCAATTACATTTGCAATTTTGAAATATCCTCTTGGGTATAAATGCGTCTAATCCCAAGGATTACCTCTCTGTCAAAACACAATTTCGAAAAAAATTTGATTCAGCCTCTTTTCCCATTAAACGCTTTAATTGTAGATCCAAAAATAATATATTTTTTTTAAATTTTTCTCTGTGCATTAAACTAAGTCAAGCTGATTCATAGGATGTGTTCTGTTTAGGTACCAAACTATCTGCCGTCCATCTCAGCAGCTATAGGCAACTACCCAACACAGCGGATAGTATGGAGCTCTGCCATTGCTTTACATATTGGTCCAAGGTTCATAGTGCTGTGGGCGTATTACCACTATTATCAAGAAGTACTTAAGAAAAATAAGCAATATTTGGCCTTAATCACATGCTTACTCAATGCAATAGAAAATGTTGCTCTTGTAGGATTATCTTTCATTACCTCAGCGGGAAATTATCGTAAGTACTCCTGTGCTACTATCAGAAAAAGAAAGCAGTGCAAAAACTTATACACATCCCAAACCAGGGCTCTCGAAACTAGAATTTGACGTATACTTCAACCAGCTCTAACAGGGGCCTAACCGGATCATCATGGCCATACCGAATGCGCTTGGTTAACTGTGCAAAAATTGCACATCGACGGTGAAACTACCAGACCACGTATCTCGTCTGCGGTGTTTAAAAATCTCTGCTCTCATTTTATTTTTGTAAAGGAAAGCAAATCAATATCATTCTTTAAAGTTGTCAAAGATTTTTCTTCACTCAAAGAAGAAAAATCACGGACGTTTTCAAGAATTGACGTTGAGTAGTTTTCCATCTAAGAAACAAAGTATGACAGGAAGTCTGCGACATCGGAAACTGAGATACATGGTCTAGTAGTTTCACCATTTATCTTTTTAATCAATATAATATCTCTAAATACAAAGTTAGTTAACTTTAGGTCTAACCGCAACTGCTGGCACCTAATTAGTTGGAATCTAAATAAATTCTACAAATCTAAAATAAAAATCTAAAATAAATCTAAATACATGCCTTTTTATGCAAAGCCAGAAAATCTCTGGTTTCCCGAAAGTGAGGAGTTCTAAAATAAGCTGCATTTATCCCAATCGCCAACTGCATGCAACATAAAAACAAACGAACCTTATAAATTTTCTCGCCTGACACTTCGTGCTCCACTGAAGGCCTTGGAAGTTGGTGATCACACATGCTTGACCTTATTTTTCCAGCACAGTAGATCAGCAGGTGCAAAGTTTATCCAATCCACCACATTACATATCAGAGTTTCATTTTGAAACTTCAAAATGTTTTTAGTTTTTGTACTCTATCTGATCTTAGCACCATTACATCATCTTTTTTAAGTTTAACAGCACTCAAGCCATTATTTTAGAACTTTTTATAGTTGACCAGAGTTCAACATTTTATAATTATTTTTGAAGGATTTGTGTTCTCCTGAGTTCCACTTGCTTGTCATTTTGCGACTGACAGCTAGCATCTATTCATCTCACAAATCGTTTCTTTGAATGATAGTTCTAAAAATTCAGCCTTTATGTCAGTGTTTATTTTACATGTAAATTGTTAACCTAATTAATTTCTCCTCATCACCCTATCACTTATCACCATCCTCAGGTCAAAATTATTTCACTACGGCCTTGTCCACATGAGCGCAGTTCGCGGAATTCAGCTGAGCTAAAACTTATTCCTCCAAACCCCAGAACTTCCCCAAACTCAGAGCTTCTATTTTTCTTTTATTGTGACTTCGTTTGTTTTTGCATTTACGTCCTTTAAGTCTTGACAGTTGTTTTTGTTACTCTCGCAGCCCTAGTAATCTATTATTTTGCATAATTGTATAGTTTTATTGAAGTTCCGGTTCCGGTTTGGGCAAACTCTGTGGACAGCATCCCTCATTGCAAGGAACGAGTTTCGGGAAACTGAACAGTTTGTCGAATTAGTTCCTCAAACCGCGCTCGTGTGGACGGGGCCTACAAGGAAAGAAAAGGGGTTTTTATTACCCCCAAAGCAAGAGCCGGACATGCATATCATCATGCAAAAATAGAAGGGCACAATACAGACAAAAACTGAAAGATAATTCCTCGTTTTGAGCAGTCTTCTCTCATATTCTTTTATCGTATCATGTGAATGAATGAAGTTTAACATTTCTATTCAAAACTTTTCAGCTGTCCATGAAAAATTTTTCATGACATTTATGTTGACATCTGAGCTGTATATGATGATGACCTGTTATCTTTGGAGGTATGCTCGAAGGATGCCCCCAGACAACATCGAAACTCGATCCTTTAAGCTCAAATTCATTCTACTTTGTGTAAACGTCATTGCATTCTCTCTTGCTGGATATTGTTTCGTCCGCCACAATATCAAATGCGAAGCTGGAAGTAAGTATTTCGAAATTCTAATGGAAGTCACTCGTTTCATTTTAATTCAGAAAAACGGGATCAACAGCAGCAACGTATTATGACAGTGAAACTGCCGAACCACGTTTTTCGGTTTGTGATGTTGCTGACTTCTTGTTATACTTTATTTTTAAAATGGAAAACTACTCAATATCAATTTTTTAATACTTTCGTCAGTTTTCTTCTCTGAGGGAAAAAAATTCTCTAAAAACTTTAAAGAATGATGTTGACTTGTTCTCTTTCGAAAAAATAAAATGGAGGTGGAGACTGTCAAACTTTGCAAATGAGATACGTGGTTTGGAATTTTAATTGACGATTAAGAAAATAATCTCTTCTTCTGAGAAAAAAATCAAGAATAAAACCTTCAATTACAGTTGTTAGGGAAGCTCCAGTCCATTTATTTTTTAGTATGATTTTAACAAATGTGCAATTCTGAAAAAGCTGCCAATATTTGAAAATTTGCTATTTTTACAATATATATCAAAAATATTTAATGTCTTTCATCATTAAGAATGGCACACATACATAAGTCAGTCGGTCTAAACACTCAACTTGCTAGAAATCAAGTTCTCTCTTTTCTATTTACTCATAATTGTTCACTGTTGGAACTCTAACTTTCTGATAAGAACTTATGACATGGAACTCCGCAGCAGATTTCTCATTCCAACTCCTTTTAATTTTTTTCCAGTGTACACACTTTTCGCCCTTTTCGAATATGTTGTCGTACTTACCAACATGGGTTTTCATTTCACCGCGATCTTGGATTTTCATGGTCAAGTTGTCATCATTGATCAGTTTGGAATCACTGTCAGATAAGTAAGGAGTGTAATGAGGAATGCATGGCCTTTTTCGTTGCCTTACCAAGTCCATATTCTATGTTCATGTTTCATTACTTTACTCTTCTTTAATGATAGGGAATCAAATAGGCAATCATGGGGTGTCTAGTTAATTTAACTGCTATTGACGCTCTTTTAGAATTGTTTTTTATAATAAATGAGTGAATTTATTCAATCTATACTAACTCCAACATTGTATCTATCACTGAAGAAATCTATGCTTAAAAAATGTATCATTGTTCTTCAGGATATAATCCCACAAAGCACAATTGGACTGCATTTTGCAATTTGGAACTATAAATTCTGGCTCCTCTGGAAAAACACGTATGTGCATAGGGAAACTAGTGGCACCAGTGTTCAAAACTCACAGGCACCAATGCGCCAACTGCGCCCCAAAAAATCGGCCATGGCGCCTAAAAAATGAAGGCTCTGCGCCAACGTGGCCCCTAAAAATTGCCCCCTAAATATCTGGATTTTCACAGGAAGTCACATAAAGAAAGAAAAACAAATCTATTTGAATTGAAAAAACTCAGAATTTTCAGCACTTCAAGTGAAAGCTTGCTTTTTCTATTCTTCACGAGTTCATTCTCAGTGCTTTTGTCTTCCCCAAGTTACACTTACTTACTACTTCTGATACATAACATCTTGCATCTAACTTTTCACTGAAGGTGCCACAATATATAGGCAAAAAGTCAATTTGGCCCCTAAAAAAACTTCAATAGCGCCTAAAAATCGGGCTTAATGTGCCATATGGCTCCTAAAACTCAAAGGTGAGTTTCGAACACTGAATGGCACATACGTTGTTCTTAAACCGGCAAAACCGGGCTAGAATTTATAGTTCCAAACTGCAAAATGTAGTCCAATTGATCGTCATTCATTTGATGACTCGCTGTAAAATCATTCTATCATGAGCTGTGGTCAGCAGATATTTTTATGTGCTTCGTCGCTCACTCTGAAAAATACTTATTGCTGTCTCTGCTCCAAAAGTCTCGTGAAAACTTATGCTTGAGCCAATTTAGACTTAAAGTGCTCATCATTCCTATTATTAAACTAAGTCATATTTCTTATTAGATAGTAATTTTTAAAGATTAAGTGTGCTGAAGAGTGAGGTTTCTGAGCTAGAAGTCCTTTTTAGTTGGTCCTGTGAGCCGTATCCAGAACCTGACAAATGAATATTCCCCAGAGTCACATGGTGGCTCTAAAATTTGATTATTCTAACATTCTTATTTGAGATCAACATTTGACCCACACTTGAAATTTTTGCTCCTTTTCCAAAACTCAGTAAAATTAAAGCGAGCCAATCAAATAAATTAAATCAAAGATTGAGGTCATATTTTTGTATTGATGAAAATATTAAGTTTACCTGTAGGCCCCTAGATATAGAGCTCTCCATTTCACGGCATCACTGTTAGTGATGGTATACTCAATAATCTAGGCGTGTAGCCGTCAAATTTTTCTGTAACCAATTCTTGGCTCATGCTTTCTATCTTGTTAGAGATGATCTTTTCCATCCCACAGTTTAACAATGAAGCTCCTCATTATTTAGTTATATTTAATTTTTCTCCCTCTCCTTTTCAATTTTTGACCCTAGGAATTTTTTTGTTTTGCATAATTTTTAGGCTCACTATGTATTTTTTTGTACTTAGTACATTCACAAGCATTTGTGTAGTTACATATCTCACTCAGGCGTCGATGACATCGATTATTCATCAATCATATCAATAAAAGTATTTTCACATTAATGAATTATGACTAAATTGAAAATATAGAATCTGTACATCGATGTGATAATAAGCAGAGAGAAGTATTAGCACACTTAATCCATTATTTTGATGTTGAGTGTTTTCACCGTTCAAAGACATTCTTTTCCTTGGAATTACTCTGCCGTACTAAGGAAGAACGCCATATGAACATTCGAGAGTTGCCAAATTTCTTTGGATAAAATGTTTATTTTTGAGGAAAATTATGAATAGTTTTCCTTGAAATTATCAGACACTTTAGATCAAGTTACAAACAAAATTATCTGAGAAATTGGCAGTAAAATATTCAAAAATTTTCCTGAAAATTAGTGATTTACCAGAGGAAATGGGGCAACGCATGAAGGCTCTTACGGCGTTTTTCCTTAGCACGGCAGCACTGTTGATAATAATCTGTGCTGACTTACTCAAACACACCCTGAATTCCACTTAGTGCCGGAATTATTTAATTTTTAAGAAGTCCTTGATGTATTTTATGTCGGTGAAACCGGTTCTTACATCTAACAATTTTTTTGTCCTAAAATGGTGATTGATCTAGGCCGTATTTATAGTTGTTTCTTGAGCACTTTTTTAAGCTGCTCCTTTCCCCTAGGACGCCCTTGTGGGTTTCATTGTGTTTCAAGAGAATTCAAGGAAGTTCATAGATTTAGGCTCTGGAGAATCAGAAAAAGAAACTCTCAATGACCTTCCAGTAAAATGATCCGCGAGGAGGATAGTAATGAATCGCCATCAGTAAGATTCAGGAATATCAAAGAAAAATAATGATTGTTTCAACTGATGTCCGAGTAGGTCTACTGCTACCTTTAAATTTTCAATATCATAAAATTTTCCTTTTGGCATTTCTTAGATTTTGTCAGGGCATATTATCATATTCCTCAGCAAGAATCAATTTGTAATTTAATTTGACTTATTGGTCTTTCAAATTGTCCTTTTTCTGATTCTGTGTCAACCCTCTTGAAACATAATGTCCTTTCAGAAGACCTCTTCAAAGGAGATGACCACTTAAGGAGTGACTATGATTATAGCCCTCAGCTTTTATTTTGTTATTATTATTATTATTTATTATTCCTATTCTTTTTTTAAAACATTTTTCACTGTGAATAAAATTGTTACATTTTTCATTCACTTGGTGTCTTTTCTGTAGACATTCATATTCCTGCAGAACAATTTTTTTACGTTCCATTTTATGGGTTCAAAAAATAATCTAGTTTGCACACTAAATCTACTGCCCTATTCAAGTGTGTGAAAGCTGTTTAAGGTAACAGACATAGCTGAACCTTTCTTACCTCACTTAGCTGCCATCAACCATACCGCCACTTACCATTTGGATCAGAACAACTTAGAGAAAACCTAGAGAATCGCCTGTCAATTTAGACCATTGCCATGCGAGGGGTTTCTGTTCAGCATAATAGCATGATGTTCATTGCATAATCAAATGTATGGAAGTTAGGGTTTTTTCAACTGATCTTAATAATATCGGAACTTTGTATTTTGTTTGTTTTACCTTAAATTTTAATGAAAAGAAAACAATAGGATGAAAAAAGCTATCTGTAAGCAAATTTTAGTTCATCAACTGTTGACAAACTCCGTTAACAGTTTACAAAATACTTCATGAAAAACAAGTTTTCGTTCCCAGTTAGTGATTAAATAACGTGGCCTAGCCTTTCCCCCAAATTGCCCGTACTTAAATGTAATTTAATTTTCGTTAACAGTTTACAGTTTCGTAAATGTGCTCCAGACCACATTAACAAACCTGTTGACGATTCAGATTGAGAAAGTGAGACCTATCAACAGTCCTGTAAACAGGCCACTGGGTTCTGATTGGTTGATGTAAATACCGACTTTGTTAACCTGTTGGACAACTGTTTACCTTTTTCACTAACAATTGACGAATGAAGATTCGCTCAGTGACACACTTCAAACCATCTAAAAAGCCCTCATTTTTACATGTTGTCCTTTGATTCACAAGGTACACTTATTTTCTTGGACAGACCCTCTCAGATGCTCAACGTTCAGCCACAATTCTGTTGCAAGATGTAGCTGTATTGACTTAAAAAAGGATTAAAATTAAAAAAATTGGAAAAAAGGATATTTTTAACACAAGCCTAGTTGGAGATCATACAGACTTCATATACGCCGCACCTGGGAACACTGATTCATAGATACCTCTTGTAGAATGCCACAGAGATAGTGCACATCATTCTTCGTTATTAGGATTTCAACTAATGATATCTACTTAAAACACACAGTGAAAAAAAAAAAAATTTATTAAAAAACCTGTGCTTCTATCACATTGTAACAATTTCAGTTTTTTACAAAGTAGCTAGGAATAGTTGACAACATCTCAAGGGAGGAAATGAAGCAGATAGGATAGCTCTACTTGCTTCAGAACACAATGGTTTAGTAACAGGCATGCAAAAAGTTCTTTTCCACACAATTCATTAGCAATTAAAAACCTAGGCCACCACATAGGTGACTTTCTTGCAAAAACGCTTTCACAATCGATGAACGTATTTGCTTTGCAAAAAACAGGGGCTTAAAGGGGCACATCAGTAACTCGGACCAACAGACCATTGGAAAATATGGAGAGTGGTTACTTAGTTCCTTCACAAGTAACACATTTCTTGGTAATAGTTCTGGCATATTTTCCCTGGTAAGTTACCGTTCGAAAATTATGATGGGGAGAAATCTCTCAACCAGTCCATGCTTGCATGGGAGAAAGAATTTGTACTCTGCTGCAAAAGGAGTTGTTTGAAGACTGCACTAATCTCTGCAATATTGTGCACTGAGACAAAATTAGGAATCAGACATTAACTATTCCTGGAAGGACTAGGAAAATATTTTCACCGGCACTTCAAAGCCTCTTTCTTTAGTGAAATAAGGCAGGTACAAAGGAACCTGTATTCATTTAAGAGGGACATGAGGAGGTGGGCGCAAAGTTTTCAGGACAGCAATTTTTCTATAGTTTGGTTGCGAAAGGCAAATTAAGTTTCCCATGTGGAGCTTTGCCTAGTATTTCAAAGAGTCAGTTGCAGTCAGTCTGATTCATTTTTGTACCGAAGGAGGTGGAAAACTGACTTCAGTCCAACAATCGGAGCTTGAAATACTGCGGATTAAAATGTTATACAAACTCAAAACTACGTTTTTCGAATTGCAAACTTCATCTTAGTCTACACCTTGTTTCGACATTTTGTCACGGTTTTTGTGCAAACATTTACTACATAAAAACACGCCTCTTTGCAGAGATGCCAATAGCTCAATTTTCAGTTACCGTGGTACTAAGGTCTCTTTTCCTGTAGACGATCACAATTCAATTTTCTATGTTTCATTATGCTCTAATGAAATTACGCTTTCTGGCGCCTCAAGGGAGGAGCAGAGATGTTTGAAAATAATCTTATTCCAATAGACATTACTTGAACAATTTGATTTTACCGCTTGTAAATGCAAAGTAATGAGCTGTTTTCTTCGAAAAGCCAAGAAAACTATTAAAGACTTTGTAACTTGTCTCTGAAATCCATTTAGTTGTACATCCCCTCTGTAGGAAGTGTTATGCCCTGGGTTTTCTCCTTGGTTTTCTAGAGTGTGAGGAATTTTCATCTGATGAAGAGTTAGTCTCCTTTTGTTGGGTCTGTGAAGCAAAAGACACAGTATACTATTATAGCAGTAGATCGCAACTGATTACACTAAAATACTGTTACATGAGGTTAAACGTGCATAGGGGCTTAACTAATTTCAGCAGAAAATAGACTTTAAAATGGTCATTTTGATCTTTTTCTAGGTAGAAAATACCGAGGATAAAGAAATGTATTTTCTCTATTTTAATGCATAGCTTTATGGATGAGAGCGGAGCACAAGACCACTCTAACATCTGTCTAAGGATTTGAATACTTGACAAATCTCATTATTTTACTGGCAGATGAAAGACTAAAGCTAATAATTCAGATTTTTTACTTAAAATTGTCAGAGTTGTGTAGTAAATTCAGAAGCTGAATGTTACCTTGTCAAGTGATTTCGCCATGCCACTTCATAACAAAAAAAGGCATTAGAAAAATTCCTCATGCGAGACTAATGTGAATTCACCTCAAAGTATACTTTCAATATTGGCATGAGGAACAAACAACTGAGATCACAATATTCAAATACACGAAGAAACTGGTTTTTGGGTGAAATCCACGGTGAAAGAATGTACAAACCTGTTGATTCCATTCTTCTTGCAGTTGTTGCAATATTTTAGGTGTAAGAAGACCCTGCGCAAGTAATCTTTCAGTAAGTCTTCCATGCCCACTGTTCTGCTTATCGGATCCTCCTAATGAATATAAGATTGGATACACTTTTAAAACATGTCAGTATGTATACAATAAAGTAAAAATTCATAAGAGCTATTATGTAAATTTACTTGATAACACAACTTATACAAAACATCTTGTTGTGATGTGCATATTTGAAAAAACAGAGGAATAGCACAGAGCTTTCTCCTTTCCTTTGTCTTTTTGGAGGTAAATTAAGTGCTCAGAATTACAAGGACTATTGAGTGGAAAACATAAGTAGGTATTCATCTTTTTCACGAAATTTTGAAGTGCCAAAAATAATATATCATGAGGCAGTTGAAGATTTACTAGCCAAACAAGCTGCAATACATTTCTCCTCAATAATGATATGACACTTGATCGCTATTTTGACCATTCTGAGGAGAAATCAAAACAAAGGAAGTACATAAATTAAAATAAAATGAGAACAAAAAATCGATGAACTGATCAGTACATAGTGATGATAGAGTTGAAATGAATTTTTCAAAATGCTAATTTCAACTGGCAGGAATCACATAGCCGGAAATTTTGTCAAGTTGTTCAGCTACATCTTGATAATGGCCAGAGCTCCCAACCTACTTTGAAGACAGTTACACAACTAAAAAATGTTCATCAATACCCTGCGGATCTGTTATCTGTGGGTGGTCAAAGTCCAGAGATTTTAGAGACTTTAAAATTAGATTACCTCTTAGATACTGGTCCTGCTTCTGTTTGCTATCGAAATCATCCTCTAATGGTAGTGGAGATGGTTTGTCTGCATTTTTCAGTAAGCGTGTAAGTTGAATGATACCTTCCTGAATTATGGCATCCAGTTCATTTTGCATATCCCGCACTAGTGTGGCATCCGGAAAGAGATCAATGAAGCGGTAACTGCAATATGAAATGAAAATAATAGAAATAATAATAGAATAATAGGAATAAAAGAAAAAAATAGAACAAATAATTTGAGCTCTATTTACCCAAAGTCACCATCTCAGCAATTTACACACTTCTCTTCAGTTTGCGACAAGGTTTGGGCACAGAATCACCCCAAATTCAGCTTCCATGCAACTTAATTTCAGTTGAATTCATGCACTGAGTAGGCAGGCTCCTTTTAAAAAGAACTTAAGGTGAATCCAGGCTTGGAACTTCGCGATTTGGCCACCACGTCGCGCTGCTCAGAATAGCCTTATATATTTGCCAAAATAATACAAATTGTAATACTTATTCAAGATTGGAGATCCGGGGGATATAGCAACATACTTGAGGAGCACTCAGGAAAAAAATATTCTCAAAATTCCTTAAAATGAAGTCTTAACTGCGGCGGAAAGTAATTCCCATTGCGGCAATGGGAGAGAGAGAGACAGAACATGAGGGATTCCGTTGCGCGCTCGGCCGCCGCCGTTGAGCTGAAAATTTCAGCCGTACTTTCTCTGCGCTTGTAATTCTAATTGCCAATACTTTTGGCTCAAAATATCAAGCAAAAAATAATCTATATTTTGTGGATCTGCTATTTGTAATTTGAGGAATATTATTTCAGTAATCGTCGAAGGAAAGTGAAATTCTCAGTGGTGACTGGTGGCGCTATCTCTAATCTTGAATTATCCCTAATCGAACCCTGGATTCACCTTAATGTAGATACATCATTCCAAAATCTGCACCGCGTAAAATTTTTGTTACAGGAACTCAAAGAGATTAAAAGGAGGAAGACTCTGGATAAAATTTTAATTTCCTGGCAAATTTGCAAGGGCTAATTTATCAAGTTCAAAAGCGAGAGTGGGAACTTTGAAAAAGATAAAGAGACATACCTGAGCCATAAATATAAATCTAGAACATCAAATACAGCTTCCAAATGAATGAGGTCTATAATTGTTTTTGGTGTCTGAATTGGCCACCCTATATTTCTACAGAGCCAATCAAACGTGAGTGCTTCATTTTTACTGTATTGACGAGCATACTGAAAAAAGAGCACAAAAGAAAATAAAAAATGTGTGGATTATCTTTAAGGCTGAGGAAAAGGAGGATTTTCTTATGTAACTACATTCCTGGTTTTAGAAATCCGACCACTGACTAAAGAAGAAATTCCTTCAAAATGAATAGATAAGATAATTCTCTGCAGTGTGAAATACAAACATTAGTTACAAAAAATAACCGAGGAAAAAAATAAAGGAAAATGCTGGCAAAACTACTTTGTAAAGAGCCCCAGAGAAAAATAATTTTCAATTGTGTTAATTAAATTTCTCATTATAAAAAAATTGAGTCAACATAGAAGCAAGGAGAAGAATTGGACGACATTTTGTAATTTGGAGCTAAAATTTTTGCCTTGGTTTATAAATGACATATGTGCCACTAGTTTCCTTATGCACATAGGTGTTTTTACAGATGAGCCAGAAATTTTAGTTCCAAATTGCAAAATGGGATTCAATTGGCAGTTGAAAATTGTTTTGTAACCAAGCAACAACAAGAGCATTTTATTTCCTTAATTTACTTTGGAAAAAAGTTTATGAAAGATTAGATTACATACATTTTTTATTTTTCATACCGTAAAGTTTAGAATACAAAAACTCCCTGATACTTGTGTCGCTCAGGCAAAAGAGAAAAACTCAATGGTGGATCCATGTCCTGGAATGGCCATCATTTTCTGTTTCGGTATAATCTTAGTGACTGCCTTGCGTACTTCAATGATCAGCTTGAAGAGCTGTGGATAAAAATTGTAGGGCTGTGCGAGTACTCGAATTTCGACTCGGCTCGAAAGTTAGGTTAGGTTCGAGCGAGTACTTGAACTCGGCTCGAGTGTCAACAACACGAGTTTTTTCGAGTATTTCGAGTTTTTTTGAGCCGGAAACGCCGAAAGAGTCCAACTTCCAAATATTTCAATCATACTTAAACTATTGTTAGTTTTGCCATCATTTTACGATTGAATAACATCAGAGTCTCGTCGGCAAATTTCTACCATCCGCAGCGCCAACACGCTACCGCCCGGCGATTTCCTGCCGCCCGCGGTTTGTAACTACACGGAGTCATATGAGCGCATTTATGCGCGTGACAAAATTCGGCGACCGCCGCTTGGAATTGAACTTCTCGAGCACGTGTTTTAGACCTTTTGCTCCAGAAAAACGGTGTCGCGGCGACAAAAATATGGATCGCGCGATTCCAAAAAACGTCCCGGCGACAACTGCCGCCGGCGACACGAATCGCGTGCATAAAATGGGCTTTGTCATATGAGCGCATTTATGCGCGCGACAAACAACCTGCGGCAGCGACCGCCGCTTGGAAAACTGAAAGTGAGCACGTGTTTTGGACCTTTGGCGCTCCAGAAAAACGGTGTCGCGGCGGCAGAAAAAAGGTGCTGCGGCTACAAAAATATGGATCGCGCGATTCCAAAACACGTCGCGGCGACAACTGCCGCCGGCGACACGGCGACACGAATCGCGGGCATAAATGGGCTCTTACTGCCGAACATTTTGTAATTTTAGTGTAAATCCTTTCTAGTGTGTCATCGACAATATTCATTAAAATCATATTATGAGTCTTGTTTGGAATTATTTGTTGTAGAAAATAGATTAAATCACGTTTTAAAACTCGAAATTACTCGAACTCGACTCGAGCTCGACTCGGCTTGAGGGTCATTTTCAAAGCTCGAAAAAGCTCGAACTCGGCTCGACTTAGTGAAAAAATACTCGAACTCGGCTCGAATCCAAAAAACCAGGCTCGCACAGCCCTAAAAAATTGACAGAATTGAATAGCCAATATACCTTTAAAAACATCGTACAAACAAATGGCATTTTCCGATTGATTGGTGCACAACAGAAAACATATCTTGCTCGTAACGGCAAAGAAACATGTTGAATCATGTCTGCTAAAAATTTGAAGTCATCTATATTACAGATGAAGTACAGAGAATCGTCCACAGTTGACAAAGATACAAAAATATCCTGTGAAAAGAAACAAACAATGAATAGTAGGGATTAGGGGTAAGAATGTAGAATGGATGGGAAGTTTCTTATTTTTGAAATTTTCGAATATAAAGTAGGGCTTGGTGTTTAAAATCGATGTGTAGATAGGTTAGAAGCCTTCTACAAAGAAAATATTATCCATAATTTTTGCCTGGTGCTCAAGCGACTTAAGTGACACAAGTTGGAGTACACGGTTTTCAGGAAAATTTACAATGAATTTCTATGGAGCATGCAGTGAGGCAGTTGATCAGAACAAGAATTTTGTCTATTTTGATGTGTTATTGATAGAAAAGCCTCAAATGGTCATGTGAGGGTCAGGATCTACAATCAGGGTACCCTTCTTGCCATGACTGAATAATGGCCGACTGAGAGTTGCTTATAGTGAAACCCTTCAGGATTTGCTGAGTTATAGTCATGTGGGTGAATGGGGAAATGTACGCTGTTGATCAATTTTGAAATCTTAGACTTTGGGCCAAAATTTTCAATTTAAATTTAGTGGCTCCTCATGGCACTTGAATTTCATACCCCTTAAACCACGCTAATCTTTTCCGAGGTATAACTTTGAAAACAAGGGGGTTTAAGTACTGACAACAATTTTCAAAAACCACTTTCTTAACAAAAATTGGTTGATAGCTACAAACGGGTATACAAGGAAGTTTTAGTTGCGCAACTTTGCAACCTCTCAGACAAGAAAGTAAGCTGAATTTCCTGACAGCTAGGCTTAGTTAGTAAATTATTAGAAATAAATAAAAGTATAAAAATGCAGGTAACGCAATTCCAACATAAGGGAAACGATTCCTTGACATCTGATGGTACTGTGATTTATAGTTGTTTTTAGAGAAATCACTAGAACTAGATTCTTAAAACCGTGCGTAAGGATGGGAACAAAACAATACACAACTCATTACCATCAGATTAGAGAGAGCGGAATTGGGAAGGTGATATGCGTAAAGTTCAATTTGCTCAGCAGTTGGATGGAGACCTGCTTTTGTGATAGGCTCGGGCGTTTGAGAAAGTAGATCTTTCAATTTCGGCAAATCCTCTGCTTTGAATGTTGTCACGCAACCCTATGAGAACAAAAAATGATTAAGCTGAAACTAGTATTCTGAATAATTACTTCATTAATTTTTTTACTTTTCTGCACTTGGGGCTATTTAATGAGAATAATACGATCAACTAAAACGACGAAAATCAAACATTTGAATTCATAGCCCAAACTAGCCAGGGGAAAAAAAACCAAACAAAAAACAAAAAAACTGTAAACATTTTCTTATAAAACACTTTATGATCCTAGAACCTTTCAAATGAGCAACTTGAGATAAAGAAGAAGTCAACAAATGTTGATATTTTTCTGCATTGAGTGCTTTGTTGATTTAATCTTAAAAGTAATTTTCAATCTTTGAATTAAAAAATTAGGTGTGATTGGTGATTCTTAATCAGCTGTAAAAACAGCTTGCAATTCCTTACCTGGATGAAACACAAGATATTTGCAACATTGCAGCACCCTTAAATTGTTTTTCTTCATAAAGAAACAACTATAGTCAATCCAGAATTGAAAAATAAATCATAAGTAGAGATAAAATGCAGTAAAAGGTAAATAAATTTCCGTAACAATGGAACCCGATAAAGATACCACTTTCTACTTTACAAAATGCAGTATGTTGTAGAAACCTACTTCTTTAACCCTCGTCATCTGTTGACGCAGTGAGGAACATGCTCATCAGGCGGTGAATTCTCCTACCCATTGATTAGAATATTTTGGAATCTACATTGGAGCACCAGGTGTATGGCACCTTTGCTACAGCTTTTGAAAACTAGTCTAAATACGCCCTATGATAGACTCACCACAAAAGATGAGAACCTAGAAGCTGCATAAACACTGTGTAGTACATTTAATTTCGGTTGGTTTACGACTTATTTTAAGATCCTGAGTACACACTATATCCTAGTTTTTTTAAGACTTTAAAACTTCAATAATATTGATGGTCAGCTGATGATGGTGGTAAAGATGGCGCCTGAAAAACGCTTTGAAAAATATCTACTTTGGTGAAAGCGTGAGTTTTTTAATTTAATATATTAACAGCTTTTACCGTTTTTGAAATGGCCAATCAAGAGTGCCAAAATTTGAAACTTCAACTTTATGAAAGTAACTCCCAAAAAAAACAGCAGAAAGAGAAAGAATGGAGATAAAACTGATACCTTATCATACTGAGTTCCATATCGTCCAGCTCTACCAGCTATTTGCAAAGCTTGGGAAACAGATATTATATCCATTTCCCTTTCTCCTTTGTCGTTCATTACTGGCTTGATCAGGGAATAAAATATCACCCGCCTTATACTCCTGTAATTATCAAGAAGATCGCTTTAGCTACTCAAATGGAAAAAAAAACAATTCAAGCAAATACTGTGGTCAAACTTTTTATTCTTTTCATGATTTATTGATTGTAATTCGGAAAGCATTCATAAATTATGTGACATACTTTTTCAGCATTTCTGACCCCCCTTGTAATGCTTTGTAACACAACCCCAGACCCCCTTTAATAATTACGTAACACTTGATGGCATCCACCCCTTTAAGATCTCAAAAATTGTGGGGACCTGTTGAATATACAGCTGAATAAAATTTGAAGTATTTTTAATGATTTAATTGAATATTGTGTGACAAGGAATTTTGAAGAAAGGAACATGATACATTTGGGATTTGGTGTGTTCTTTACCATTAGAAAGAGTTACATAGTGCTGGCACTGGGTTCTTCCCTCCCTTGTAATGCAGGCTCATACTTTCCTGGAGCATTAGGTAATGGGTCTGTTGCACCCAAGAGATACAGTCAAGTAAATATATCGTTTACGGATAAAATCGCACAAGAGTCACTTTAGGCACATAGAAAAAGTCTCAGATTCACTCCTTAGCGTGCAATCTTCATAGTTTATAATACACGCTTTTTCAAGTTACTCGCATCAGCAGGTAGTTTTTCTCAGTCTTTGCCGACCAGGTTTGCAGTAAGAGAAACTGACCTGAGTAAACAAACAAAATCACTATAACTTTTTCTTTTGTATGATTTCCATCGTTTTCAAGCGTTTTTTTCCCTTTTCCTTCCATTATTTTACAAAAAAAAGGTTTTGAGTCAATTGAAATCTTACATAAAGAGAGTTTATAACAGTTCGCGAAATAGTTTGTTCATTTAGAGTAAGGTCTCTCCCTGGGCAAACCTGATTGCCAGCCACCAAGAAAAGCTGCTTGCATACGCAGTAAATTTGAAAAAGCACGTTATAAACTGCGCAGAATGCACACTGAGGAGTGAATTTCAGACTTTTTTGATGTGCTCACTTTCGAGCGAATTTACTTTTGAAAAGTGTATCCAATCGGCTGTATCTTTTGCGTGTAACAGGCTCATTTATGAACGCTTTCTGATGAAAAATGAGTAAAAATTAGCAAAATCTTTTTTAGAGGGTTCAAGATACGCCTTACTGCTGGTGCACGTGTTCAAACTTTTCAATTAGATGTTTTTGCTTCCAAAAGCGCAGTACAATGGAGACTTTGCGATTTAAGTACTCTTCCTTATGTAAAATTTTGCGAGAAGCTCGATGGTACCACTGGTTTTCCCTGGAATCAACTCAAAATCTCAAAAAAGCTCTCAAAGTTGAGGCTGTAATGCAGGGGGTATGCCTCGCTACCCTGAGAGTCCACCTCTGTCAAGACAAACTCTGTATGCAAAGACAGGGAGCAAATAAATTAGCAGGGTTTCTGTGTTTTCAGTTTTGGAGTCCCCAAATAAAGTGGCAACCCTGTGAATGTATTTGCTCCCTATCTTTGTATGGAGAGTTTGTCTTGATATAGAAGTGGATTCTCAGGGTAGCGTGGGATATCTCCTCTATTACAGCCTCAACTTCGAGAGCTTTTTTTGAGATTTGTTGTTTGTTGCAGAGAAAACCAATGGTACCATCGTGTTTCTAGAGGAATTTTATATCGAATCAGTACTTAGATTGCAAATTCTTGACACATGCAAGAGTTCCATTGATTCAAACATAAAAAGAAAGTCATTTATTTATTAGGCTAAGCACTGCTGACTAGGAGCAAGTTTTGTTCAAACTAAACTTGTCCTTAACCCTTTCCGGTCCGCAGCAGTTTTCCACGGCCGCGAGAAGCGAGGTTAAGGTAGCAGCGATGTTGTCAACAAAGACAGTGGTTTCCAAAGGGTCCACCAGAGGCCGCCACTTGCTGGAGCAGTTGAATATACCCGACATCAGGCCTGCACAGAGGTTAAAACTTTAGGGCGACTATATCCGACATCGGACCTAAACGCGTTATTTTTCACGGCGAATATATCCGACATTGGACCGGAAAGGGTTAAAAGAGATCACACTTTGGTCAATTTTGAATTTTGGCTTGCTTTAGCACAGTTAAGTTTCTATCAAATTTTCTTAAATTGAGAAAATTTCATTTTAGTCTATGGGAAGTTCAGATACAGGACTTTACGAAGCTTTTTATTATTAATCTTGGATTTCGTCACAAAAATGTAAAAAAGATTGATTTTAGAGGATACTTACAGATTTAGACCCATTCCAATGGCATCTGTTGCAACAAGAACCTTACAAGAGTTTTCAGGGTCATTGAATTTAGTGGCTTGGGCAATTTTGGCATTAGGTGGCAAACTTCCATAGATTACAGCAGCCTCTTTACCACGAGCTTCTATCCCACGACTTACCTGCATTAAAAACATTTACGAAGTCTTAGCACAAAGTGTCAAGGTACAGAGAGGATGATAATGTAAAATTTTGAAGATTAAGTAATAAATGGGGGAAAGGTATACATTTTAACAGTTCAGGCAAAAGGATTTGATGTTTCTGGAAAACTCATTTTTCACAATTTTGACTACTTTAGATCAGGACTTACTTGGTTTTTAAGATGGCATTCGTGTAATTGAGGAGACATCTTACTTTTGGGTTTTGAAACCCTTTTGCAGAAATGATATTCCAGCAGAACAATCTTCACATTGTGAAGAAATATTTGATGTCCTAATCTTTCTTCATACACTTTTTGAGCTTTGGTAGGTACACCGCAATCTGAGAGAGTGACTTTTAAAGTAGTTTTTATGCTCAATTTATAATAACTTTGGAGATAAAAAAAAAAAAAAAAAAAAAAAAAAAAAAAAAAAAAAAAAAATCAATTCATACTTATACTTAATTTTGAAATAAGAAAATAACACTAAAAATGTGGCCTGAATATTCTTACAGGATGTTAGTGTAGTGCTGGGTCAACACTATTCTGCGGGGAGATTAAAGTAAAAAAATCTAAAAACTTAGCAGCCCAAAATAACATCCAGCAAAATCCTAGACAGAATTGAAACACCGTCATTATCGTTCATGACGGTTTTCTTTGTTTTGTCTCAAGAGTCGTTGAGTTGCAACAGCAGACGGCGCGAGGTGTTATGTTTCAAGACATGTTTATGAGGGAGTTTTATTACCATCTAGGATTTTGTAGGATGCTAAACTAGTTCACTGACTGAGTGTGATCTGCTGATTAAGTCTAAAAAGACCCAAACCAGTAGAGATCTCTTGGCGTTACCCCAGCTTAGTATTCTGATACATCTGCCCAAGTTGAACACTCACACCCCTAGGTCTTGCCCTGAAACTATTAGCTCTCATTTTGTGACTCTAATGCTAATTTTTATTTTTTTGCGTTGATTCCCCCGCAAAATAGTGCAGACCCAACATTATTCTACTAACCTGTTGACTAATTTTTTTAATGCACATTTAGATGCGTAATGACATTTCACAACATCAATTTTTTCAAAGAGGGCAACTTCCACGATTTCAAATCCAATTTCACAGTTAGCATTTTTCAGGTCATGTTTTTCAATTTTTTCATTCACAGAAATAATGAGTCTTAAAATATTAGTCCGTTGGTACCAAACCTTTTTCACTGTTTTAACTTTTTTGTCTCGTGATCGTATGGAGTTTTTATCGCAGCCTGAAAAAATTGAGATAAATGCTTCTCTACTTCAATTAGGGTATAGATGGTTTACTATATTGAGAAAAACTTACATAAAATACTCACAGAATAAACATCATTTTTACTAAAACAAACAATGCAATCACCATCCACTATATTGTCTAGTGAACCAACAGCATTGGACTCAATCTCCAGCTCCGTTAATCTTTTGTACTTGAAAACCTGAGGAATAAAACATTTTGAGGTAAGAAATCCTAATGTTGGAAGAAAATGAATTATCTGTTGAAAGCTACGCCTACGCATCAATGTTTGATTTGTTACTTATCAATTAAGAGATTCTAAAGTTTTGTGACTAAAATCAAAATTCCTGATATTCTTTGGTTTTCGGTAAAGGTGGACACATTGTATATTACAGAGGAGTTGAACATATTTCTTTCCATACTTAGAACAAGATTTGAGGAAAAAANAAAAAAAAAAAAAAAAAAAAAAAAAAAAAAAAAAAAAAAAAAAAAATTAGGGAGTGGAGAGTTTGCATGCAAATTTTTTATTGCTTCAGCTGAAAGTGCTTAAAGAGCTGATTTCACAGTATTTTTTATAATTTTTTCTAATACGGGAGATAGTATAATAATAGATCTAAAAGTGAGAAAATGCACTGCCTAGTGATGTCATCTGGCGGCATTTCCCATTTAAACACACATATTTTAGCAGATTAGATCATTTTGTCATATCTTCTCCAATAATTGTTCAATTCATGAACCAAGGGTATCCTTGTGTTCAGTTCTCTAAGTAGCTTCCACTTAAACATGAAATTCAAATTTCAGACACCTGCAAATTCTCTATTGATGACAAATGACAAAATGAGAGAGATAAATGATGGATCTATGCTTACCTCCACATCCTCATTTGTTGTCAACATGAGAGACTTAATCAAATCAATGGCACCTGCTTCACCACAAACATGAATTTCATTGGCCATGAGACCTAGTAACGCCCGTGTCCAGGCCCAGCCTCTCTGTTGGTCTTTGACCATTTGTATTTCATCTATGACAGCCACTTCATCTGAAATATTGAAATAATTTAAAAACTAAACAAGAAAAATCGAGGGAAAAAATCAAAGTATCCATTGTGATACATACATTAAGTCGCTTTCACAGCGCAGCCTCGCGCTCTGCAACGTCCAATCGCCATTGCCCCCTATCTTCCCAGAGATCATCAGGCAATTGGCACCTTCCAATCTCTTCTTCCACCTCTTGTCGCCAACCTTTCACAGGACGTCCATGTCGTCGCCTTCTGGGAGGGACCCAATCGAAAACCTGCTTAGGCGACCAATCGTCAGCCCATTGTGATTAATAATAATAATCTCAAGGATCAATCATTATGTATAATCTCCTGTGGGTACAAGAGACTGCATCCATAAATTATGTCACACTAAAAATTCAGTTTTAGGACCAGGTACTTCTGAACAGATCTGGACCTCCTGAAAAAATTTCATCATGTTGTCTTTGATCCTCTCAGGATTGACAAAATGGTTTAGAAAATCTATTTCTAAATTTATTTCTCTTCATCGAATATTAATAATTCAGATTTTTTACCCTTATTTTGTGACTCGAAGATTTGTACTCCAGATGGTCTACTTTAATGATACTCACAAGGAATGTTTACTGAAGTCATTTCAACAGTGCAGGCGACATGATTTGACGGAGACTCCTTGTTTGGGGCGCATTTCCTTTCTTCACCAGTTATGAGATCACACTCAATACCCTGAGTTATAAAGTAAAGTAAAATAAGTAGAAAAACAGAACAGTGTGAAGATATGGACTTTACCATTTATGATGTGGTTGAAGAGTCACACAGGTAGCCGTCAGGTGTCCTATCAGAATTTATGGGAGATTTTTTCTTTTCTGTGTGAACTTCACTTGACGATCTTGTTATCATCAAACAAGACCCTCAAAGAAAAGAAAGACAAAATCTCTCACCTTAAAAGCAACTGAGTTAAAAATGATTAGAAAGATAAAGAGACACTCGTTGTCTCTGACATCGTTGTGTCTACGACAAAACACCGTTGATACTGATAGGATACTCTCACTAGCTGTGAAACTTCTCTCCATTTTTCAATCCAAACTCTGTATAAAACCAGAATTTTTATTCTGAAGGTATACTGTCTTTTAAAAATCTTGACAACTCATTATTGGGATTTCTGTGGTAATTTAAAGGCTGTTATTCTCAGTGCATTACTTCTGAGTATCAGATCTTAAAAAGTTTAACCCATTCCTCTTGTTCATGGAGGACGACAGTCAAAATTTACTCACAGCATCTTATACTAAAGATCTGTTTATTTCGTTTCAGGTTCAACTAATTTACAAAATATGATATGCCTCTCAGAATAGTTTGAGAGGTCAAAAAGCAATACTTGTTATCAGCTATACCTGCTATTGGTCAGCTTCCTAAAATTTTAAACCAGGGTCCATTTTAATAAAGGGTAACATACTTAATCCTGCACATACACAAATTGGCACTGTACATTTACCTAACTGCAAAACCTGATGACTACATAAGTATCTACTGAACTTGCAGATACAGATGCTATGTTTTTCATAAAATGGACTTGTTAGATGTAATTTTTCAATGACGTCTAAAGTTGATTCATTTACTTTTCAAAAGGGCTGATAGAGGTTTTTATTTATTTTCTTATTTGCTAATACTCGGGTTTTTGGACAAAGAATCAATCAAATGTTGGCCAAGTCAACATTTCTATCTATTAAACTATTATCAATCTGCTATACTTGCAATGAAGAGCTTGTGATGAGTTTAGACACAATTTGAAAAAGAAATTTTGAGCTGGCATGCAATACAATAAATAACAGCCTCTCTCTAGGACCTTGGCTTGACTGACTAAGTCCCCATTCAGGTTCTACTTACCAGATAGAAATTCTGTACTTGCATTCTCTGTCATGATTTCTTTTCCCTTATTGATTTTCATCATATTTATCAGCAGAGGTTTTTCAATAATTCATCATCAACGTCTTCAAATATAGGTGGAAATTACGACATTTTCAAACTTACCAGACTGTTAGCTTTCTTGTAAACTTCAGATGCCAATAGCTTGAGAGGTCCACAATACACACCAGTTTTAGCATTTAAAAATCTCTCTAATGCATGATATGTTTTACCACTATTTGTTGGACCAGCGTGAAAAATTATTTTCCTATTCAAGCTCCTAGCATTTGGATACCTGTATGAATACATAAAGAGAAAAAATTAGATTAACACAAAGATCATTTGGTTTGTACATTTTACTTTGCTTGATTTTCAAGTCCATGGGATATTGCAGTGTTGATGGATTGGAGCAAACAAATGAAGAGAGGAATAGAAAAAGAGAGAGAAAATCTAGTGAAAAAGCATTTTCCCATAAGCTTAATTATAGATACAATGAACCTCCTTTTGTAATCATTGCTTAGGTTGGAACTGGTTGGAGCTGAGTCAGTCAAATTGATTTGTTGAAATTAAAAATGATAATAATAAAAAAATGAGAACACTCAACACAGTTTGGGTAATAGTAAACTACTACTCAGGGTAAAATTTGTCCTCAGTAATATTCAAGGATTGTGCATGCATAACATCTGTGATAGGGTGAGCTAGGCTTTTGTGAGACTGAAATGACTACAGGGTTGTCAAAGAATTTAGAAAATGAACTTTCTTGACATTCCCCTGAATTCCCTAACACATTTCGGTTTAAGTGCCTGGCAATGGACCACTAGACAAGGTACGAATTTAAGCAATCTGATACATGTTTCTTAACAAGAATTTTACGTAAAACACGATTCTTACAACAAAAATTACTGAAACCAACTTTTAACGAAGATATTAACATTTTTATTACACATTGGTTACAAGGAATTTGAACTGCCCGCTGACAAGAAACTCAAAGCTCTACGTGAGTCAAGTCGTGCACTACAACGGTTTCAACAAGCTTCTCAATCTAGTAATGTTCATTTCCCACTATGTGTTGCTCAAACTCTAAGCAATTTGCTACAGCTGAGCCAAAGCGTCAAAATTGAGGTTGCCAGATTTTTGTATCGTAGAGACTGTCATAATAACGTTTAGTGCAGGATATGAATCACGCAGAGCATTGAGTTTTCATATGCGGGTGGTTTGAATTCACGCATAAGGAATCATTAAATATCTTCGTGAGGAGTTGCTTTCAGTAATTTTCATTGTGCTTATCATGTTTTACGTGAAATTTTGCTTAAGAAACATGTATCAAAATGCTGAAATTCGTACCTTGTCTATTCGTCCATTAGTCCCTGGCACTTTCATCATTTTCCCTGACATTTCCTGGTGTTGTCTGGTACTGTGCCACTCCTGTGGCTAGAACCACACCTCTCTTTGTATGTTCCATACAAAGAGAGCTACACCTACTTCGATATGATGCAAGAAAAATAATCATGACTCCTCCAAATTCTGCAAGCTTTTTGTTTCATTGATTTGTTTTAGCCCCAAGAATGTTACCTTCAAACTCAATGAGAAAATGATGATATGCTTTCTTGAGAGAAAGTAGAATATTTTGTCAGAAGGTTGGAGACATCCTAATGGAGAACAAATTGTCAGGGAAGGGATTTAAATGGTCTCGCGAGTTGATTCTGTAGAGACTCAGACTCAGGCTCGGAGAGCAAGATCGGCAGTCGAGCTACAGGCAGACTCAAACTTGAGGTGCTGGTATGCCACAAGGATTTTTGGCAGTCTTGAACCTTTAGCCTGAGACCTGCCATTGACCGACGCCCAGTCAAACCAAGGGATCGAGATCCTCTGTCAGCAGATGAAGAGACTCAAGCTCAAGGGTGCCTAGGAGTAGATAGGGGTCAATACGCTCGCAGTGCTCCACCGCTGAAACCGGGGACTCCCGGTTTACGTCTTTCCAGAGATCATACTGGCCAAACACCACATAAAAGTATATCATTTCACAGCCTGCTTGTGACCTGCGCCATCTCTGAAACACCAACAATTTTCACTTCCGAGAATATCCTGTGAGCGTGCAGCCAAATCCGCCGGTCAGACGATCCGCCCCCTGCAAGTCTGCCTTGTCGTTGAGACTAGACCCTGACTCTCCAGAGAGCCTGTAGCTGCAATGAGTCAGCCTACGGACTCGCTTAGAGGGTGAACTCTATTAAGAGCGACCAATGTTGATGTCACAAGAAGGGTTGACTCCGGCCAGAGGGTGTGCACCCAGACTCTCTGACAAGAGATCACTCTTGCATCGAGTTCGCCCACTTACTCAACTCCCGATCCTTGTGTCAAAGTTTCATCATTACGCACCCTCAATTTATTGATTTTTCTTACCAATTAGCAGGAGATCGAAGATCACTGATTTTTTTAAGATCGTCCATACATTCTAGGTGAGGAAATATTCGCTTTGCATGCTTCAAATAGTATGGAAAAAGATCGTGGATATGTCCAGCATCTTGAAGAATGTCGCTGAACGTAATGTGCAAGTCTACAGGTAATGATTCTGCTTCCAAGCAAAATTTTCTAAAACTGATATATGATTGGTGCTGTATGTAACCTAAAATCAAAAATAGTAAGACAAAACTTGTTAAAAACGCTTTTTAAAATACTATCAAGTACAAGAGATAAGAAAAAAAGAGAAACTAGAAATAAGAGTCTGCCGTAAGCCAACTTTTAAGATCAATTTATTCAAAATGGCTGGGAAAAATGAGGTAGTATTACTCTAAGAAGAGAAGCCTGGAAAGCAATTAAAATTCATTAATGTTTTGAAAATCAAAATACTTGTGAAAGTCTTGATTGTGGAAATGGTCTTTCCAGAAGACAAGGCGCTTCACAATTTCCTTTCAACAAAGCAGCATACTGGATAATTGATCTTGATATAATTTAAAGTAATATAGTCCTAAATGAGCCCCTCTCCCCCCCCCCCCAAAAAAAAAAAA